GGACAGAACGAAGAGACATAGTTGTTTACAGACACGCAAAACTTCCTATTTGACAGGTATGAAAACAATTCTAGGGCCGTACCAAGATCCCCACCCAGTGCCTCAGTCTGTCTAACATGATGTTGTGATCAATGGTGTCAAAAGCAGCGCTAAGGTCCAGGAGTACAAGGACTGAGCACATGCCTTCATCACCAGACATTAAAAGGTAATCGGTGACTTTAAGCAGGGCAGTCTCAGTGCTGTGGTACTTCCTGAAACCGGACTGAAACTTTTCAAATAATTTGTTATTTTCCAGTACAGTGAGCAGCTGTTTGGACACAATACTTTCTAGAATCTTTGCAATAAAAGGCAGTTTTGAAATTGGTCTAAAATTATGTGGGAGGGAGGGATCTAAACCAGGTTTCTTTAAAAGTGGGTTCACGCAAAATAATCAGGGACACAACCAGTAGATAGGGAGCTGGGCCCAACAGAATCTATTACTTTCAGTAAAAACTTTGTAGGTATTACATCAAGTGGGCTGGAGGACACTCTCATTTGTGATACTGTTTTTAAAAGCTCAGACAAGTCGATGGGATAAAACTGGTTAAAACTCTCTTGTTGCTGGTGAGGGACCTCTGAGTAAGAGGCCACGGGGGTAATAGAGGCTCTGATTGACACCACCTTATTGGTAAAATAAGATAAAAACAAATCACAGTCATCATTACTTCCAGCTGAGGCACAAGGAGGGGTTGGGTTTACCAGCTGATCTTAAACAGAAACCTGGGATTGTGTTTATGTGTAGTAATAAGTTCAGAAAAATAGTGTGTTCTCGCATCCTTAACCATGTTATTGTAGTTAATTAATAAATCCTTCAGACTGAGATAATGGACTTGGAGACTGGATTTTCTCCATCTGCGCTCTGCTTTCCTGCATTCCCTTTTTAGGCTGCGAATGCTGTCATTTATCCAGGGTTGCTTACTAGCTTTAGACGTAGGCCTAACCTTTAGAGGAGCAGTAATATTTAGTGACGACAAGCAGATATGATTGAAGTGATCGACCAGATTGTTGGTGTTGGAATCAGACAGGTGTTGGCTTTGGCTCTGAAAGAATGCGTAAAACTTTGAAACACTTTGTTCATTAAAGATGCGAGAACACACGGAGCTTGGTGAGGCGGCATGAGTAACAGGCGAATCGCAGCTAAAAACAATACATCTGTGGTCAGATATGGTCATGTCCACTAATTCCACAGAGGAAATGCTGACACCCAGGGTAAAAACCAAGTCCAGTGTATGACCACGGTTATGTGTTTGCCCTTTGACATGTTGTTTGAAGTTAAAAGAAGTGGCCATATTTAAAAAGTCAGTTGCATTAACATTGGTGGGGTCATCAACATGAATATTAAAATCGCCACAAAGAACAATTTTGTCATAATTTAAAACCAGAGTAGATAATACACTGATATGCAAGAGAGACAATATCTTATGTCATCATTTTAAATTAAATTATCATTACCATCAAAATATTACCTTTGAAAAATAATGTTAAGTATAACACATATCAATAATTGGTCATGTAACCATGCATGTGAAATAGGATCTTGTCACTGCTGTTTTATAAAGGCTTCCTTAACTTGAGTACATTCAGGAACAAGTTCAGACTGTAATCATTTTGTCATTTATTCATAAATTATTAGGCCTACTGGGTTTTGGCCAAGGGTGGATATTTCTTACCACTGTGGGGGAAATAAAAACATATCCCAGTGGGACACTTAGAAACAGAGTCGCAAAGGGTCTAGATGCAAAGAAGGTCTGCAGGTGACCAAACCACTGTGAGGCATCTGAGGGGGGAAGGCCACACTCTTTTAAAACCTAAAAGCACACTGGACTGGTAGTAAAGACCAAGAGTTATATTTAATTGTTTTGATCAAAATTATTGCTTCATTTACTAGTCCTGGATATTGGTAGGGACCTCTCTTGTAGCCGTACACCTTCTTTTATCAGTTTGTCAGTGCTAGATATCTATCATGGTCCTCAGTGGGTGGCTGAGTTAAACTCCTGTTATTTGTTTGATCTGCTGTTGCTTGTAGTATTTGCTGCTGGAATGCACATCCTTGATGAGGGTTATAAGAAAGAGCCAGAGTGTTCGCAGTCTTATAACTCTCTAAATCTGCAAGACAATGTGTGTATTTCAGATAGAAGGTGAGATCTTTTAGCAAATCTGGAGGTAACCAATCTTCTTTTAACCCTCTCATGTATGATTTATTAAAAATAATATCTAGATTTTTTAAAGATTCTTTTTATTACTCAAAATTGGTCTGCTATACAAATCCATTTACATTTATTTCAAAATTCTGTTATGTTTTTAAATTTGTTAACTGTCACCGTATGTGGACACCCTGCAATAAAGGAGTAAAATCCCACACCTGACAATATGGATTATTATGTTTTTATGTCATGTTATGCTATCTATTTAATGTCAATAGTTGGAAATTAAAACATGTTTTAGGAACAAATAGAGAAAAAACACTCACAGTGGTGTTGATAACTGTAGTTACATGTATGCGGAAATCCAGTAGCATATTGTTATCCTTATCTAACATCATGTTGAATCATCTCACTTTTAACATGTCAACATCCAACATGTAGCAGATTACATAGACTAATTTTATTAAGGGGGCCAGGCTGGGGCCAGTTGTTTTGTCAGAGGGGCACATTCAATCTGGGACAAAAGAGAGGCAATGTTCATAGTATACAATGTAATGTTTTAGTATGTTTCAGTTATTGTTTCAGTAACAGGATCTTTTCAGTAACTTAGTTATAGTTTTATTAAATTACATTATACAAAAAAAACTTGCTGTAAACTTTAGCTCAAGTTACAGTACATTCTTCGATGCAACACTTCTTTGTAAGGCTTCATGAACAGTGTAAGTTCCAGTGTACTAGTGTACTGTTCTCTGGATCCCAGTTTGTATTTTGTTTCCCACTTTTGGTAGGAAACAACCAACTTCTCCATATTCACCCCTGTTTTTAGTCATGATGTGAAATATACCCAAAAATAAAATACTTGATAGTAGGCCATCATCTGTGCATTAGAAAGGGGAGAGTTTTATGGCAGGTTAAAAAGCATCACCTACAGTCTGAAATAATATGTATCCCACAACTTTTGCTAGGGAAATAGAAACTTCTCAATATTCACCCCTATTTTTAGTCATGTAGTATGCACAAAATAAAATACCTGATAGTAGGCCATCATATGTGCATTATGGAGGGGGATACATATTTTGGCAGACTGCATGTCCAGCCTGGTAGGACCAGAAGGCTAAGTTATCGCTGTTTGTGTATGAAAAGTGCTGTTTAAATGCAATGCACTATTAAATTGTTATGATAATAACTTATCCTTTAAGGAGGACTTGGAACATTTTCCAGCAATATCCAAAGACCATGCAATAGAAACAAGGACAAAATATTGTCTACAATGCTGCATTAAGTTTAATGTACATTTTTGTCACAAATAGGAAGATAAAAGGAAGATACAGCCTATTACTATGATTACTGTAGACCAGGGCTTTTCAATTACAAATTCAAACCACAACCAAAACACAGCTGCGGTGGATGAGAGACTGAGCAGATTAAAACATCGCCTTTTGCGTGTTTATGCTTATTAAACAGGTGTGTTGTAGTATTGGCTTTTTACTCGCTAAGTTTTTATTGCACCACATAGGCCTGTTTTTATACTAAGGAGTCTATGAAGATTCTCAGTCATCAAGGTCATAGTTATCCAACGAAGGTTAAAGTGGTTAAAGTTTAACCATCGTTGGATATACTAAGGAGCGTGTTGTCTTCAATGTCGGTAATGTCCGCTGATCAGCTGGCTGACTTCGCCCAGTGTGTGCGCGTGCGTGTCTGTGTGTGGAGGCGCTGTACATGGAGAGGCTGCATGTTATGTTGAGCCGTGATTGGCGGTGATCGGTAAAGCCCATGTGAAACTCAACAAAAATGAGAAGGAAACGATATACCTCACTCTTTAGCTACTTTCATACACTGTAGGTCTACATGTAGTTTACTTTTGTTGTCATATATATTAGATTATGTGCTGGGCCACATGGAGGTTGCTTCCGGCTGGATGTGGCCCACCTTTTGGATAAAAAGGTAGTGAAAATAAATTAAGTGATAATTTCTTGACCTTGGTCAAACAACAACAATGGTTTGTATTTTAATTTATTTTAACCAGCTTTGTTAATCATTTGCTTTTCTGGATTGATAACGTTGATTTTGATGGAAACCAGCTAAACAGCTATAGGCTAATTGTAAAATAACAAGTAAAAATTAAAGTAGCTGATCGTTGCACTTTCACATTTGAAAAAAGATATGCTACATAATTTATTCAAATAATAATAAATGTAAGCCCTGTATTAAAGTAAAGTCAATGTACAGTGAATTTGTTGATTGATTAGTATGTTTATCTGGTCTGTATAGTGTGCAAGTGGATAACTGATTCATGATTTCTGCCATGTGCTAGTATTGTATTCATGTAAAAGATTACAAATGATTCTTTGCCGCAAGATGACATTTCCAAAATGAAAATGAATAACATGCTCTTATCTGAAAACATTTTGAGCTTCACACTTCATTCAAAAGTAGCTCTACTCAAGGTCCATTTACTCCAAACAAGTGAGTCAGTCATCACGACTGGATATTGTTTTATTGAATAATCCTATTTAGTTCAGTGTTAAAAGTGTCAAAATGTGTAATATGTGTTGTTATGGACGGATGTTAACTTTATAAGCTAAGAGGTACAGACGTTTCAGGAATTTGCGTCACACACACACATTTAACAATAAATATACAAACTGAACTAAAATAAGTGTAGCCAACCCATAAAATTTATCGTGTGTTTGGCCTCATCATTCCTGGCCTGGCCACATAAGAAAAACAGAAAATAGAATATCATTAGACATAAGACATTTTATTTTGTCTTTGTTTGTTTGTTTTTACATACATATATTACATATTTGCAAAAAATAACATTAAGAAGGCAAAATATACTGTACAGTTTAAAAAATGTAAATTACATTACTCTTTATGCTGTGAGTGCAATAAGTCATAGATTGTCCTCACCAAAATGTTTCATGTTTGTCTTTATCCTTATTTATCAATCACAATAAAAGTGCAGTTTCCTCTTTTTTCATACATTCTTTTACATGATCTGCTTAATATATTCACATCAGCATCGCAGTACATCTCCATGCTATACAACATTTACATGTTAGGGAAGAGAGAGTTGAATAACAATTATGCGACAAAGTTTCCTGGCTGGGCTTGAATCAGGCACACTGTGGTCACATGGCAAACCTCCCCAACCACTGGGCTACCAGGACACATTAGGTGGGCGCTGCTCGTAGTGTTTTCTTTGTTACAGTCACTCAGTAGCTTGTATTTGATGAGCCTTGCCTGGTGTCTCGGAGCTTAGAGCCCCCAAATAACAGACCTCCCCTCCAGTGATGGTGCATAGATGTCCCGTCGACATAGAGGGCAGGTGCCAAACTGCTGGCAGACCTTGGGGGCGCAGCGGTCACACAAACACCTGTGGCCACAGGGTAGAGTGATTCTGGCCTCTTTTGCCATGCACACCACACAGGACATTGCCCTGCTTTCACCTGTGAACAAAACAGAGGAATCACAATTACAAAGACTGACATAAGAGATAGGCAAATGTGTGCCATATTTTGAATCAACGCAAACAGCTGATTTCACTGATTCAATCAGTTAAGGGTCAAAAATCAGTATTTGGTTGGAAGGACTCTTTCTTACCTGCTGGGACTTCCATGTCAAGACAGGAGATGCATTGCTCGCTGTTTCCATGGAGGTTCGACACAGCAGGAGTCATCCTGCTGGGAATGTCAACATCCGGTGAGGTGGGGCGTTCAGGTGCAGGACAGGACCTTCTGGTGCGAAACAGCTCCCTTTTCTCTGAGCCTGCAGCAGAGTGTAGATACATCTTTTTACAATAGTCATTCACACAATTACTTGGCATGGTCAACAAATAAATAAGAACAAGAAAACGGGCCGTGCAGCCCAAACACATCGTTATCTAACAGTAAACTTACCCAGAAGGAAAATGGAGCACGTCTGTCCGTAGATGTCTATCATGGCCCACAGCGGCTTGCTCAGATCCACTCCTGTCAGTAGTTTGTGCTGCCTGATGTTGTTGCTAGTAATGTATAAGGAGCCTCCATTGGAAACCCAGAACTCAAGCTCTGAACCTGCTTGGCAGTAGGATTCATGCACGGGAGCAGCCCAGTGCCCGGAGATGTCAGTGAGGTTGGGGATGGCCATGTCGGGCAGAGGCTGAGATCTGGCTGAAGGTGGCACGTTGGTGAAGCCCACACGCAGAGCTCCTTGGCAGTTCATCAAATCCTTCTCCACCCTCAGAAGAATCCTCTCCTGGACCTCCACTGGGCGGCTAATGAACACCAGGCCGTTCCTGAACGTCTTCCCCGTCCTCTCTGCGAGTCGACACCCCTGGCTCAGGCGCACATTGTCTCCCACAGCCTGAGAGTGGAAGGTCAGAGGACCGAGGCAGGACAGGCCACACCGGAGTGACCTCTCTGACCCAACAACTGCAAAGGAAACAAAACAATCTTTTTAAAAATTGTTACATACAAGTCATGTTTGCACAAAGTGATTTCTTTGCGCATGTGTCACAGACAACCACAACAACAAAAAGCTGGTAAGTTTTGCTTTCACTATCTGAATACAGTGTAGTAAACAACACATTGTACTGTACTCATTTTAGACTAAAAGCAGTGAATGTGCTCGTAGTACAATATTTTTTCTCCTTAATGTTTACTGCTATAAATGAATATTGTTTGTGTCATAGGTAACTAATTCTACTAAGCTTAAGCTGTTAGGAATAAGTGACATATTTGATAAAACACATAATAAAGAGAAATTTCTTAACATCATCTAATCTAATAACTTGTTATTCTACAGCGATAAAGTTGATAATGATGGAGCTATAAACCGCAGTTAAAATAAATAAAAAAGTAATAATGAAACTAGCAGACACTCGTTCTTTCTATAACTGATAACAAAAGACCTGGGCATGAACAACTCACTTTAGTTTTGTATCTCACCAATCAGATTCTTAAGAATAATGACCACATTCTTAAAGGAAAGAATAGTTTCTTTCAGTAGCTCTTGAAAAAGAAATTAACTTAGAATGTTTTCTTGATGTACATGTGCATTAAAAAAGAAACTATAAGAGCTTTTTCATACCAAAGTACAAATTTATGCCATTAAGATTTGTGTTACTAAAATGTAGAATTCTAAATGAATTATTATTTATTTATTTTCAGTATTAGTATTAAGTTTAGTAAAAAAAAAAGTATTAATTCATATATTTTGATATCCTAAATTGAACTTAACAAATTGTAGTTAACAGAGGACTTTACAGATATTTTAAGCAGTGCTGTAAATTGCAGATCAAGCGGAGATCTTGTAAGATCCACAAATAATAAGAGGCTGTTTTCATGCAACCTATTGCAGGCCTTGCTGTCAGCATCATAAACAGCAGAATAAAACATGTCTTGATCCTTTAGGTCATATTATGACTACATGCCTAATGATTATTCTTTAATATAAACGGATGCCAGTTAATCATTTGCTTCAATAAAGATGTAAATAGGAGATAAAATTGTGAACAAGTAATAATGAAACTAGCAGACACGTGCTTGACTTTGAGCAACAGGTGAAGGTTTACCATTCATGCAAAGATGACTGATTAAAGTAAACACTGTATTTAATCAATGCATTTGTTAATTTGATAAAGAATGTATTAAATGTTAACTTAAGTATCATGCAGGTGTGACTCACATGTGTAGTAACTTTTTTTTACATGTGAAGCCCTTTCCTCATCAGTCGTAAGCTTAACGTTTCCAGTAAAACGGCTAGTTTCTAGTTATCTCTCATCTCCTGCATATGTGCCATGTTCTCAATCAATGCAAACAGCTGATTTCACTGATTCAATCAGTTAAGGGTCAAAAATCAGTATTTGGTTGAAAGGACTCTTTCTTACCTGCTGGGACTTCCATGTCAAGACAGGAGATGCATTGCTCGCTGTCTCCGTGGAGGTTCGACACAGCAGGAGTCATCCTGCTGGGAATGTCAACATCCAGTGAGGTGGGGCGTTCAGGGTGCAGGACAGGACCTTCTGGTGCGAAACAGCTCCCTTTTCTCTGAGCCTGCAGCAGAGTGTAGATACATCTTTTTACAATAGTCATTCACACAATTACTTGGCATGGTCAACAAATAAATAAGAACAAGAAAACGGGCCGTGCAGCCCAAACACATCGTTATCTAACAGTAAACTTACCCAGAAGGAAAATGGAGCACGTCTGTCCGTAGATGTCTATCATGGCCCACAGCGGCTTGCTCAGATCCACTCCTGTCAGTAGTTTGTGCTGCCTGATGTTGTTGCTAGTAATGTATAAGGAGCCTCCATTGGAAACCCAGAACTCCAGCACTGAACCTGCTTGGCAGTAGGATTCATGCACGGGAGCAGCCCAGTGCCCGTAGATGTAGTGAGGTTGGGGATGGCCATGTCGGGCAGAGGCTGAGATCTGGCTGAAGGTGGCACGTTGGTGAAGCCCACACGCAGAGTTCCGTGCCAGTTCATCAAATCCTTCTCCACCCTCAGACGAATCCTCTCCTGGACCTCCACTGGGCGGCTAATGAACACCAGGCCGTTCCTGAACGTCTTCCCCGTCCTCTCTGCGAGTCGAAACCCCTGGCTCAGGCGCACATTGTCTCCCACAGCCTGAGAGTGGAAGGTCAGAGGACCGAGGCAGGACAGGCCACACCGGAGTGACCTCTCTGACCCAACAACTGCAAAGGAAACAAAACAATCTTTTTAAAAAATCTTTACATACAAGTCATGTTTGCACAAAGTGATTTCTTTGCGCATGTGTCACAGACAACCACAACAACAAAAAGCTGGTAGTTTTGCTTTCACTATCTGAATACAGTGTAGTAAACAACACATTGTACTGTACTCATTTTAGACTAAAAGCAGTGAATGTGCTCGTAGTACAATATTTTTTCTCCTTAATGTTTACTGCTATAAATGAATATTGTTTGTGTCATAGGTAACTAATTCTACTAAGCTTAAGCTGTTAGGAATAAGTGACATATTTGATAAAACACATAATAAAGAGAAATTTCTTAACATCATCTAATCTAATAACTTGTTATTCTACAGCGATAAAGTTGATAATGATGGAGCTATAAACCGCAGTTAAAATAAATAAAAAAGTAATAATGAAACTAGCAGACACTCGTTCTTTCTATAACTGATAACAAAAGACCTGGGCATGAACAACTCACTTTAGTTTTGTATCTCACCAATCAGATTCTTAAGAATAATGACCACATTCTTAAAGGAAAGAATAGTTTCTTTCAGTAGCTCTTGAAAAAGAAATTAACTTAGAATGTGTTCTTGATGTACATGTGCATTAAAAAAGAAACTATAAGAGCTTTTTCATACCAAAGTACAAATTTATGCCATTAAGATTTGTGTTACTAAAATGTAGAATTCTAAATGAATTATTATTTATTTATTTTCAGTATTAGTATTAAGTTTAGTAATAACAACAAAAGTATAATTCATATATATTTTGATATCCTAAATTGAACTTAACAAATTGTAGTTAACAGAGGACTTTACAGATATTTTAAACAGTGCTGTAAATTGCAGATCAAGCGGAGATCTTGTAAGATCCACAAATAATAAGAGGCTGTTTTCATGCAACCTATTGCAGGCCTTGCTGTCAGCATCATAAACAGCAGAATAAAACATGTCTTGATCCTTTAGGTCATATTATGACTACATGCCTAATGATTATTCTTTAATATAAACGGATGCCAGTTAATCATTTGCTTCAATAAAGTTGTAAATAGGAGATAAAATTGTGAACAAGTAATAATGAAACTAGCAGACACGTGCTTGACTTTGAGCAACAGGTGAAGGTTTACCATTCATGCAAAGATGACTGATTAAAGTAAACACTGTATTTAATCAATGCATTTGTTAATTTGATAAAGAATGTATTAAATGTTAACTTAGTATCATGCAGGTGTGACTCACATGTGTAGTAACTTTTTTTTACATGTGAAGCCCTTTCCTCATCAGTCGTAAGCTTAACGTTTCCAGTAAAACGGCTAGTTTCTAGTTATCTCTCATCTCCTGCATATGTGCCATGTTCTCAATCAATGCAAACAGCTGATTTCACTGATTCAATCAGTTAAGGGTCAAAAATCAGTATTTGGTTGAAGGACTCTTTCTTACCTGCTGGGACTTCCATGTCAAGACAGGAGATGCATTGCTCGCTGTCTCCGTGGAGGTTCGACACAGCAGGAGTCATCCTGCTGGGAATGTCAACATCCAGTGAGGTGGGGCGTTCAGGTGCAGGACAGGACCTTCTGGTGCGAAACAGCTCCCTTTTCTCTGAGCCTGCAGCAGAGTGTAGATACATCTTTTTACAATAGTCATTCACACAATTACTTGGCATGGTCAACAAATAAATAAGAACAAGAAAACGGGCCGTGCAGCCCAAACACATCGTTATCTAACAGTAAACTTACCCAGAAGGAAAATGGAGCACGTCTGTCCGTAGATGTCTATCATGGCCCACAGCGGCTTGCTCAGATCCACTCCTGTCAGTAGTTTGTGCTGCCTGATGTTGTTGCTAGTAATGTATAAGGAGCCTCCATTGGAAACCCAGAACTCCAGCACTGAACCTGCTTGGCAGTAGGATTCATGCACGGGAGCAGCCCAGTGCCCGTAGATGTAAGTGAGGTTGGGGATGGCCATGTCGGGCAGAGGCTGAGATCTGGCTGAAGGTGGCACGTTGGTGAAGCCCACACGCAGAGTTCCGTGCCAGTTCATCAAATCCTTCTCCACCCTCAGAAGAATCCTCTCCTGGACCTCCACTGGGCGGCTAATGAACACCAGGCCGTTCCTGAACGTCTTCCCCGTCCTCTCTGCGAGTCGAACCCCTGGCTCAGGCGCACATTGTCTCCCACAGCCTGAGAGTGGAAGGTCAGAGGACCGAGGCAGGACAGGCCACACCGGAGTGACCTCTCTGACCCAACAACTGCAAAGGAAACAAAACAATCTTTTTAAAAAATCTTTACATGCAAGTCATGTTTGCACAAAGTGATTTCTTTGCGCATGTGTCACAGACAACCACAACAACAAAAAGCTGGTAAGTTTTGCTTTCACTATCTGAATACAGTGTAGTAAACAACACATTGTACTGTAGTCATTTTAGACTAAAAGCAGTGAATGTGCTCGTAGTACAATATTTTTTCTCCTTAATGTTTACTGCTATAAATGAATATTGTTTGTGTCATAGGTAACTAATTCTACTAAGCTTAAGCTGTTAGGAATAAGTGACATATTTGATAAAACACATAATAAAGAGAAATTTCTTAACATCATCTAATCTAATAACTTGTTATTCTACAGCGATAAAGTTGATAATGATGGAGCTATAAACCGCAGTTAAAATAAATAAAAAAGTAATAATGAAACTAGCAGACACTCGTTCTTTCTATAACTGATAACAAAAGACCTGGGCATGAACAACTCACTTTAGTTTTGTATCTCACCAATCAGATTCTTAAGAATAATGACCACATTCTTAAAGGAAAGAATAGTTTCTTTCAGTAGCTCTTGAAAAAGAAATTAACTTAGAATGTGTTCTTGATGTACATGTGCATTAAAAAAGAAACTATAAGAGCTTTTTCATACCAAAGTACAAATTTATGCCATTAAGATTTGTGTTACTAAAATGTAGAATTCTAAATGAATTATTATTTATTTATTTTCAGTATTAGTATTAAGTTTAGTAATAACAACAAAAGTGATAATTCATATATATTTTGACATCCTAAATTGAACTTAACAAATTGTAGTTAACAGAGGACTTTACAGATATTTTAAGCAGTGCTGTAAATTGCAGATCAAGCGGAGATCTTGTAAGATCCACAAATAATAAGAGGCTGTTTTCATGCAACCTATTGCAGGCCCTGCTGTCAGCATCATAAACAGCAGAATAAAACATGTCTTGATCCTTTAGGTCATATTATGACTACATGCCTAATGATTATTCTTTAATATAAACGGATGCCAGTTAATCATTTGCGTCAATAAAGATGTAAATAGGAGATAAAATTGTAAACGAGTAATAATGAAACTAGCAGACACGTGCTTGACTTTGAGCAACAGGTGAAGGTTTACCATTCATGCAAAGATGACTGATTAAAGTAAACACTGTATTTAATCAATGCATTTGTTAATTTGATAAAGAATGTATTAAATGTTAACTTATGTATCATGCAGGTGTGACTCACATGTGTAGTAACTTTTTTTTACATGTGAAGCCCTTTCCTCATCAGTCGTAAGCTTAACGTTTCCAGTAAAACGGCTAGTTTCTAGTTATCTCTCATCTCCTGCATATGTGCCATGTTCTCAATCAATGCAAACAGCTGATTTCACTGATTCAATCAGTTAAGGGTCAAAAATCAGTATTTGGTTGGAAGGACTCTTTCTTACCTGCTGGGACTTCCATGTCAAGACAGGAGATGCATTGCTCGCTGTTTCCGTGGAGGTTCGACACAGCAGGAGTCATCCTGCTGGGATTGTCAACATCCAGTGAGGTGGGGCGTTCAGGTGCAGGACAGGACCTTCTGGTGCAAAACAGCTCCCTTTTCTCTGAGCCTGCAGCAGAGTGTAGATACATCTTTTTACAATAGTCATTCACACAATTACTTGGCATGGTCAACAAATAAATAAGAACAAGAAAACGGGCCGTGCAGCCCAAACACATTGTTATCTAACAGTAAACTTACCCAGAAGGAAAATGGAGCACGTCTGTCCGTAGATGTCTATCATGGCCCACAGCGGCTTGCTCAGATCCACTCCTGTCAGTAGTTTGTGCTGCCTGATGTTGTTGCTAGTAATGTATAAGGAGCCTCCATTGGAAACCCAGAACTCAAGCTCTGAACCTGCTTGGCAGTAGGATTCATGCACGGGAGCAGCCCAGTGCCCGGAGATGTCAGTGAGGTTGGGGATGGCCATGTCGGGCAGAGGCTGAGATCTGGCTGAAGGTGGCACGTTGGTGAAGCCCACACGCAGAGCTCCTTGGCAGTTCATCAAATCCTTCTCCACCCTCAGACGAATCCTCTCCTGGACCTTCACTGGGCGGCTAATGAACACCAGGCCGTTCCTGAACGTCTTCCCCGTCCTCTCTGCGAGTCGACACCCCTGGCTCAGGCGCACATTGTCTCCCACAGCCTGAGAGTGGAAGGTCAGAGGACCGAGGCAGGACAGGCCACACCGGAGTGACCTCTCTGACCCAACAACTGCAAAGGAAACAAAACAATCTTTTTAAAAAATCTTTACATGCAAGTCATGTTTGCACAAAGTGATTTCTTTGCGCATGTGTCACAGACAACCACAACAACAAAAAGCTGGTAAGTTTTGCTTTCACTATCTGAATACAGTGTAGTAAACAACACTCAAGGTCACATTGCTTTCTTGATATTACTTGATACCAGTTAATAATTTATTTTTCTATAGCAATAAAGTTGATTCTGATGGAGCTATAACAGAACATAAAATTGTAAACTAGCAGACATTTCTATAACTGATAATGAAACCCCTGGGCATGAACAACTCGCTTCTGTTATGGATCTCACTTATTAGATTTTCTAAGAATAATGATCCCAGCCTTAATGGACAGAATACTGGTTTTCAGTACCTCTTGAAAATTTTTTTTAACATAGAGATGTTTTCATGATGTACATGTGCATTAAAGAACGATCTATAAGAGCTTTTTTCATACCAAAGTACAAATTTATGCCATTAAGATTTGTGTTACTAAAATGTAGAATTCTAAATGAATTATTATTTACTTATTTTCAGTATTAGTATTAAGTTTAGTAATAACAACAAAAGTGATAATTCATATATTTTGACATCCTAAATTGAACTTAACAAATTGTAAATACACTGTAGGCCTACATGTAGTTTACTTTTGTTGTCATATATATTAGATTATGTGCTGGGCCACATGGAGGTTGCTTCCGGCTGGATGTGGCCCAGCTTTTGGATAAAAAGGTAGTGAAAATAAATTAAGTGATAATTTCTTGACCTTGGTCAAACAACAAAACACATGGTTTGTATTTTAATTTATTTTAACCAGCTTTGTTAATCATTTGCTTTTCTGGATTGATAACGTTGATTTTGATGGAAACCAGCTAAACAGCTATAGGCTAATTGTAAAATAACAAGTAAAAATTAAAGTAGCTGATCGTTGCACTTTCACATTTGAAAAAAGATATGCTACATAATTTATTCAAATAATAATAAATGTAAGCGCTGTATTAATGTAAAGTCAATGTACAGTGAATTTGTTGATTGATTAGTATGTTTATCTGGTCTGTATAGTGTGCAAGTGGATAACTGATTCATGATTTCTGCCATGTGCTAGTATTGTATTCATGTAAAAGATTACAAATGATTCTTTGCCGCAAGATGACATTTCCAAAATGAAAATGAATAACATGCTCTTATCTGAAAACATTTTGAGCTTCACACTTCATTCAAAAGTAGCTCTACTCAAGGTCCATTTACTCCAAACAAGTGAGTTAGTCATCACGACTGGATATTGTTTTATTGAATAATCCTATTTAGTTCAGTGTTAAAAGTGTCAAAATGTGTAATATGTGTTGTTATGGACGGATGTTAACTTTATAAGCTAAGAGGTACAGACGTTTCAGGAATTTGCGTCACACACACACATTTAACAATAAATATACAAACTGAACTAAAATAAGTGTAGCCAACCCATAAAATTTATCGTGTGTTTGGCCTCATCATTCCTGGCCTGGCCACATAAGAAAAACAGAAAATAGAATATCATTAGACATAAGACATTTTATTTTGTCTTTGTTTGTTTGTTTTTACATACATATATTACATATTTGCAAAAAATAACATTAAGAAGGCAAAATATACTGTACAGTTTAAAAAATGTAAATTACATTACTCTTTATGCTGTGAGTGCAATAAGTCATAGATTGTCCTCACCAAAATGTTTCATGTTTGTCTTTATCCTTATTTATCAATCACAATAAAAGTGCAGTTTCCTCTTTTTTCATACATTCTTTTACATGATCTGCTTAATATATTCACATCAGCATCGCAGTACATCTCCATGCTATACAACATTTACATGTTAGGGAAGAGAGAGTTGAATAACAATTATGCGACAAAGTTTCCTGGCTGGGCTTGAATCAGGCACACTGTGGTCACATGGCAAACCTCCCCAACCACTGGGCTACCAGGACACATTAGGTGGGCGCTGCTCGTAGTGTTTTCTTTGTTACAGTCACTCAGTAGCTTGTATTTGATGAGCCTTGCCTGGTGTCTCGGAGCTTAGAGCCCCCAAATAACAGACCTCCCCTCCAGTGATGGTGCATAGATGTCCCGTCGACATAGAGGGCAGGTGCCAAACTGCTGGCAGACCTTGGGGGCGCAGCGGTCACACAAACACCTGTGGCCACAGGGTAGAGTGATTCTGGCCTCTTTTGCCATGCACACCACACAGGACATTGCCCTGCTTTCACCTGTGAACAAAACAGAGGAATCACAATTACAAAGACTGACATAAGAGATAGGCAAATGTGTGCCATATTTTGAATCAACGCAAACAGCTGATTTCACTGATTCAATCAGTTAAGGGTCAAAAATCAGTATTTGGTTGGAAGGACTCTTTCTTACCTGCTGGGACTTCCATGTCAAGACAGGAGATGCATTCCTCGCTGTTTCCATGGAGGTTCGACACAGCAGGAGTCATCCTGCTGGGAATGTCAACATCCGGTGAGGTGGGGCGTTCAGGTGCAGGACAGGACCTTCTGGTGCGAAACAGCTCCCTTTTCTCTGAGCCTGCAGCAGAGTGTAGATACATATTTTTACAATAGTCATTCACACAATTACTTGGCATGGTCAACAAATAAATAAGAACAAGAAAACGGGCCGTGCAGCCCAAACACATCGTTATCTAACAGTAAACTTACCCAGAAGGAAAATGGAGCACGTCTGTCCGTAGATGTCTATCATGGCCCACAGCGGCTTGCTCAGATCCACTCCTGTCAGTAGTTTGTGCTGCCTGATGTTGTTGCTAGTAATGTATAAGGAGCCTCCATTGGAAACCCAGAACTCAAGCTCTGAACCTGCTTGGCAGTAGGATTCATGCACGGGAGCAGCCCAGTGCCCGGAGATGTCAGTGAGGTTGGGGATGGCCATGTCGGGCAGAGGCTGAGATCTGGCTGAAGGTGGCACGTTGGTGAAGCCCACACGCAGAGCTCCTTGGCAGTTCATCAAATCCTTCTCCACCCTCAGAAGAATCCTCTCCTGGACCTCCACTGGGCGGCTAATGAACACCAGGCCGTTCCTGAATGTCTTCCCCGTCCTCTCTGCGAGTCGACACCCCTGGCTCAGGCGCACATTGTCTCCCACAGCCTGAGAGTGGAAGGTCAGAGGACCGAGGCAGGACAGGCCACACCGGAGTGACCTCTCTGACCCAACAACTGCAAAGGAAACAAAACAATCTTTTTAAAAAATTGTTACATACAAGTCATGTTTGCACAAAGTGATTTCTTTGCGCATGTGTCACAGACAACCACAACAACAAAAAGCTGGTAAGTTTTGCTTTCACTATCTGAATACAGTGTAGTAAACAACACATTGTACTGTACTCATTTTAGACTAAAAGCAGTGAATGTGCTCGTAGTACAATATTTTTTCTCCTTAATGTTTACTGCTATAAATGAATATTGTTTGTGTCATAGGTAACTAATTCTACTAAGCTTAAGCTGTTAGGAATAAGTGACATATTTGATAAAACACATAATAAAGAGAAATTTCTTAACATCATCTAATCTAATAACTTGTTATTCTACAGCGATAAAGTTGATAATGATGGAGCTATAAACCGCAGTTAAAATAAATAAAAAAGTAATAATGAAACTAGCAGACACTCGTTCTTTCTATAACTGATAACAAAAGACCTGGGCATGAACAACTCACTTTAGTTTTGTATCTCACCAATCAGATTCTTAAGAATAATGACCACATTCTTAAAGGAAAGAATAGTTTCTTTCAGTAGCTCTTGCAAAAAGAAATTAACTTTGAATGTTTTCTTGATGTACATGTGCATTAAAAAACAAACTATAAGAGCTTTTTCATACCAAAGTACAAATTTATGCCATTAAGATTTGTGTTACTAAAATGTAGAATTCTAAATGAATTATTATTTATTTATTTTCAGTATTAGTATTAAGTTTAGTAATAACAACAAAAGTGATAATTCATATATATTTTGACATCCTAAATTGAACTTAACAAATTGTAGTTAACAGAGGACTTTACAGATATTTTAAGCAGTGCTGTAAATTGCAGATCAAGCGGAGATCTTGTAAGATCCACAAATAATAAGAGGCTGTTTTCATGCAACCCATTGCAGGCCCTGCTGTCAGCATCATAAACAGCAGAATAAAACATGTCTTGATCCTTTAGGTCATATTATGACTACATGCCTAATGATTATTCTTTAATATAAACGGATGCCAGTTAATTATTTGCGTCAATAAAGATGTAAATAGGAGATAAAATTGTAAACGAGTAATAATGAAACTAGCAGACACGTGCTTGACTTTGAGCAACAGGTGAAGGTTTACCATTCATGCAAAGATGACTGATTAAAGTAAACACTGTATTTAATCAATGCATTTGTTAATTTGATAAAGAATGTATTAAATGTTAACTTATGTATCATGCAGGTGTGACTCACATGTGTAGTAACTTTTTTTTACATGTGAAGCCCTTTCCTCATCAGTCGTAAGCTTAACGTTTCCAGTAAAACGGCTAGTTTCTAGTTATCTCTCATCTCCTGCATATGTGCCATGTTCTCAATCAATGCAAACAGCTGATTTCACTGATTCAATCAGTTAAGGGTCAAAAATCAGTATTTGGTTGGAAGGACTCTTTCTTACCTGCTGGGACTTCCATGTCAAGACAGGAGATGCATTGCTCGCTGTCTCCGTGGAGGTTCGACACAGCAGGAGTCATCCTGCTGGGATTGTCAACATCCAGTGAGGTGGGGCGTTCAGGTGCAGGACAGGACCTTCTGGTGTGAAACAGCTCCCTTTTCTCTGAGCCTGCAGCAGAGTGTAGATACATCTTTTTACAATAGTCATTCACACAATTACTTGGCATGGTCAACAAATAAATAAGAACAAGAAAACGGGCCGTGCAGCCCAAACACATTGTTATCTAACAGTAAACTTACCCAGAAGGAAAATGGAGCACGTCTGTCCGTAGATGTCTATCATGGCCCACAGCGGCTTGCTCAGATCCACTCCTGTCAGTAGTTTGTGCTGCCTGATGTTGTTGCTAGTAATGTATAAGGAGCCTCCATTGGAAACCCAGAACTCCAGCACTGAACCTGCTTGGCAGTAGGATTCATGCACGGGAGCAGCCCAGTGCCCGGAGATGTCAGTGAGGTTGGGGATGGCCATGTCGGGCAGAGGCTGAGATCTGGCTGAAGGTGGCACGTTGGTGAAGCCCACACGCAGAGCTCCTTGGCAGTTCATCAAATCCTTCTCCACCCTTAGACGAATCCTCTCCTGGACCTTCACTGGGCGGCTAATGAACACCAGGCCGTTCCTGAACGTCTTCCCCGTCCTCTCTGCGAGTCGACACCCCTGGCTCAGGCGCACATTGTCTCCCACAGCCTGAGAGTGGAAGGTCAGAGGACCGAGGCAGGACAGGCCACACCGGAGTGACCTCTCTGACCCAACAACTGCAAAGGAAACAAAACAATCTTTTTAAAAAATCTTTACATGCAAGTCATGTTTGCACAAAGTGATTTCTTTGCGCATGTGTCACAGACAACCACAACAACAAAAAGCTGGTAAGTTTTGCTTTCACTATCTGAATACAGTGTAGTAAACAACACATTGTACTGTACTCATTTTAGACTAAAAGCAGTGAATGTGCTCGTAGTACAATATTTTTTCTCCTTAATGTTTACTGCTATAAATGAATATTGTTTGTGTCATAGGTAACTAATTCTACTAAGCTTAAGCTGTTAGGAATAAGTGACATATTTGATAAAACACATAATAAAGAGAAATTTCTTAACATCATCTAATCTAATAACTTGTTATTCTACAGCGATAAAGTTGATAATGATGGAGCTATAAACCGCAGTTAAAATAAATAAAAAAGTAATAATGAAACTAGCAGACACTCGTTCTTTCTATAACTGATAACAAAAGACCTGGGCATGAACAACTCACTTTAGTTTTGTATCTCACCAATCAGATTCTTAAGAATAATGACCACATTCTTAAAGGAAAGAATAGTTTCTTTCAGTAGCTCTTGCAAAAAGAAATTAACTTTGAATGTTTTCTTGATGTACATGTGCATTAAAAAACAAACTATAAGAGCTTTTTCATACCAAAGTACAAATTTATGCCATTAAGATTTGTGTTACTAAAATGTAGAATTCTAAATGAATTATTATTTATTTATTTTCAGTATTAGTATTAAGTTTAGTAATAACAACAAAAGTGATAATTCATATATATTTTGATATCCTAAATTGAACTTAACAAATTGTAGTTAACAGAGGACTTTACAGATAATTTAAGCAGTGCTGTAAATTGCAGATCAAGCGGAGATCTTGTAAGATCCACAAATAATAAGAGGCTGTTTTCATGCAACCTATTGCAGGCCTTGCTGTCAGCATCATAAACAGCAGAATAAAACATGTCTTGATCCTTTAGGTCATATTATGACTACATGCCTAATGATTATTCTTTAATATAAACGGATGCCAGTTAATCATTTGCGTCAATAAAGATGTAAATAGGAGATAAAATTGTAAACGAGTAATAATGAAACTAGCAGACACGTGCTTGACTTTGAGCAACAGGTGAAGGTTTACCATTCATGCAAAGATGACTGATTAAAGTAAACACTGTATTTAATCAATGCATTTGTTAATTTGATAAAGAATGTATTAAATGTTAACTTATGTATCATGCAGGTGTGACTCACATGTGTAGTAACTTTTTTTTACATGTGAAGCCCTTTCCTCATCAGTCGTAAGCTTAACGTTTCCAGTAAAACGGCTAGTTTCTAGTTATCTCTCATCTCCTGCATATGTGCCATGTTCTCAATCAATGCAAACAGCTGATTTCACTGATTCAATCAGTTAAGGGTCAAAAATCAGTATTTGGTTGGAAGGACTCTTTCTTACCTGCTGGGACTTCCATGTCAAGACAGGAGATGCATTGCTCGCTGTCTCCGTGGAGGTTCGACACACAGGAGTCATCCTGCTGGGAATGTCAACATCCAGTGAGGTGGGGCGTTCAGGTGCAGGACAGGACCTTCTGGTGCGAAACAGCTCCCTTTTCTCTGAGCCTGCAGCAGAGTGTAGATACATCTTTTTACAATAGTCATTCACACAATTACTTGGCATGGTCAACAAATAAATAAGAACAAGAAAACGGGCCGTGCAGCCCAAACACATCGTTATCTAACAGTAAACTTACCCAGAAGGAAAATGGAGCACGTCTGTCCGTAGATGTCTATCATGGCCCACAGCGGCTTGCTCAGATCCACTCCTGTCAGTAGTTTGTGCTGCCTGATGTTGTTGCTAGTAATGTATAAGGAGCCTCCATTGGAAACCCAGAACTCAAGCTCTGAACCTGCTTGGCAGTAGGATTCATGCACGGGAGCAGCCCAGTGCCCGGAGATGTCAGTGAGGTTGGGGATGGCCATGTCGGGCAGAGGCTGAGATCTGGCTGAAGGTGGCACGTTGGTGAAGCCCACACGCAGAGCTCCTTGGCAGTTCATCAAATCCTTCTCCACCCTCAGAAGAATCCTCTCCTGGACCTTCACTGGGCGGCTAATGAACACCAGGCCGTTCCTGAACGTCTTCCCCGTCCTCTCTGCGAGTCGACACCCCTGGCTCAGGCGCACATTGTCTCCCACAGCCTGAGAGTGGAAGGTCAGAGGACCGAGGCAGGACAGGCCACACCGGAGTGACCTCTCTGACCCAACAACTGCAAAGGAAACAAAACAATCTTTTTAAAAAATCTTTACATGCAAGTCATGTTTGCACAAAGTGATTTCTTTGCGCATGTGTCACAGACAACCACAACAACAAAAAGCTGGTAGTTTTGCTTTCACTATCTGAATACAGTGTAGTAAACAACACATTGTACTGTAGTCATTTTAGACTAAAAGCAGTGAATGTGCTCGTAGTACAATATTTTTTCTCCTTAATGTTTACTGCTATAAATGAAGATTGTTTGTGTCATAGGTAACTAATTCTACTAAGCTTAAGCTGTTAGGAATAAGTGACATATTTGATAAAACACATAATAAAGAGAAATTTCTTAACATCATCTAATCTAATAACTTGTTATTCTACAGCGATAAAGTTGATAATGATGGAGCTATAAACCGCAGTTAAAATAAATAAAAAAGTAATAATGAAACTAGCAGACACTCGTTCTTTCTATAACTGATAACAAAAGACCTGGGCATGAACAACTCACTTTAGTTTTGTATCTCACCAATCAGATTCTTAAGAATAATGACCACATTCTTAAAGGAAAGAATAGTTTCTTTCAGTAGCTCTTGCAAAAAGAAATTAACTTAAAATGTTTTCTTGATGTACATGTGCATTAAAAAACGATCTATAAGAGCTTTTTCATACCAAAGTACAAATTTATGCCATTAAGATTTGTGTTACTAAAATGTAGAATTCTAAATGAATTATTATTTATTTATTTTCAGTTTTAGCATTTAGTTTAGTAAAAACATCAAAATAGATACTTTATTTTGGCAACCTAAATGTAACTTGACAAACAAGGGGGATCCAGTAAGATCCACAAATGATAAGAGGCTGTTTTCACACAACCTATCGCGGGCCTTGCTGTCAGTATCATACAGCAGAAAAAGACATATCATCATCCTCGAGGTCGCGTTATGATCACATTCCCAGTGTTGTCAGTTAATCATTTGTTTCAGTAAAGTTGCAGAAAGCAAATAAAAAAAAGTAAACAAGCAAGACGCTTGTGCTTTCACTTTGTGGGAACAGGTGCGGGTGTGCAATTCATGCAAAAATGGATGATTAAAGTGAAAACTGTATAATAAAAAAAAACAATTTGCAGTAAATGATAACTTATTTATCCTGTGACTCACACATAGCAACATCTTAATTTGCATGTGAAGCCCTTTACTCATCAATAACAAGCTGAACGTTTCCAGTAAAACATATAGTTTCTAGTTATCTCTCATCTCCTTTATTTCACAGTTTACGGCACAGGTCATAAATCCTATATTCCTCCTATTTCTTTTGATCAGTTTTACAGCAGTTATAACTAAACAATTTTTTTTATATACCAAAGTAATATACCTTTGCCATTAGGATTTGTTAGTAAAATGTAAAACTGTAAATGAATTACTATTATTTTTTAGTAACTTATTTTCAGTAGCAGTATTTTGTTTAGTAACATCAACACTGATACTTTATATATAATTTCGCAACCTAAATGTAACTTGACAAAATGTGATTATAGAAGACCTTACTGACAGTTAAAGCAGTTTAGTAAATTGCATATCACGTTGACTGAAGACCAAGATTAAATATCTCACCAGAGTTCTCCTTGTCACTCTCCTTCTCCATCTTGAAGAGGCAGATTGTTCTTGTCTTCTTGTCTTGAGAGATGATGTGGTCAAGTCTGTGTCTTGGTTTAATGAGCAGGCTTTAAAACATGGTGCACGTGGTGTCAAAACAGACACATCCCAGCATCACAAGGAAAAGGAATGGGGAGGGACTGAGGGAGGAGCCAAACCTTGGAAATTTACCTGATGAGGGAGGGCACGGTGCCAACAGTAGTTTTGTTTTTAGCGCAACTCACGTTTATCTTAAATGGTCTCTGTTTTAATCAGTGACTTTTACAGCAGCAATGTGAATACCCGGATGTGAGGTCCTGAATTGTATGGAATTAGCTCCCATATAGAATAGTATCACTTTCATTATTAGTCATGGTCTTGATTGTGTTTTATGCTGAAAGACAAAGGTCATGCAAACAAACATTTATGTACATTTCTTTTACATAAGTGAAGAAACAGTAGCCTACTTTAACTTACCATTAACATCCGTAAATGATGAGATGCTGTTAAAATACGTCAAATATTGCAGGGCCTTGTAATCAGTATCATTAACGGCTGACAAACCCCCTCTCACACTCAGATGAGGTAGAAAGATATGTATATACTGACATTTTATCGGACCCACAGTACAATAATCTCTTTTAGGAAAGGCAATGCAATCTGGCCTCATTTTAGAGAAATGTTCAAAAAGCCACCTAACTCAACACATCGTGGAAAATACCCCAAACACAAAAGTATTGGCTATCACCGCTACCCGGACTGACTCTGTGATTTAAAGAAACCCTAAACATGCGTATGTGATGAGATCATGCAAAGATTCATTCTTAAAAATTTCCTCACTTGCTGCTGCCTATTCTCTCACCAGTGTGTACAGAGCTTTGTCGCCCTCTACAGGACACATGCTCATATTTCAATAGTCCTCATTGGTTTGCATTCCTAATCATGTGACAGGAATGGGCCATGAGAAATCCTAAATGACATCATCACTCTTGGAAAGTTTATAGCTTTTCTCCTACTATGACCATAAAATCACATGTCTTTTCCCCAGACGTCATGTCACAATAATTTACTCTGCAGGCCACACCTGAATTCTGAATTACGAGATGTAGGTATTTTAACTTGTATTACACCCTTATGTGAAGCATGTTTTTAGGGAAAAGTATATCCTGTAGACCAAGTGTTTGATTCTAGGCATTAGAATAATTTATTCTATGCATCCTGTAGTTAAATACTGCAAAAATGCATTGATGTATCCACCCCAATTCAAAAAGCATAACAGTAAGTCACATAATATCAACATTTAGATGACTAAATTTGTTCATAGAGTCATAGAGCCAATGGCAAGGCATTAATGCAGTGTGTGAGACCCAGGCCAATCCCGGGCTGCATTCTAACGTGGCTTATCTTTTACCATGGTGCCACTCCAAATGGATTGTGCCTTCTGGCTGATCCTGAAAAAAACGTCCATTCCCAAAGATGCACTGTTCCAAAACCATCCTCTTGTCTTACTTTCACAGAGTTATTCTGCTGTGGACATTCATATGATAAGCAGTTTTACACTGCCTCTTAGTGGTCCTGAGAAGATCTCTGTGGAGTTGATATTTTACCATGAAGACAGACAGGTGTCGCCAGAATCACAAACATGCCACCATCCATCTAGCTGTAGAAATGCTTTCAAAGCACAAAACATTGACATTGATTGTGAGCTGGAGGGATTTCCAATGCCAGACAAGGGATGCACTCATTGCTGTTTCATAAAGGCTTCCTTAACTTGATTCAGGAACACAGTTCAAACTGTAATCATTTTGTCATACAGGCTATTCATGAACTATTAGGCCTACTGGGGTTTGGTCAATATTTCATGCCACTGTTGGTGGGGACAAGAAAAACATCTCCCAGAGTTACATTTTAGAAACGAAGTTGCCAAGTGTCTGAAAAAGTTTGACAGGTGACCAAACCACTGTGAGGCATCTGAGGGGGAAGGACATACTCTTTCAAAACCTAAAAGCAAATTGGACTGGTAGTAAAGAACAAGAGTTATATTTAATTGTTTTGATCAAAATTGTTGCTAGGGATAATTCAGAAGTCCTGGATATTGGTAGGGAAATCTCTTGTAGCCGTACACCTTCTTTTATACAGTTTATGGTCGAGACATGTCCATAATGTATGTAGGCTTGTTACATTATATTGTAAAATAAAAACTCAATTTGCAGCACAAAGGTTGGTTATATATGAAAAATAACAAGTGAGAACACAAACAGCTCTGTTTAATTCTGACCCGGCCTCTGTCATGCGGCTGCAGCACTTTCTCTTTCACTCCAACCGCTGCTGTGCTCATTTACAGGGGAGAAAGTAAGAGAGACCCACATCGGCCAAACCCAATTCTTGATATTATAATTGTGATGTGTAATTTAGATTTAATAGAACTGCTATTGCTAAATACATATTTTGTGTAGCCATGTTCTTTTGGTAAATGCATGTGAAATATCAGGCCTATAAAGGAAAAGAACAAGACAAATAGAGAAGGTACAACATACAGCAATTGGACCTCATAACCTCAACTTACCCTGTAAATAGGGCATGTCAGTGCTAGATATCTATCATGGCCCTCAGTGGGTGGCTGAGCTCAACCCCTGTTATTTGTTTGATCTGCTGTTGCTTGTGACTTAAAGCATTTGCTGCTGGAAAGACAGAGTCTGTGTTTGCCTTTGAGATTCTATTTCCGTCTTATAACTCTCTAAATCTGCCACACACACATTTAACAATAAATAAACAAATTGAACTAAGAAAATAGAATATCATTAGACATAAGACATTTTATTTTGTCTTTGTTTGTTTTTACATACATATAAATATTTTACATATTTACAAAAGATGCAAAATATCATTTTCTGAAATAAAAAATAATAAAAAGTTTGATTTAAGATGTATAACATCAAGAAGGCAAAATATACTGTACAGTTGAAAAAAATGCAAATTACATTACTCTTTATGCTGTGAGTGCAATAAGTCATAGATTGTCCTCATCAAAATGTTTGATGTTTGGCAATCACAATAAAAGTGCATTTTACTCTTTGTTCACAAATCCTTTTACAGAGTTGAATAACAATTATGCGACAAAGTTTCCTGGCTGGGCTTGAATCAGGCACACTGTGGTCACATGGCAAACCTCCCCAACCACTGGGCTACCAGGACACATTAGGTGGGCGCTGCTCGTAGTGTTTTCTTTGTTACAGTCACTCAGTAGCTTGTATTTGATGAGCCTTGCCTGGTGTCTCGGAGCTTAGAGCCCCCAAATAACAGACCTCCCCTACAGTGATGGTGCTAGATGTCCGTCGACATAGAGGGCAGGTGCCAAACTGCTGGCAGACCTTGGGGGCGCAGCGGTCACACAAACACCTGTGGCCACAGGGTAGAGTGATTCTGGCCTCTTTTGCCATGCACACCACACAGGACATTGCCCTGCTTTCACCTGTGAACAAAACAGAGGAATCACAATTACAAAGACTGACATAAGAGATAGGCAAATGTGTGCCATATTTGAATCAACGCAAACAGCTGATTTCACTGATTCAATCAGTTAAGGGTCAAAAATCAGTATTTGGTTGGAAGGACTCTTTCTTACCTGCTGGGACTTCCATGTCAAGACAGGAGATGCATTGCTCGCTGTTTCCATGGAGGTTCGACACAACAGGAGTCATCCTGCTGGGAATGTCAACATCCAGTGAGGTGGGGCGTTCAGGTGCAGGACAGGACCTTCTGGTGCGAAACAGCTCCCTTTTCTCTGAGCCTGCAGCAGAGTGTAGATACATTAAATCACTTCATCTTTTTACAATAGTCATTCACACAATTACTTGGCATGGTCAACAAATAAATAAGAACAAGAAAACGGGCCGTGCAGCCCAAACACATCGTTATCTAACAGTAAACTTACCCAGAAGGAAAATGGAGCACGTCTGTCCGTAGATGTCTATCATGGCCCACAGCGGCTTGCTCAGATCCACTCCTGTCAGTAGTTTGTGCTGCCTGATGTTGTTGCTAGTAATGTATAAGGAGCCTCCATTGGAAACCCAGAACTCAAGCTCTGAACCTGCTTGGCAGTAGGATTCATGCACGGGAGCAGCCCAGTGCCCGGAGATGTCAGTGAGGTTGGGGATGGCCATGTCGGGCAGAGGCTGAGATCTGGCTGAAGGTGGCACGTTGGTGAAGCCCACACGCAGAGCTCCTTGGCAGTTCATCAAATCCTTCTCCACCCTCAGAAGAATCCTCTCCTGGACCTCCACTGGGCGGCTAATGAACACCAGGCCGTTCCTGAACGTCTTCCCCGTCCTCTCTGCGAGTCGACACCCCTGGCTCAGGCGCACATTGTCTCCCACAGCCTGAGAGTGGAAGGTCAGAGGACCGAGGCAGGACAGGCCACACCGGAGTGACCTCTCTGACCCAACAACTGCAAAGGAAACAAAACAATCTTTTTAAAAAATTGTTACATACAAGTCATGTTTGCACAAAGTGATTTCTTTGCGCATGTGTCACAGACAACCACAACAACAAAAAGCTGGTAAGTTTTGCTTTCACTATCTGAATACAGTGTAGTAAACAACACATTGTACTGTACTCATTTTAGACTAAAAGCAGTGAATGTGCTCGTAGTACAATATTTTTTCTCCTTAATGTTTACTGCTATAAATGAATATTGTTTGTGTCATAGGTAACTAATTCTACTAAGCTTAAGCTGTTAGGAATAAGTGACATATTTGATAAAACACATAATAAAGAGAAATTTCTTAACATCATCTAATCTAATAACTTGTTATTCTACAGCGATAAAGTTGATAATGATGGAGCTATAAACCGCAGTTAAAATAAATAAAAAAGTAATAATGAAACTAGCAGACACTCGTTCTTTCTATAACTGATAACAAAAGACCTGGGCATGAACAACTCACTTTAGTTTTGTATCTCACCAATCAGATTCTTAAGAATAATGACCACATTCTTAAAGGAAAGAATAGTTTCTTTCAGTAGCTCTTGAAAAAGAAATTAACTTTGAATGTTTCTTGATGTACATGTGCATTAAAAAAAAACTATAAGAGCTTTTTCATACCAAAGTACAAATTTATGCCATTAAGATTTGTGTTACTAAAATGTAGAATTCTAAATGAATTATTATTTATTTATTTTCAGTATTAGTATTAAGTTTAGTAATAACAACAAAAGTGATAATTCATATATATTTTGACATCCTAAATTGAACTTAACAAATTGTAGTTAACAGAGGACTTTACAGATATTTAAGCAGTGCTGTAAATTGCAGATCAAGCGGAGATCTTGTAAGATCCACAAATAATAAGAGGCTGTTTTCATGCAACCTATTGCAGGCCCTGCTGTCAGCATCATAAACAGCAGAATAAAACATGTCTTGATCCTTTAGGTCATATTATGACTACATGCCTAATGATTATTCTTTAATATAAACGGATGCCAGTTAATATTTGCGTCAATAAAGATGTAAATAGGAGATAAAATTGTAAACGAGTAATAATGAAACTAGCAGACACGTGCTTGACTTTGAGCAACAGGTGAAGGTTTACCATTCATGCAAAGATGACTGATTAAAGTAAACACTGTATTTAATCAATGCATTTGTTAATTTGATAAAGAATGTATTAAATGTTAACTTATGTATCATGCAGGTGTGACTCACATGTGTAGTAACTTTTTTTTACATGTGAAGCCCTTTCCTCATCAGTCGTAAGCTTAACGTTTCCAGTAAAACGGCTAGTTTCTAGTTATCTCTCATCTCCTGCATATGTGCCATGTTCTCAATCAATGCAAACAGCTGATTTCACTGATTCAATCAGTTAAGGGTCAAAAATCAGTATTTGGTTGGAAGGACTCTTTCTTACCTGCTGGGACTTCCATGTCAAGACAGGAGATGCATTGCTCGCTGTCTCCGTGGAGGTTCGACACAGCAGGAGTCATCCTGCTGGGATTGTCAACATCCAGTGAGGTGGGGCGTTCAGGTGCAGGACAGGACCTTCTGGTGTGAAACAGCTCCCTTTTCTCTGAGCCTGCAGCAGAGTGTAGATACATCTTTTTACAATAGTCATTCACACAATTACTTGGCATGGTCAACAAATAAATAAGAACAAGAAAACGGGCCGTGCAGCCCAAACACATGTTATCTAACAGTAAACTTACCCAGAAGGAAAATGGAGCACGTCTGTCCGTAGATGTCTATCATGGCCCACAGCGGCTTGCTCAGATCCACTCCTGTCAGTAGTTTGTGCTGCCTGATGTTGTTGCTAGTAATGTATAAGGAGCCTCCATTGGAAACCCAGAACTCCAGCACTGAACCTGCTTGGCAGTAGGATTCATGCACGGGAGCAGCCCAGTGCCCGGAGATGTCAGTGAGGTTGGGGATGGCCATGTCGGGCAGAGGCTGAGATCTGGCTGAAGGTGGCACGTTGGTGAAGCCCACACGCAGAGCTCCTTGGCAGTTCATCAAATCCTTCTCCACCCTCAGACGAATCCTCTCCTGGACCTCACTGGGCGGCTAATGAACACCAGGCCGTTCCTGAACGTCTTCCCCGTCCTCTCTGCGAGTCGACACCCCTGGCTCAGGCGCACATTGTCTCCCACAGCCTGAGAGTGGAAGGTCAGAGGACCGAGGCAGGACAGGCCACACCGGAGTGACCTCTCTGACCCAACAACTGCAAAGGAAACAAAACAATCTTTTTAAAAAATCTTTACATGCAAGTCATGTTTGCACAAAGTGATTTCTTTGCGCATGTGTCACAGACAACCACAACAACAAAAAGCTGGTAAGTTTTGCTTTCACTATCTGAATACAGTGTAGTAAACAACACATTGTACTGTACTCATTTTAGACTAAAAGCAGTGAATGTGCTCGTAGTACAATATTTTTTCTCCTTAATGTTTACTGCTATAAATGAATATTGTTTGTGTCATAGGTAACTAATTCTACTAAGCTTAAGCTGTTAGGAATAAGTGACATATTTGATAAAACACATAATAAAGAGAAATTTCTTAACATCATCTAATCTAATAACTTGTTATTCTACAGCGATAAAGTTGATAATGATGGAGCTATAAACCGCAGTTAAAATAAATAAAAAAGTAATAATGAAACTAGCAGACACTCGTTCTTTCTATAACTGATAACAAAAGACCTGGGCATGAACAACTCACTTTAGTTTTGTATCTCACCAATCAGATTCTTAAGAATAATGACCACATTCTTAAAGGAAAGAATAGTTTCTTTCAGTAGCTCTTGCAAAAAGAAATTAACTTTGAATGTTTTCTTGATGTACATGTGCATTAAAAAACAAACTATAAGAGCTTTTTCATACCAAAGTACAAATTTATGCCATTAAGATTTGTGTTACTAAAATGTAGAATTCTAAATGAATTATTATTTATTTATTTTCAGTATTAGTATTAAGTTTAGTAATAACAACAAAAGTGATAATTCATATATTTTGACATCCTAAATTGAACTTAACAAATTGTAGTTAACAGAGGACTTTACAGATAATTTAAGCAGTGCTGTAAATTGCAGATCAAGCGGAGATCTTGTAAGATCCACAAATAATAAGAGGCTGTTTTCATGCAACCTATTGCAGGCCTTGCTGTCAGCATCATAAACAGCAGAATAAAACATGTCTTGATCCTTTAGGTCATATTATGACTACATGCCTAATGATTATTCTTTAATATAAACGGATGCCAGTTAATCATTTGCGTCAATAAAGATGTAAATAGGAGATAAAATTGTAAACGAGTAATAATGAAACTAGCAGACACGTGCTTGACTTTGAGCAACAGGTGAAGGTTTACCATTCATGCAAAGATGACTGATTAAAGTAAACACTGTATTTAATCAATGCATTTGTTAATTTGATAAAGAATGTATTAAATGTTAACTTATGTATCATGCAGGTGTGACTCACATGTGTAGTAACTTTTTTTTACATGTGAAGCCCTTTCCTCATCAGTCGTAAGCTTAACGTTTCCAGTAAAACGGCTAGTTTCTAGTTATCTCTCATCTCCTGCATATGTGCCATGTTCTCAATCAATGCAAACAGCTGATTTCACTGATTCAATCAGTTAAGGGTCAAAAATCAGTATTTGGTTGAAAGGACTCTTTCTTACCTGCTGGGACTTCCATGTCAAGACAGGAGATGCATTGCTCGCTGTCTCCGTGGAGGTTCGACACAGCAGGAGTCATCCTGCTGGGAATGTCAACATCCAGTGAGGTGGGGCGTTCAGGGTGCAGGACAGGACCTTCTGGTGCGAAACAGCTCCCTTTTCTCTGAGCCTGCAGCAGAGTGTAGATACATCTTTTTACAATAGTCATTCACACAATTACTTGGCATGGTCAACAAATAAATAAGAACAAGAAAACGGGCCGTGCAGCCCAAACACATCGTTATCTAACAGTAAACTTACCCAGAAGGAAAATGGAGCACGTCTGTCCGTAGATGTCTATCATGGCCCACAGCGGCTTGCTCAGATCCACTCCTGTCAGTAGTTTGTGCTGCCTGATGTTGTTGCTAGTAATGTATAAGGAGCCTCCATTGGAAACCCAGAACTCAAGCTCTGAACCTGCTTGGCAGTAGGATTCATGCACGGGAGCAGCCCAGTGCCCGGAGATGTCAGTGAGGTTGGGGATGGCCATGTCGGGCAGAGGCTGAGATCTGGCTGAAGGTGGCACGTTGGTGAAGCCCACACGCAGAGCTCCTTGGCAGTTCATCAAATCCTTCTCCACCCTCAGAAGAATCCTCTCCTGGACCTTCACTGGGCGGCTAATGAACACCAGGCCGTTCCTGAACGTCTTCCCCGTCCTCTCTGCGAGTCGACACCCCTGGCTCAGGCGCACATTGTCTCCCACAGCCTGAGAGTGGAAGGTCAGAGGACCGAGGCAGGACAGGCCACACCGGAGTGACCTCTCTGACCCAACAACTGCAAAGGAAACAAAACAATCTTTTTAAAAAATCTTTACATGCAAGTCATGTTTGCACAAAGTGATTTCTTTGCGCATGTGTCACAGACAACCACAACAACAAAAAGCTGGTAGTTTTGCTTTCACTATCTGAATACAGTGTAGTAAACAACACATTGTACTGTAGTCATTTTAGACTAAAAGCAGTGAATGTGCTCGTAGTACAATATTTTTTCTCCTTAATGTTTACTGCTATAAATGAAGATTGTTTGTGTCATAGGTAACTAATTCTACTAAGCTTAAGCTGTTAGGAATAAGTGACATATTTGATAAAACACATAATAAAGAGAAATTTCTTAACATCATCTAATCTAATAACTTGTTATTCTACAGCGATAAAGTTGATAATGATGGAGCTATAAACCGCAGTTAAAATAAATAAAAAAGTAATAATGAAACTAGCAGACACTCGTTCTTTCTATAACTGATAACAAAAGACCTGGGCATGAACAACTCACTTTAGTTTTGTATCTCACCAATCAGATTCTTAAGAATAATGACCACATTCTTAAAGGAAAGAATAGTTTCTTTCAGTAGCTCTTGCAAAAAGAAATTAACTTAAAATGTTTTCTTGATGTACATGTGCATTAAAAAACGATCTATAAGAGCTTTTTCATACCAAAGTACAAATTTATGCCATTAAGATTTGTGTTACTAAAATGTAGAATTCTAAATGAATTATTATTTATTTATTTTCAGTTTTAGCATTTAGTTTAGTAAAAACATCAAAATAGATACTTTATTTTGGCAACCTAAATGTAACTTGACAAACAAGGGGGATCCAGTAAGATCCACAAATGATAAGAGGCTGTTTTCACACAACCTATCGCGGGCCTTGCTGTCAGTATCATACAGCAGAAAAAGACATATCATCATCCTCGAGGTCGCGTTATGATCACATTCCCAGTGTTGTCAGTTAATCATTTGTTTCAGTAAAGTTGCAGAAAGCAAATAAAAAAAAGTAAACAAGCAAGACGCTTGTGCTTTCACTTTGTGGGAACAGGTGCGGGTGTGCAATTCATGCAAAAATGGATGATTAAAGTGAAAACTGTATAATAAAAAAAAACAATTTGCAGTAAATGATAACTTATTTATCCTGTGACTCACACATAGCAACATCTTAATTTGCATGTGAAGCCCTTTACTCATCAATAACAAGCTGAACGTTTCCAGTAAAACATATAGTTTCTAGTTATCTCTCATCTCCTTTATTTCACAGTTTACGGCACAGGTCATAAATCCTATATTCCTCCTATTTCTTTTGATCAGTTTTACAGCAGTTATAACTAAACAATTTTTTTATATACCAAAGTAATATACCTTTGCCATTAGGATTTGTTAGTAAAATGTAAAACTGTAAATGAATTACTATTATTTTTTAGTAACTTATTTTCAGTAGCAGTATTTTGTTTAGTAACATCAACACTGATACTTTATATATAATTTCGCAACCTAAATGTAACTTGACAAAATGTGATTATAGAAGACCTTACTGACAGTTAAAGCAGTTTAGTAAATTGCATATCACGTTGACTGAAGACCAAGATTAAATATCTCACCAGAGTTCTCCTTGTCACTCTCCTTCTCCATCTTGAAGAGGCAGATTGTTCTTGTCTTCTTGTCTTGAGAGATGATGTGGTCAAGTCTGTGTCTTGGTTTAATGAGCAGGCTTTAAAACATGGTGCACGTGGTGTCAAAACAGACACATCCCAGCATCACAAGGAAAAGGAATGGGGAGGGACTGAGGGAGGAGCCAAACCTTGGAAATTTACCTGATGAGGGAGGGCACGGTGCCAACAGTAGTTTTGTTTTTAGCGCAACTCACGTTTATCTTAAATGGTCTCTGTTTTAATCAGTGACTTTTACAGCAGCAATGTGAATACCCGGATGTGAGGTCCTGAATTGTATGGAATTAGCTCCCATATAGAATAGTATCACTTTCATTATTAGTCATGGTCTTGATTGTGTTTTATGCTGAAAGACAAAGGTCATGCAAACAAACATTTATGTACATTTCTTTTACATAAGTGAAGAAACAGTAGCCTACTTTAACTTACCATTAACATCCGTAAATGATGAGATGCTGTTAAAATACGTCAAATATTGCAGGGCCTTGTAATCAGTATCATTAACGGCTGACAAACCCCCTCTCACACTCAGATGAGGTAGAAAGATATGTATATACTGACATTTTATCGGACCCACAGTACAATAATCTCTTTTAGGAAAGGCAATGCAATCTGGCCTCATTTTAGAGAAATGTTCAAAAAGCCACCTAACTCAACACATCGTGGAAAATACCCCAAACACAAAAGTATTGGCTATCACCGCTACCCGGACTGACTCTGTGATTTAAAGAAACCCTAAACATGCGTATGTGATGAGATCATGCAAAGATTCATTCTTAAAAATTTCCTCACTTGCTGCTGCCTATTCTCTCACCAGTGTGTACAGAGCTTTGTCGCCCTCTACAGGACACATGCTCATATTTCAATAGTCCTCATTGGTTTGCATTCCTAATCATGTGACAGGAATGGGCCATGAGAAATCCTAAATGACATCATCACTCTTGGAAAGTTTATAGCTTTTCTCCTACTATGACCATAAAATCACATGTCTTTTCCCCAGACGTCATGTCACAATAATTTACTCTGCAGGCCACACCTGAATTCTGAATTACGAGACGTAGGTATTTTAACTTGTATTACACCCTTATGTGAAGCATGTTTTTAGGGAAAAGTATATCCTGTAGACCAAGTGTTTGATTCTAGGCATTAGAATCATTTATTCTATGCATCCTGTAGTTAAATACTGCAAAAATGCATTGATGTATCCACCCCAATTCAAAAAGCATAACAGTAAGTCACATAATATCAACATTTAGATGACTAAATTTGTTCATAGAGTCATAGAGCCAATGGCAAGGCATTAATGCAGTGTGTGAGACCCAGGCCAATCCCGGGCTGCATTCTAACGTGGCTTATCTTTTACCATGGTGCCACTCCAAATGGATTGTGCCTTCTGGCTGATCCTGAAAAAAACGTCCATTCCCAAAGATGCACTGTTCCAAAACCATCCTCTTGTCTTACTTTCACAGAGTTATTCTGCTGTGGACATTCATATGATAAGCAGTTTTACACTGCCTCTTAGTGGTCCTGAGAAGATCTCTGTGGAGTTGATATTTTACCATGAAGACAGACAGGTGTCGCCAGAATCACAAACATGCCACCATCCATCTAGCTGTAGAAATGCTTTCAAAGCACAAAACATTGACATTGATTGTGAGCTGGAGGGATTTCCAATGCCAGACAAGGGATGCACTCATTGCTGTTTCATAAAGGCTTCCTTAACTTGATTCAGGAACACAGTTCAAACTGTAATCATTTTGTCATACAGGCTATTCATGAACTATTAGGCCTACTGGGGTTTGGTCAATATTTCATGCCACTGTTGGTGGGGACAAGAAAAACATCTCCCAGAGTTACATTTTAGAAACGAAGTTGCCAAGTGTCTGAAAAAGTTTGACAGGTGACCAAACCACTGTGAGGCATCTGAGGGGGAAGGACATAATCTTTCAAAACCTAAAAGCAAATTGGACTGGTTGTAAAGAACAAGAGTTATATTTAATTGTTTTGATCAAAATTGTTGCTAGGGATAATTCAGAAGTCCTGGATATTGGTAGGGAAATCTCTTGTAGCCGTACACCTTCTTTTATACAGTTTATGGTCGAGACATGTCCATAATGTATGTAGGCTTGTTACATTATATTGTAAAATAAAAACTCAATTTGCAGCACAAAGGTTCATTATATATGAAAAATAACAAGTGAGAACAACAAACAGCTCTGTTTAATTCTGACCCGGCCTCTGTCATGCGGCTGCAGCACTTTCTCTTTCACTCCAACCGCTGCTGTGCTCATTTACAGGGGAGAAAGTAAGAGAGACCCACATCGGCCAAACCCAATTCTTGATATTATAATTGTGATGTGTAATTTAGATTTAATAGAACTGCTATTGCTAAATACATATTTTGTGTAGCCATGTTCTTTTGGTAATACATGTGAAATATCAGGCCTATAAAGGAAAAGAACAAGACAAATAGAGAAGGTACAACATACAGCAATTGGACCTCATAACCTCAACTTACCCTGTAAATAGGGCATGTCAGTGCTAGATATCTATCATGGCCCTCAGTGGGTGGCTGAGCTCAACCCCTGTTATTTGTTTGATCTGCTGTTGCTTGTGACTTAAAGCATTTGCTGCTGGAAAGACAGAGTCTGTGTTTGCCTTTGAGATTCTATTTCCGTCTTATAACTCTCTAAATCTGCCACACACACATTTAATAAAAAAATAAACAAATTGAACTAAGAAAATAGAATATCATTAGACATAAGACATTTTATTTTGTCTTTGTTTGTTTTTACATACATATAAATATTTTACATATTTACAAAAGATGCAAAATATCATTTTCTGAGATAAAAAAAAAATAAAAAAGTTTGATTTAAGATGTATAACATCAAGAAGGCAAAATATACTGTACAGTTGAAAAAAATGCAAATTACATTACTCTTTATGCTGTGAGTGCAATAAGTCATAGATTGTCCTCACCAAAATGTTTGATGTTTGGCAATCACAATAAAAGTGCATTTTACTCTTTGTTCACAAATCCTTTTACAGAGTTGAATAACAATTATGCGACAAAGTTTCCTGGCTGGGCTTGAATCAGGCACACTGTGGTCACATGGCAAACCTCCCCAACCACTGGGCTACCAGGACACATTAGGTGGGCGCTGCTCGTAGTGTTTTCTTTGTTACAGTCACTCAGTAGCTTGTATTTGATGAGCCTTGCCTGGTGTCTCGGAGCTTAGAGCCCCCAAATAACAGACCTCCCCTACAGTGATGGTGCATAGATGTCCCGTCGACATAGAGGGCAGGTGCCAAACTGCTGGCAGACCTTGGGGGCGCAGCGGTCACACAAACACCTGTGGCCACAGGGTAGAGTGATTCTGGCCTCTTTTGCCATGCACACCACACAGGACATTACCCTGCTTTCACCTGTGAACAAAACAGAGGAATCACAATTACAAAGACTGACATAAGAGATAGGCAAATGTGTGCCATATTTTGAATCAACACAAACAGCTGATTTCACTGATTCAATCAGTTAAGGGTCAAAAATCAGTATTTGGTTGGAAGGACTCTTTCTTACCTGCTGGGACTTCCATGTCAAGACAGGAGATGCATTGCTCGCTGTTTCCATGGAGGTTCGACACAACAGGAGTCATCCTGCTGGGAATGTCAACATCCGTGAGGTGGGGCGTTCAGGTGCAGGACAGGACCTTCTGGTGCGAAACAGCTCCCTTTTCTCTGAGCCTGCAGCAGAGTGTAGATACATCTTTTTACAATAGTCATTCACACAATTACTTGGCATGGTCAACAAATAAATAAGAACAAGAAAACGGGCCGTGCAGCCCAAACACATCGTTATCTAACAGTAAACTTACCCAGAAGGAAAATGGAGCACGTCTGTCCGTAGATGTCTATCATGGCCCACAGCGGCTTGCTCAGATCCACTCCTGTCAGTAGTTTGTGCTGCCTGATGTTGTTGCTAGTAATGTATAAGGAGCCTCTATTGGAAACCCAGAACTCAAGCTCTGAACCTGCTTGGCAGTAGGATTCATGCACGGGAGCAGCCCAGTGCCCGTAGATGTCAGTGAGGTTGGGGATGGCCATGTCGGGCAGAGGCTGAGATCTGGCTGAAGGTGGCACGTTGGTGAAGCCCACACGCAGAGTTCCGTGCCAGTTCATCAAATCCTTCTCCACCCTCAGACGAATCCTCTCCTGGACCTTCACTGGGCGGCTAATGAACACCAGGCCGTTCCTGAACGTCTTCTCCGTCCTCTCTGCGAGTCGACACCCCTGGCTCAGGCGCACATTATCTCCCACAGCCTGAGAGTGGAAGGTCAGAGGACCGAGGCAGGACAGGCCACACCGGAGTGACCTCTCTGACCCAACAACTGCAAAGGAAACAAAACAATCTTTTTAAAAAATCTTTACATGCAAGTCATGTTTGCACAAAGTGATTTCTTTGCGCACGTGTCACAGACAACCACAACAACAAAAAGCTGGTTAGTTTTGCTTTCACTATCTGAATACAGTGTAGTAAACAACACATTGTACTGTACTCATTTTAGACTAAAAGAAGTGAATTTAATAATACTTATTATTTTCTCCTTTATGTTTTCTGCTATATGAATGAATATTGTTTGTGTCAAAGATAACTAATTCCAATAAGCTTAAGCTGTAGTGAATAAGTGACATATTTGACAAAATATATACTTAAGTATCTCACCATAACATCATGCAGACAGAATACTGGTTCTCAGTACCTCTTGAAATTTTTTTTAAATAGAGATGTTTTCATGATGTACATGTGCATTAAAAAACGATCTATAAGAGCTTTTTTCATACCAAAGTATGAATTTATGCCATTAAGATTTGTGTTACTAAAATGTAAAATGTAAAATGAATTACTACTTATTTATTTTCAGTATTAGCATTTAGTTTAGTAATAACATCAAAATAGATACTTTATTTTGGCAACCTTAATGTAACTTGACAAACAAGAGGGATCCAGTAAGATCCACAAATGATAAGAGGCTGTTTTCACGCAACCTATTCATATTCAACCATATCATCATCTTCGAGGTCGCGTTATGATCACATTCCCAGTGTTGCCAGTTAATCATTTGTTTCAGTAAAGTTGCAGAAAGCAAATAAAATTGTAAACAAGCAAGACGCTTGTGCTTTCACTTTGTGGGAACAGGTGCGGGTGTGCAATTCATGTAGAGATGGATGTTTAAAGTGAAAACTATCAAACAATTTGCAGTAAATGATAACTTAATTATCCTGTGACTCACACATAGCAACATCTTAATTTGCATGTAAAGTGCTTTACTCATCAGTGAGGAGCTGAACGTTTCCAGTAAAACATATAGTTTCTACTTATCTCTCATCTCCTTTATTTCACAGTTTACGGCACAGGTCATAAATCCTATATTCCTCCTATTTCTTTTAATCAGTTTTACAGCAGTTATAACTAATAAGAAAAGACTTCAGCAACAACTCACTTTTGTTTTGTATCATACCTAATCAGATTTTTAAGAACAATTAACGCTTTCTTAGTGGACAGAATAGTGGCTTTCAGACAAACAAAAATCAAACAAAAATTTAAGGTTTTTTTATACCAAAGTAATATACCTTTGCCATTAGGATTTGTTACTAAAATGTAAAACATTAAATGAATTACAATTAATTTTTTAACTTATTTTCAGTTTTAGTATTTTGTTTAGTCATTACATCAACACTAATACTTTATATAATTTAGCAACCTAAATGTAACAACTTCGAGAAACAAAGAAACAAAGATCAAGATTAAATATCTCACCAGAGTTCTCGTTGTCACTCTCCTTCATCATCTTGAAGAGGCAGATTGTTCTTGTCTTGAGAGATGATGTGGTCAAATCTGTGTCTTGGTTTAATGAGCAGGCTTTAAAACATGGTGCACGTGGTGTCAAAACAGACACATCCCAGCATCACAAGGAAAAGGAATGGGGAGGGACTGAGGGAGGAGCCAAACCTTGGAAATTTACCTGATGAGGGAGGGCACGGTGCCAACAGTAGTTTTGTTTTTAGCGCAACTCACGTTTATCTTAAATGATCTCTGTTTTAATCAGTGACTTTTACAGCAGCAATGTGAATACCCGGATGTGAGGTCCTGAATTGTATGGAATTAGCTCCCATATAGAATAGTATCGCTTTCATTATTAGTCATGGTCTTGATTGTGTTTTATGCTGAAAGACAAAGGTCATGCAACAAACATTTATGTACATTTCTTAACATAAGTGAAGAAACAGTAGCCTACTTTAACTTACCAAAACGGTCCATTAACATCATAACATCATAAATGACGAGAGGCTGTTAAAATAGGCCACCTATTGCAGGGTGTCAGTACCATTAACGGCTTTTCTTAAATGAATTATAGCGCCCAGACTGAGTGGGGCTAAAAAAAAGTTAGTAAGTGTAGTTTATGAAATTGCACCGCAACGCTTCGATGGTGACGACAAGAAGAGCACGCATAACGAGAAACTTTATTTTATTATTAGGGGTGCTCATGACTTATTGAGTAGCCAAACTCCCCCCATCTCCCCTGTAGGCCTACTTAGCACTTTGCAGTGGCCTTTGTTCTTCTAAACTGAAGTGAATCTAAAATTTGAATCTCCTGACCCTGATATTGACAATAATCTCTTTTAGGAAAGGCAATGCAATCTGGCCTCATTTTAGAGAAATGTTCAAAACGCCACCTGACTCAACACATCGTGGAAAATACCCAAAACACAAAAGTATTGGTACCGCTACCCGGACTGACTCCTAAACATGCGTATGTGATGAGATCATGCAAAGGTTCATTCTTAAAAATTTCCTCACTTGCTGCTGTATATTCTCTCACCAGTGTGTACAGAGCTTTGTCGCCCTCTACAGGACACATGCTCATATTTCAATAGTCCTCATTGATTGGCAGTCCTAATCATGTGACAGGAATGGGCCATGAGAAATCCTAAATGACATCATCACTCTTGGAAAGTTACTAGCTTTCTCCTACTATTCCAATTTAAATCACGTCTTTTCCCCAGAAATCACTTCACAGTGATTAACTCTGCAGGCCACACCTGAATTCTGAATTAGGAGACGTAGGTATTTTAACTTGTATTACACCCTTATGTGAAGCATGTTTTTAGGGAAAAGTATATCCTGTAGACCTAGTGTTTGATTCTAGGCATTAGAATAATTTATTCTATGCAATCCTGTAGTTAAATACTGCAAAAATGCATTGATGCATCCACCCCAATTCAAAAAGCATAACAGTAAGTCACATAATATCAACATTTAGATGACTAAATCTGTTCTTAGAGTTCATTATAAGGCATCACAAAACAATTGAAACCTTATTTTAGTTAATATGGTTTAAAGTAAATTAAGCTAAAGCTCAACTTTTCTCTTTGTGTGCAGTGCTAGTGGTCACAGTTCAACCACCAATAATTTATTACTAAATTATATTTATATAAATTCCACAGTTGGTGAAAAAGTATGTGGCCTAATACCAGCCTCATATTAGGTTTGTTCCAGGGAACAGGGTTTGGGAACAGGGTTTGGGAACAGGGTTTGTCCCCCCCCCAACATAATGTTTGTTTTTTTTTAAAAACATCTCCAGTACTCCAATATTGAAGCAGGAAACAGACTCTTCTTCTCTCTCCTCCTCCTCCTCTGTGCACTCCAGGTTCAGCTGCCTCTGCTCCACCACACTTGGTCAGACATGGCAGGCCATCAAAAAATCAACTTGTTCCCACTCCACCTGTTCAAAACACTATTAATCTGCTGCTTTCCAATAAAAGGCTTGGCTTTCAGAGAGGAGCCAATGGCAAGGCATTAAAGCTGTGAGACCCAGGCCAATCCCAGGCTGCATTCTAATGTGGCTTATCTTTATCAAGGTGCCACTCCATTTCCAGATACTGCTTATTTATGATATTTGAGGAGAGACCCGGCAGGAGGCACATGTCTTTAGGAGAGCATTAAAATCTGCGTCCAGAGGACTCGCCCGAGATGTCAGATATGGGATTATCACACACCACAACCACACTGGGGCTGAGAAGAGGCAAAGGGCGAGAGTGAAGAGTTTATTTGCTGCTACACTGTTTCTGAAGTGGTAGCAACTTTGGCAAACACCAGGGACTTTGTTAAAATTGCTATTGGTGCTCTTATTTATTTGAATATCTGGGGACGGTGGAACATCGGGTGAGAGGACTCCTTGTCGGCCCATCAGAGGTCTTTTCCTGTCCAGATCTTATTGGATGTGTTACTGAGACCTGGAGGCAGAGTTACAGTACTCCCCATGGATCCAAACATCCAGGGGTCTTTCCTGTTCAACAACAGCCTGAACCAATTCCCCTCAGACCTCAAGGCGCCAGTGTGCCAGTACTCAGTGCCCAACTCCTTCTACAAGCTCAACCCGGGCCTCAACAGCCAGCTGCAGGCAGGGACCCCTCACGGAATCAGCGACATCCTGAGCCGCTCCATGGTAGGGATGGGCTCCACGGGCACCACCACCCTGCTGTCCGGATACTCCACAATGGGGGGGTTCGGCCCCTCCGTCACCAGCACATCCATGTACTATAACCGAGACTACAACTCCAACCTGGGCGGCTTTTCCAAGCCTGGCAGCGAGTGCCCCATGAAGGGTCGCAGTGTGAGCTGCTGGGCGGAGAGCGGCTGTGACTGGAGAGGAGGGAGGCAGCAGTGCACCAACAGTGAGTCTAAATACTGCAGACTGGACTCAACATCCAGCTCATCAACGCATTACAATTTCCCCATGTCTGTCTCCGAGGACACGACAAGACGTGTGACCTCGGAATGATGCCAGAATGTCCTTTGTCTTGACTGAAAAAGACAAATTCAATCTAATGAGAAAAGATACAGAAATAGCCTATACACTATAAAAACTTCAAAAACTCATATCACGTAGTATGTGTGTAAAATGTATGATTTGATGTAATGCTTAGATAATATAAGATATTATTAAATATATTATTAACATTTAAATTTAAGCGTCCATGTACATGTATTATCTAGAAGAAAACACAAAAACAAAGGTGTTGATTATTATTTGTGGCTTTTCAAACTTTCAATCAAACATTCATGAAATTGAACTTTTATATAACATGTGGATGATTTATTTTTAAATCAATGGCAATTTTAAACTTCTACAATATCCAATCTATAAACTGGATTCAGAAACAGAGAGTGTAATTAGGAAACTATTCCTATCCTCCACCCCCTTGCTTATGCAGATAAAAATATTGCAACACCATTTAGCAGAAACGGAAGTGGGTAAATCTAATTCCTAATTAATTTTTCCTGTGATATTTCCAGGTAGCGGGCCTCTGGGGGAGATGTCAGGCAGGAAGAAACACACCAGACCAACATTTAGCGGACATCAGATATTTGCTCTGGAGAAAACGTTCGAGCAGACCAAATACTTGGCCGGGCCTGAGAGGGCAAGACTGGCATATTCTCTGGGCATGACTGAATCACAAGTCAAGGTAAAGATAACGTTACATTTAGCCTACATTGTTAAAAATATGCCTTTGTTTAAGATGCCTTGCCTTAGTTTTTAAAAAAACACTTATTACACCAGTGGTTGTAGGCTATGTTGTTCTATTTATCATTTGTTTTATTTGCCTAAGCCTATGTGTGGTTTTTATGTGCACGTGAGGTAACTTGCAACTCCCGTTTTGAAAGGTGCAACAGAAATAGTTTGAAATGTTTACTTTTTTTGCAGACACGTGCTTAGGGAATGTGATAAGTATCACACAAGTAAGCCAAAGAATCAACAACCTGCAAGCACCTACCTTTTCCAAATTAGGCTACAACAAAAAACAAGATGGACCTGTTAAGCAATAGGCTACAAGTTTATTCATCGCCTACCCCTCCCCGCTGTGTTTAGGTGTGGTTTCAGAACCGACGGACCAAGTGGAGGAAGAAGAGCGCCTCAGAGCCCAGCTCCACGCAGGCCAGCCACGCGGGGCAGTGCGGGGAGGCCTCGGAGAACGAGGTGGAGGACGAGGAGTACAACAAGCCTCTGGACCCCGACTCTGACGATGATAAGATCCGCCTGCTGCTGCGCAAACACCGCAGGGCTTTCTCCGTCCTGCGCCTCGGGCCACACCAAGTCTGACATGCTTCTTACACACACACACACGCACACGCACACGTGCACACACGCTTCTCAGCAGACCTGCATGCTGTAATGAAAGCAATTAGTTTTTAATACTAAGTTCAATCAATGAGCATTAAGGCATGTTCACAGGGTCATGTGGTCATCCTACAAAAAGAGCCCCAGAGGGCTCAATAGGCAAACAGTCTGAGTTAAAAGGACGTTTACTTTTATAAGTTACTGTAAGAAATGATCTCTGTTTGATAACTGTTAACTGGTTATGTGTGTGTGTGTGTGTGTGTGTGTGTGTGTGTGTGTGTGTGTGTGTGGAGGGGGGGCGGGGGGGTATGTTTTTTGTAAAACCAGAAGAAAAGGACATAAAAAAAGTGCATGATGCTATCGGTAATACTAAATAATATAAGAGTTATTCATGTGTTCTTTTCTTTGAACAGTTGAAGCAGTTTGTGCTTATGTGAATTTCACTTTATGAAAGTGTCTTAATACATCAATAAACTCAATATAGCCTACCTTCAATCAGAACTTCAGAATATAAATTCTAAAATAATGCAGCAACTGATAAACCTATAGGTAAAGTAACTATTAGGTCAACTTTGCTTTAAAACAATATAAGAACATTTAACATTCTTCCTACTAATGAGTCATTCTGATATGGGTTAATGTGTTGATGAACCACTCTGAAATACAGGGTGTTGGAAAGGCAGGAATAGATTTTAGTTTATATCAAATCAGTGCAGAGAAGGAAGTGTGCATTAAAAGCTAATGAGAGCACTTACAGAGAAACGGACTCTGCTCACATTTTAGTAGGCTATCTATTAAAATGTTCCACACAAGTATAATTTGTAATTCTACTAAACGCTTAAATTGAATGTTGACTTGAAGTTGGTTAAAATAACTGCAAGTTGACAGCTTTGTTTTTCATTATTGTATACTTGCTTTTGAAATACAATGTATTTAAGTTGGACAATGTAAAACACATCTGTCATTATGTTGCACAATAAATTATTATGAATCATTTATCAAACTTGGTGGAAAACTGTCTCGTCTGCTTTTAAATGAAAAAATCCAACTTAACTGTAACATTATTTGGTTGCAGTGGCTCAAGTTCCGCTTGTGCGTTTGCTGCCGAGTGACAGACAAGATGAAACTGTGAGCCAAAAGGCACAAACACCGGAGAGAAGTGCAAAGGTCAGAGGTCCAGTCTTGTGTGATTCACTATTGTTGTGTGGCTTAATTGAAGACAATGACCCCCACAACCCACTTCAACATGAAATCAATACCAATAGACCGGCTCATTCACCATAGGCTCAGAGAGTTTAGACTCCATATACGGTTCAGGCTGACATCATGCCAGATAATTCTTTCAAAGGAAAAACTCAAGGCATGCTGCTGAGACAAAACAGTGCGCTCAAGTGTGCCAACAATGTAGTTGTGCTACTCTTAGTGCCATACATTGCCATTTCTGTCATGTTTTAGCCTCCCTCCAACCTGGTGCTATCTGTGAGTCAAACCACTGAATCAACACAAAAATGAAATGCAATCAAGGTTAGAATCACTTCCTTGATTTGTTAACCCTTGAAGACTTTCAATCTGACCAAAACGTCCTCAACAGCCCATTCCAGCTTTAGAGGGCAGACTTAATACCTCATCTATTTTTGATGTCATTTTTCTTCTGCCACAGCATAAACACAGCTCACCTTACAGCTGAATTCTATTCCCTAATTATGGAAACTGCATAACACAGACATCCAGTAATATACACACAGTGGGTTAATGTAGTGCAGGCTCAGTGTCCATTTTGCATGGCTCTGCTCTATATTTCTTCTATCTCACTGACCCAAAGTCAGCATTAGTGCCATTTTGCATTCTTAAAGTAAAAAAACAGACATCCCTTATGAGATCCATATCTCTTTTCTTAGTTAACAGCTAAACCCTGAAAGGCAGCAGCATTAAGAAACGTGCACTGTCTTTGGCATGCAATACTTCACCCAACCTTTCAGGTTTATCGGGAAATAAGACCAATGACATTGTGTCTTTCACATATATATCCAAACAGTTGTGATTCAAATTCTATTATAAAGGATAACTGGTTGTTCTGAAAAGCCAGAGCTGTCAGTCTCAAAATCCCCGGCGTGTTGCAACATATTGATTGCATATGCAGTGCTGGTGGATCCAATAAAAAACAAAGCAAAATGTTTATTAGGGTAATATTTTATTTACAAGAGGGAAATATCACAATGATGTAGTGTTTGACCAGAGTTAATCTAAAGATAATACTGGCCTTATAATAAACTTCACTCCCATGATTGGTCAACAGTGAACCGCTAAAAGTTTATTACTTACAAACTGTTCTTCATCCAGTATCCAGACATTTGCATCACTGATTCACAGTACAAACATGGCAGACAGTCCAAACTTAATATGAATATCTGTGAATTTATGCATGAAAAGTGTTAATGTATGAATATAAGGGTTGCTCTGTTCCACCAAGATGTATAAGACAGAAGACATTTCACAAAACACTAAGAAATATATATTATACACATCAGCTGGAATTGGCCCAAGCTGGATAAGCAGGTATGGCTAATGAATGGATGTAACGAAGCAAAAACATGTTTGCAATTCTTTCAATTAGTCAGTTTTTAAACCAGATTGAAGAATCTAACAAATTACTCACACATCAAAAATGTTATACAGAACTGGTGTTATAATATGAGACTATAAATCAACAAAATAAGACAAAATTCAAAGAAATCCAAAAGCAAAAGTGCCTTCTGTGTTGTGTATGGTAGCGCACACGTGTGAAGCCCACATTCCTTAACTGCAGTTAGAAGTAAACATGTAAGGCCTACCATATAATTAGGGCTGGACAATAAAACAATAACAATAATTATCGCAATGTTTTTCAATAACAATATAACAAATGTTAAATAAATATTCAATAAAGGTTTGATTTTATTTACCTGAATCACAAACGAATTAGGACTTAATTTTTTTATTAAAATGTTTCTTTTGTTGAGGAAAAAGGACTGAGAAAAGATTTGACTTAATTTTTCTCATGCACATTTGTTGACAAAGATTTTTAAAATAATTGTTTTTAATGTTCAAACTCAGATTTGTGAAGTGATCCACTGTTTGGCATCAATTGTTGATTGAGTCTTTAAACTCAAAAGAAATAATGATTTGATATTTATTGTGATAATTATCGATATCGAAAGATATGAAACTTTTTATCGTGATAAAATCTTTGGCCATATCGTCCAGCCCTACGTATAAATATTTTGGCAATGAAATATGGTTGATGCCAACCAGAACGGGGTGGAAGAGATTTCTGAAGAAAACTTTCTCTAATTGAGGAAATCGAAACATGGAGAACTGCTGGGTTATAGCTTGTGGAATAAAGCACTTGGTATTATTATTGGTACACGGAAAAAACTGCAAAAGAATGCTGCTTCAAATTAAACAAGGTGAAACACTCTACTTAATTCAGCTCCTACCACAACATTCATAAACAGACAAAACTGTTGCAGTTGGTTTTGTTGCTGCTTTAAAATCTTATTGGCCTTTTAGTCCACTGTCTAGTGTCTTTTCTACATCATTTCCATATTATTATCACCACATACATTTATCAAAATAAATTCTGTAATAGATTTTGTTATGCATAGTAATCAAGAGACATGTGACATAGTTAAAGCTGCTGTGATGAAGCAGCTACATGTCAGTGAGAAATCCTTCATGGAAAATATTTTAGCTACAGAGGATAACTGACTAAACATGTCAACAGGAAACTGAGATAGCAGCATTCCTCTACTGTGTTTCCCTGTGGTGTAAATATACTGCTTATATTGATAGTAAACAACTTAAAAAAGTAAATACCTGAACTAAAAATGTAATAAAATACAAAATAAAAGCATGCACACATGCTCAGTAGGCCTATACTTGGTCAGATCACATATTTTTTAGTTTTCATTATTTCCTTTTTTACATAAACTCATAACAACACTGATGTTCTTCAAATTATTTCACTAAAAGGAGTTTCACAATACTGGCTTGTGATTGGCTGAATTCAACTGCTAATTGAAAACCTACTGAGTGGAAGCTATCCAGTTCAGTTGCTACAGAGCGGCCTGACTGACTGAGATTTCATAGATTACTTAGCGCCAAAACAGAATGAGTAAATTTGTGATGCCTTGGCCGGGGGTTATCTGACACTGCCTGTAAAAAAAGACATTTAAAAAAAATTTAATGACCACAATCGCTCTTATAAAAACGTTGCATATTCTTGTACACATCCATGTAAAAGGGCTGGTCCACAATCATACACTGCAGTCTTTATGTCATCGTTCGATCACAGTCTCCATGGCTGCAAGCAGGAACTGTATTGACGTCCTCAGTGACACTGAGCTTTCAGGTGAGGGGGGCTTAAGATCTGAGAGTGAGTTGAAGAATCAGAGCAACTGCCTCAGAAATCCACGACAGCAGCTGATAAATCTGTGTCTCTGCAGCTGTCGACAGTATGTGGCAATGAGATCAGATGGGAGACACCAGTGACATGAGGTCGGGGTTTTAACAACGGGGACTAAATGTGTCGAGACCCGTAGCTGGCTGATGAGTTGGTGGGTTGTGGCGGGTAACCATCATGTTGATTAACCTCTAGTACTGACACTGTGGAAGAGCTCTGTGGAAGGTGTGGCCGAAGACCTGCGGCAGACACACACACATACACACACACACACACACACAAAAGTGTTATAACGTGAATCACATCACTTACGGTAATCATAAAGAGCGTCTACCCCATTATCTGACACAATTAATACCAAAGCCATTGGCAGCCATTCAAAGCAAACAAAAAAACACCTCCCTTTAGAAATGAGGCTAACCAATCCCATGTGATCATAAATTAATATGTTATGTTACTTCTGTATTTAATTAAAATGTAAGGTATAAAATGTCCCATTCATAAAAAAGTGCTTTTTATCAACATGCATTGTATTAAAAAAATGACACCTCTCTCTTACTGCTCAAATGTGGCCTGAGAAATATCAAGTTACTAATGTACTGAAATTAATATGCTCTATGTCTCAAAATGTCAAACACAAATGAAAAAGCAAGCTGGTTGTAGCATCTTCACTGCGCGGATCTAAGTGGATAAGGACATTCATGAAAAAGCAGTCCATCCTTAAAAAAATAAATTTAAACGGCAGCAAAACAAAATCATGGCCGTAAAAATGCCAATATGCTGTCCAGCACAATTCATGTTTGTCCTGCCGACCATCCAGATGGTAATTAATGAAAAGCGGGCCAGCAATGCACTTAGCGTGTAGAAATAGTGACAGTGGAGAGGATTCAATGGACATATATCAGTTAAAGGTGCTGTTTGCCTGTGATCCTACTATGCTAGACACAAAGGAACACTCGTGTCCCTCAGGCACTTCATCTTAGTTCATATCCTGACTCTAGTGGGCCAGCCTGGCTTATGGCTCTCTGGGGAACGGAGCGAGATTATTGTGATTGCTCTCACACACTGAATCCCCTCCTTTCGAATCACCCCATAGACACATATACACTTCCACACGCTGTACGGTATAGAAACACTCACTGGCACATGCTCTTCCCATTGAGAAGGATCCGAGTCAATGGTCGTTTGTCTTCAGTGAGAAGAACAAGAAAACCGGCTACGAGAAAAACACAAGAACACACCAGAGTTACTCTACATGGCTGGTTTGTTTGCCTGCACAATGTACATGCTATTTAAACTGTTACCTTATGGTCTCCCATACAGATATTAGGGCCCACTGTGTCGTAAACAACGCTCTTCTCATCGTCATCTCTCTGAAAAGAAGAGGGAACTTTTATTTAATCTACTAGACAAAGCCAATATGAAAATGGAACATTCAACATTAACATTTACATCTATAACTTTTAGTTAAAATGACTCAATGAAATGGCATCTGCATGGTCAAGTGTTGTTAGATGTTGAGCCTTGCACATTTTCTCGGGTCGTACAGCGGTGCCAAAAAATTCTGGTCAGACCAGAGTCATTTCACAGAAAGTGAAATGTTTTACACACATTTAAATCAACAGCATAATGCTAATAACAGATAATACATTTTAGTAGCTATTAGGGCTGACCCCTAATATTCGAATGAACTGTAAGTAAGTTGATGAGAAGAGTCTTTCACAGCAACTGCTGTCAGTTGTTGTTAAAAAAAGACCTCATACTCCATTTGGGAGCTGCGCTTGTCGTTCAGACCGGGATGAAAATATCAGGGAAAGTCATTGCTTATCAATGCCATGTATGTGGATCTTATACATCCATGGTCATAGATGTAAATGGCACTGCTGCTTACAGTAGGCTCTGCGGTTCTATTAGCTGACCTAGCCAGACTGGGAGCTCGCGCTACTGGGGGAGTGTTGCTGTTTGTTTACATCACTAGCACAAGAGCTTCGGATCGCCACAAGTGTCTTAGATCGTCAAACCTGCTCCTCTGAACTATGCCACAGGCTCCACTGATAACAAAGGGGGATCGTGCCTTTTCGATTGTGGCCCCAAGACTGTGGAAGAAACTTCCCATTCTCATTAGATCATTCCCGACTACCGAGCCTTTTAAGTCTTGTCTTAAAATATATTTTTATTTTTGGCATTCGAGTCAGTCTAGAGACATTCACCCTTATCTGTCCTGGTTGCTTTACATTTCTATTTATTGCTGTATGCTTCATCAACGTCGTATGTTTTATTATCGCTGCATTTTTATTTTATTATTTTTTTAGCTTTTTTCTTGTTGTTTTAATTGCATTACTTTGTACATCACTTTGTTCAACAGTGGTTGTTTTTAAATAAACTGACTTGACTTGACTCGATTTGACAAGGAAGAAGTTATCAGACCCGAGGTAAGAGACCCAGCGGGAATGCAGCTGGGGAGCGGCACCTGGATGAGCACCACAACCAGAGCCACGTGAGAAGGCAACCCAACCGGTCTCAGCAGCCTCCCAGTGAGCACAGACCAGGACCATACACAGCCACCAAGACAGCCAGAGGCCAGTTTGAAGCAAGGAATATGGTAATTAGGAAATTTACAGCAGCTCTGAGGATGACGAAGACACAGTGGGTTCCAGCAAAGACATGTGAGGCTAGAAGAAACAAGCCTGTTTTTGTTCTGCCTCTTTCTGAAATCAAGGACTCACTGTTTTGAAAATGACTTTGTGATACAAAATCCTGCAATCTATCCGAGGCATCAAAAAGAAAAAAAAAGGCAAAGTGCTCAAAACAAGGGTGAATATTATTTCAAACGAAAGATAAGGGATTTAAAGATAATGTACTAGCCCATAATAGAACCATCGGTCAGCTTTTAAGATAAATTTCATTAATCTTGTAATAAACCCTCTAGACTGTAAGAACGTAAATATTCTTTGGACAATGGTGTTAGAAAGGCCCACTCGCCACTTAGCCTTGTCTATTAAGAAGTTGCAATCCTGCATTAAACTGAGCATATATAAACCTTTTATGAAGAAATATATTATGCACTTTGTGTGGATGTGTAAAAACAGTTAACATGCAGAAAGTTATGAATTTCAGATTTAGAGATAATGACTGTCAGCATTGACTGACCTTATGGATGAATTCCTGGGCTGTGTGTGACATGAGGATCCGATCACACCAGGCAGGACAGCGAGTGTTCATGTACTGGGTCGGTTTAGTGTACTCTTCACTGTAGGGGTAGCTGCGAGAGAGAGACACTTATTGGATAACAACAGATGTGGAATTTTATGCACACTGTGTTGGCAGCACGTAGCTCAGTTACAAGTCTTACCTGGGTGGAAACGTGATGTCCTCTTCCCTAATAACATCATGAAAGGCTGTGACTTCTTTGTCATATTTCAAAAGCTGCAGGATAGAGTCCATTACTGATTACAGGAAATCTCAACACATTAAAAACCAAGCCTGAGCTGAGTGAGTGCAACTTGAGAATGGGTGAAAACCCAGTTTACTGTCAGAGTTATCGCAGTTTTGTTTACCTCCAAGCTTTTTGTATTTACTGTACTATCATTCATAGGACTTTATTTCCGCTGATAGGATCTAATCTAAAATCTGCAAAGAAATGTCAGATTGTTGCTAAGCAGCCTGTTGTATTATAGGTAATAGTCACGGGGTGCAGCTGATGGGATCAGTGTGGGTCAAAGTTGAAACTGTGTACTCACTGCTCTGCCATTGTCCTCCCTGAAAATCGCCTGGTGCAAGTAGTCAAACATCTTTTCCTCAATGTGGAGCACGACCTGCACATGAAGTGAAGGCGGCTAAAGTGAAAGCAGGTCTAATAACAAAATGTCTGGCGTCTCAACTGAACTGGCTTTAATCACCTGGTGGTCGTTATCTTTTTCTTCGCAGATGATTTTCTCCACTTTGTTGCTGCTGTCCATCTTCACTGTCTGCACATCTGCCGAGGTGGACAGGTGCTGCTCGCAGAAACACAAACACAGGAAAAAGGTCTGTGTCACAGTGCCAGGTCCGATTCACATCCCTGTCATCTGAGCTTCAGGAGAGATAAAAACGGTTACATACCTGGACCAGACTCAGTGTGTCTAATCGGAAGTTGAAATCTCCAAACAGGAAGAAAGGCAGAGGAGTGTAGCGGCTGTCTGATATCCTGGAAGGAAATAGCAATGTCAGGAATCACACAGATGTTTGTGTCTTTTTCTCTGGTGAAACGGTTAAAGGTCAGAGTTTCTGTAAATTCCAGAAATATCCTGTTCACAAGATAAGAAAGGTGTTCTGACAGCAGATATATTATCAAAGAGAGTAAGAAATATACTCCATTCATAGAGGTCATTCAGTCAAGCAAGGAGTCATTATCATTTTTTTAAATCTGTGTTTGCTGTCGTCTTTTACATTTTACAGTAACGCTTTTCATAGCTGTGTGCAGCTGGAAATTTGACCTGTTGATGACATATCTGAGAGCGCGTTTGCGGTTGGCTGAGTAAATGGAAGGACTGGAGTTGCAGGCAATGAGGTTGGAGGCATCATGGAACAGGTGGACATTGACCAGGTCCAGACCTCTGTGAAGAACACACAGACAAAATATGGTGATATGTGGCAGGTGGAGAAACAGGGAACCAATCTGATAACAACAAAACCTGACATATGATAGGTGATTGTGTGTGCCAACACGGGTGTCACTTATGAGGAAAGTTCTTATCAATGAGCGCACTCGTGTTAATGTTGAGTCAACAAACAAGCACATTTGTCTTTTGTACCGAGTGCTTACTCCTTTTCTTTGGCTGTCACTGGAAAACAATTAATGTGCATCCAACCAACGAGCTGTGTTGACTTACAGCGTAATGTTGTAGCACACAGATTGTGTGCTCCTATTATAATTACCTGCCCCACTGCAGCACAACAGAGCAAACAGTGACTAAAGTTCTCAGAAATCACAGGCTGTAGCAGCAGCACTGTGTGATTTGTCCAAGTTGGTTTAAGGCTGTAGCTTTGTTTCAATTCAGGGGATTCAAAATATACAGCATTTGCTAAGTAAATAAAAATATGGTCACAGTCTGGGTCAGTCCCAGGGTGCTATTTGTAAAACAGGTGATAATAAAAAGATGTTTCTTGTAAAACATCCACAGAATACAACACAGAAGAAAACAGCGATTTAACAGAAGACGTGTGTTTGAGCCACTGCAGAGGCAGGGCTGGGTATCATACCACAATATTTGTTTTGTACCAACCAAAACGTGAAAACTGTCAGACATCTGACATCTGGTCTAGGCCTGGGGCAATTCATCGACGTCATCAATTCCAAATAAAACGTTGATTTGCATAACGTGCTTCGGCGAGTCGCAATGAAATGCTGCAACTGCTTGTTCTCGGGGGGAATCCGAGAACAAGCAGTTGCAGCAGCTAAAGAAACAGCCTGCAACTATCTAAAGTTTGGGAGTATTTTGGACTCAGCCCCAACAAAGTGGTAAGGTTGCTCTGTAAGCTCTTGTTAAGACAGCAGCACCGCAAATCCTGTTTACTTTTTGTCCCCACATAAGCCTGATAGATTAGGATTATCAACACAAGGAACGTGTTTCTCTTAGTAGTAGTCACAATTGATTTTCTAAATGTTTTTTCATCACCCCAATGTTAAGTTACTTTATATTTTCTATTCACTTTAACTGCCACGAGAAAATGGCTTCAACAAATATTACAGGCTGTTGCTACCGTTTGTAAATTGTTTCAGTTATTTTCTTTGCACAACACTGATGCAAAAATACATTTGCCAGTGATTATCTAAAAGCCTATTACTCCAGTGATGAAATAAATCCATGTCATAACCATTTTACATTTTAAGTCAAGTACTTCATTGAAAATACTGATTCTCCAGTTCAGGGAAAGGGTAGACATCAAGTGATTACATTAATCTGTGTGTCACAGAAATCCTTTTGATTTTGAGGTCCAGTATTATTTACACATCTGATAACACAGCAGTAACGTGGAAATTAAGACTCATTTTAAAATATGCCAATAATATCATTATTCTAATGTGCTTTATGTGTCTCTTTTTCAGGATAATTGAAGAAAATATTGAATTATTAATGAGAAAAGTTTTTGATATTTCTTTGGATAAATTAACTGTTATATTAATCGAATAATAAAACACCTTGAGAATAATCAGTAAATTAGTCAGTGGATTAATTGAAAAATATATCGTTAGATTAATTGATTTAATAAATAATATTTAGCTAGTCTGGTCAGATATTCACTGTTTAAATCATAATTTTGCCAATGTTAGACCACTTTATTTAGGGGAAGTTCTCCAGCTGCTTGTGTTCAGAGAACATTTAACATTTGAACCTTGGCTTTTGGTAAAACCTGCATTAACTGATCTTTGGCCTCTTGTGGGCAGCCGAAACAAGCTGCTCACACAACACAAGGATATTATCACCTAGTTTACAAGTAGTCATGTGATACACTGTTAATACAAATCTATAAATACATTGCTGCTTTAAACATAAGAAAAGTGTTTTGTAAAAGAAATAAATACATCTCAAAGTAAGGTCAGCCCCAGTAATGATGTGAAACCCAGCCCTCTTCTGAGGTGGTGACAGAACTGGAAAGAGAAAGAAAGAAAACAGACTGTCCTTTGTTTGACAGATCATTCATGATTTACCTTCTTTTGTTTCTTATTTATCGTGTGATATTTTAGAGACTGCTATTCTATTAAGCCAGGGCTTCTTTGTATCTATGTATCACGGGGATCACAGGAGTGCTAGTTTTGTTCTAAAAGTGGGAGTGACCCAGTCCAACCTTGACTTTTTTATCAAGGTGAGGTTAGTGTATAGTACATACTGGTTGTGTATGATCCAGCGGGTCCTCATGAAGCCCTTTCTGGACCACTTGAACTGCAACAGAGACAAATTAGGGTGAGTCACTAAACAGCAGTGAGCCGTGTATTTGAAGGGCCAAACTGATAATTATTGATCCTTTCACATAATTTGTCTCATCTCCCTGTCAGAGCAAGCAGACAGCCCCTACAGCCCCAGTAGACTCATTTGTCCCAACATCTCCCTTTGGTCCTCACGTACCCCTCCCCACACATGCACACTCATACACACACATACATGAACGCACGCTCGTGCATACTCACATCAGGCCAGAAATTCTTTGGGAATTTTTCTTTCTCCACTGCGGCGACCACATCCAGAGAGCCCATGTGTTTGTTCTGCCCCGACACTGCTTTAAAATCCTTAACTGTGAGAGGGAGAGAGGGAGGGGGGAAGGAGAGGTGTGACATGTAAAATGAGTGAGAAAACATGCAAACAGTAATCAATAAACTGGTGTTAACCTCATCAGAGCGGCATACGTGATGAGAGGATCTATAAGCGAGCCATTAGACTGTGTTTGGGTGAACAACAATCGGTTTGGGCCACACAGCGAGTGGCAGCTGCAGGATGTTTATGGTTCTTCCATAAGCTTTTCTGAGGAGCTTTTTCACGCCTAACGTGAGGGGACTATGCAGCAGGAAAATAACAGCTCCACTTTAAATTCAGGTTCTTTGCAAAAATCTAGCCGGGAGGGGTGGCCATCCAACTGGCATTATACACGGAGAAATGACCTGAAATACCTGATCTCAAAAAATGACAAGGATCTTGCCAATCATATGCAACGTTGTTTTTACTTTATTGAAGATATGAGCCATTATGAAACAGGACAGGAAGCAAGGGGAATGTTTTATGTTGACTTATGTTAACTAAAATTATCTCTTTTCTTTTTTTCAAGTAAAAAATAAATATGAATCCTTCACCAGCCGACCAACAATAAAAGGATAAAAGAAAATGTATAGGGAGTAATGTTTTTACCATTAAAATCATACTGATAGATGTTTTTCAGTGTCTTGTGGATGAAGTACATGCTGCCCAAAGCCTGTGGAGGGAGATAAATAAAGAACAGAAAAGTCACAACATCTGATGAATGTACCTGGCAACAGCACACAAAAAAAGTTACAATGTTAAATCAGTTTCAGTTTAACCACTCTAAAATCATAGCTGCAAACTCCTGAGCTTGATAAGGATCTAAGAAATTCATACTGAAATCACACTTTTACTGTTGACACCTTTAGTTTCCGACACCTGCAGAAAATACACAAAAAAATCCCCTTAAGCTAAATTTTGACATGTTTAGTCCAGCCAAAGTGCATGCAAATATATATATATATTATTATTATTTTTTTTTTTACATATTTCTATTTTCAATATCGCATTGAACTTAACAAAACTATAATATTTAAGCTATTTAAATGTAACAAATGAGCTCTGTCAGACCCATTTGGAGTGGTTGAATGAAACCTAAACATCTGAATATGGTGACAAAAAAAAGGAGAAATCGTCTCAACTTAACCGCTGAGAGGATGAATTGAATCCCCATGATGTGATCTAAATTGTGAGCCTTGTATTGAACAATCCAGTGCAACACAGTATATTGTTGCTCTCCCAAAGACACATGAAACTTTAAAGAATAGAGACGTTCAAAGTGAACACATAACACATCCACATACTGCCCCTCGCACGCACCCTTCAGCACCCAATCATCCCTGACATGAGGCTGACAATTTTTAATGTACTAACTGCCTGCTCCACTGATCTGATTAATCATGCCCTGTGAGATCAATAAAGACAGAAAATTAAAACAATTTAAAAGGTATTAAGCAGTAGGCCTGCTGTCTGCCAGCGCTGCCGCTGTGACTGGGGGCCGAAGAAAAATCTGCTAGTGCTCAGGGGGCTCGGGGCGTGACGGACCGCTGTTCTCCCCCTCCAACCCATACACAAACATCCAGCCGGAGCATGAGAGATCTCTCCCTGAAGAGATCATTTATCTTCAGTGCCAAAGTCATCCTCATTTAATAAAATGGAAGTGTCTCCGTGGTCGGCTCCAGTGAGCGGCAATTAGCGACCAACTTGTCCAAACTAAGGTTAGTGCCAGGGAGCTATCTGAACGAGTCTGATAGTGTTCTTAACTTCATGCTAAAAGCTGAGCAAAGAATGTTTCCAAAAAGAAGATTCAAGGAGTCTGACAATTAGCTAATTTATGTTTGATCAGTACAATATCTTGTTTAAATAGCACAGCCAAGTACACACACACACACACACAGATACACATTCTCCTCCACATACTCGGCCAAACACCTATCTTCATCAATCAGGTTTGTGCACAGTTTAATAAAAAAATATTGACTTACAAGTGATTTTTTATCAAAACACCATTTGTACTGGGAATGCATGCAAGTCTGCCCCCGCTGCTCCTGCAGCCCCTCTGAAAGGAGAACCCCCCAAACTCTCTCTTGGCCATATAACTGATGATCCAAAGCCAAGGGGAAACAAATTGAAAATCAATGCAGGTGGCACAGACGAAATGAGAATGAGTCTTTAGGAGGGGTGGGGGCAGGCTGAAACACTCTCAGCGCAAACAGTGGAGGGTGCGAACAAACTTAGTCCCAGCTGTCTTCCAGCCCCCCTCACACTTTATTTATTGCTCACAAATGGGCTGGGATCAATAGTTTTAATCTAGAGTTAAATGTATTGACTTTGGCCTGTCTCCCCCACACCTGGCCATTGACTTTCCCCTTTTTACATCACACACCTTCAGTCTACAGATGCAGCCACTGACCCCTACTGTCAGACGTCCAGTGTGGGGGTATCACATGGGAGGAGCAAGGGTTAATAGTTTAAGAAATACTCAGCCACTTTTCTCAACTGGGGGAGGTGTTGCTCTCAACCAGGGCAGAACATCAGAGAAACTAATACTGACGAACCCATCACGAGCAATTACGCGCACAGTTCGATTCCAAGTAAAAAGACCTTAAACTTTTTTGTGCTGTGTGAGGTCACTAAAAACGAAGTTAGAAGCGAGAAATGGTTTTCACGGCAGGTGTGGAGATTAAGGCTGAGCCCATGAACCGAGAAGTGTCCCGCCAAGCACAGATGAGTGCCAGCTCAGACTTCAGCTATAGAAACAGACTCCGAGTTCAACGATAGATGACGGTACGAGATGTAGGTAATGGCATGGGTGACTTAACAAACCTATCTTTAAGATCATCTCCTCTGTCTGTGCTCATACTCTGTAACTATTACAACATTGTTTCATACTCTGTCTTTGAGACCTATGTCACTTATATTTGGCTGTGGTTTTTCCCCACATTTCTGAGATTGTGCAGTGAGGCTTGATGTATGAAACCCATAAACACACACACCCTTTGTGGTGAGATTCAAGACATTTGTATGATGAGATTTTATTATATTTTATTTAATGACATTTTTTTATGTTTTTATTATATTTACATTTACCTACTTTGCAACAACAAAATAAAATCAAATAAACAAAATCAAATAAATTATGGGCATGTACAAATTTAATCAATCTTGGTCAACCTTAGTTATCACATGCTGTCAGTATTGGGGAACTCTACTCTTTGTATTTTGTTATATACAGTCAAACTATACGTTCAGATTGATTAAGTATAAATAAAGCCAAGAGTGCAATAACTAATGCATATGTGTATAACATGTGACTTCAGGAACAAGGACTTAATAACATTCTCTGACATGCTGGGAAATTGCTGTCAGATGTTGGCTGTTTTCCAACCCAAAATGTGTGTTTCATTGTATGTTATGACAAAAGAGCTGACATTTTCTGATGCTCTAGTGGGGTCTAGAAACTCGGGTTTTTACTCAAGGGTTAACCGTCAACCAACTCCTGCTTGTCACTTAACTGAGTGGATCCAACACCTCCTTTTATCTCTGAGCACTAACATGGAGGAGGACCCCATCTAGTGGAAGCACATGTGAACTACTCTAGAAGTTGGTCTTACCGTGAAGCTGTCTTCTGCTTTGAACTGGTTGTCCACGTAGATGCAGGACCTGTCAAAGTCTTTCATTTCCTCACTGGACTCAATGCTCCTGGAGACAACAGAGCACAACGGAGCTATGAGTAGGGGAGACAGCAAAAAAAGCCTGTTCCCTTTGACATATATATCTTCATATATCATATATCTTCTTAGTTGATGGATAGAAAATTAATTGGCAAGAATCTTGATGGTCAATTACTTTTTAAGTAATTTTTTAAAGCATAATTGCCTGGTTCTAGCTTCTCAAATGTGAATGTTTGTGTGATTTATGTGATTGTAAACTGAATATCTTTGGGTTTGGTGGACACAACAAGCTTTCTAAATATATCCACTTGGGCTTTGGGGAACTGTGATGGGTATTATTTTATAGACCCAACGATTACCTTATTAATGGAGAAAATAATTGGGCAAATTAATTAATAATGAAAATAAGATTTTGTTGCCTTTTTGAATGCATGGAAAATGAAAAGAAAGATAAAGGACTATGTTTTTTTTTATGTTTGTGATAACATTAAACAGATGGTGAAGGAAGAACATGACTTCATCTTGTAACACCACCAACATGGATCATGAGCGGCACATCGGTCCTACCAAAAGAACTGTTCAGCAAGGCCCATGTTGACCATGTAGTCCTTCCCTCCCACCTCCTGGAAGTGCAGGGCGATGAACTTCGGCTTGTAGCTGTGGATGGTCTGTAACAAAGCACAAACGGGTCTGAGTAATGAGGAGTGAAGAGGTTCAACACTGTGTTACAAGATGAAGTCAATTTTCTATCGGGGGTCATATGGAGTTTTTCTGTTATTGAATATCTATGCTGGGCCTGGTGTGACTATATTATCCACTATCACATTTTCCAAGAGTCTGTTTTCCAGGAACCTGAACTGTACCAGACTGTCCACAAAATTTAAAATGTTTGAAACTGTGATTTATTACTGCAAAACCAAGGAGGCTCAAACTTACCCTATACAGTTCTTGCACCCATTCGTTTTGAATTTCACCCACCTATAAAATGAAAAGAGAAAACTCATCAAAGACATGCAATCATTCTGTAAGAAATTGTTTACAATCAAACACTAAACCTGTAACCCTAATGGGAGCAGTGCACCAAGCTGTAAACAACACTGACATTTTAACACCTAATAAAGATGTTATAGCTAATGTGTGAGCACAGTTGGCTATAAATACACTATCAAATAAGTTACAACATGTTTTACCCTTAAATTTTCTTTCACTTGCTCATTTTGTTTTTCCAACTCCTTTTTTCCTTTTTTTTGTATTGGCATACAGTTAGCTATTGTCCCCACTCAACAATTCCTTTTCATGCCACATTTCTTTTCCTCCTATTTCTTCCACAGTGGAGCACTGCAAAAAGTGAGCTCTCAAAAACAAGGGGAAAAAGCATTAAAATGGGGGAAATATTACTTAAAATAAGCAAAATTATCTGCCAACAGAACAAGAATATTTCACTTGCTACTTAAGGACAAAAAAAATTCTCTAACATTAAAACCGCCTGGTAAGAAGAAATGTCTTGTCAGACAAAAAACAAGTAGATTTTGCCTTCAATTAAGATAATTAATCTTACTTAGATTTTTGCAGTGGAGCAATTGAAAGGACTGTTTGGCTGTTAGTGTTAATAATCCATATACTGTGCTGCATACAGCTGTAGCATCACTGCATAAACTCTTGTTTATTTATTTATTTTTAGCAAGGTAGCAACCATACATAAACACAACATATTAAAATGCTAACATTTTAGCTGCCAAGCTACCGTTAACAATCCTATATCCTCATATCTTCATCTTCAAGTGCATGTCTCTCATCTTCATCAAGGACCATTTACTTTTTTATGTATTCAGATACGTTTACCTGAGCTTTATCATTGAAAACAGCTGCCTGCTGCAGCTGCTGCCCTACGAAAAAGGTATTTATTAATTTAAAAAAAAATCATTTTAGCTTCTGGCTTTAAAATTACATTGTCAGCTAACAGACAACCGGGTCAAATGGAAGTCAGGAACTTATCAATCACAGAAAGCAAATAATATTATCTCTGAGCAGGTTAAAACAAACAAAGTTTGTTTGGAAAAATGATCCTGCGTGTTCCTACATCCTGGAGCATACAACTAATAAGTTCCAGGATGTAGTCTCATTCAAGTGTTGCTGCACCTGTCATAATCTGGCCACTGCCAACACATCATCCCTGATGATGAGGAAGCCTTACACACAGCAATCTGTCAAACAATGTTGATGATTACTTAGCAGACCCTTCCTTGTTTAGAACCACAGGTAGACTTCCATTTATACTGTAATTATTAAAGCTACACCACACAGGATTTGTAAGGATATATATAACAAGGTTGCACCCTAACAGTGTAGATATTTGCCCAAATAATAATCTGCTTTATAGTATAGACATGGAAACACCTTCTTACGTGATTTCTGGCTGTTGAAATTTTGTTTTATTAGTTACTTCTTCCACCTTGCTGCCCTGTGTAGCTGTAAACTGATAAATAGGTTGATTTACTGAGTTGTGACAATGGAAGGTCCACAATGGGTGTGACAAATATGTCCCACAGGATGCTAGGTAGAGTTAAAGTTAACCTCACAGTTACACTAAAAGCTTCTTGTGTCTCTGATCCTCATACCAGAAAATCTCCTCTGACTGGTATTTGAACATGTCGTTTCTTACACACCCGCTTCAGAATTTGCCCTGCACTGTAGTCACAGAGTAATGTACAATCTTCTGTGAGGCCAGGTGGCTTCATACCAACTGAGAAATGGCTTTGCATAGTATATTTGCATGGCAGCCTGCAAGAGATGACTGCAGCTCAGCCACTGTGACCTGAAGAACTACTCTCATATCATTCTGGCCACTAACATGCAGTCATTAACACTGGCTCTGTCAACCGACCCGGATCTGAGTCAAAGTATATATATATATATATACACAGGGCCTATAATTGTAATATATATGTTTTAGAGATAAAGATCATACAGCAATTATACTAACAATCCAGCTAAGAAACAGTTATCTTTTTCCACTTCTGGATTTGCACTTTGAACAAGAGAGGACCTTAAGCTTCCACAGGACTGAATCCAGTAAATAAATGATTTGTTGTTCCAACCTGTATGATAATACTTATGCAAATTGGCAATAATGTGTTCCAACAAGTAAGGGTCTTACAAATTATTCTTTGTCTGATACACTTGGTATGAATAAAGTAAAGTTTGAGTAACAATAATATCTAATGCAACTATACATAATCATTACACAAGCTCATGAGAAACAATGGACTTCCAGGATACTGCTATGGTGTGCCATAGAAATGTTGCTCGTGGCACACAGTAGCAGAGTAGACTGTCTCACAGGTTCAGCACCGTAAAGCAAAAGGAGTTATCCAGTGATGTGCTTAAGGTTTTGCTCTTATCCCGAAGGCTGAGCGAACGTTTAGGAGTGTTTGTTTATAGAAATGGGGGGGGGGGGCTTGAGTAAGTAGAAAAACTCAAGTCCCCCGGGGAAGATATTCATCTGTATACATATCTCCCACAATGGGATCTAACATGTTTTCATTGGAGCCAGTTTTGGCAACTGGAAACATGGTCCCGAGCCAAATTTCCATGAGTGCATAAGAGCCCTCCTCCCTGCAAAGTCTGAAAATGTTGTCAGCCCAGGATAGGCCAGAACTAAAAACTACTATACTTTATTTATTTAGCAATGTGTTTAGAATAATTCAATTCCAGTCTAACATCTTTAATCCCTAATAAAAAGTGGTCTTATTAAAGATACAAACATCTAAGACAGCGCTTTAAACTATAACTTACATAACATCGTGGAAATATAGCGATACAGCTGGAGCTGATGATGTAAATGCTATAGATTATGATAACGCCTGGACTCTCTGTCCCATCATTATAAACAGTGTTTTTCAACAGGGATTGATTGCACACACTGCAGTTACCAGTTGTGGGAGACGATGATAAGTCTGAGCAGCCACAACTGGAGAGTGTCCACATTGGACTGATATTATTATTCCTATTAATTATTTAATAATAATATTATTATATAAATAATGGAGGGGGGGGGGTTATAGTATTTTAGAGGGTCCGGATATTCGGGGAAATATAGCAAATTAGGTAAACTTATGATAAGTCCGCTAAGTGTCTTGCAGTAAACATGTGACGTCCAGCGTTACATCAAAATGACAGGTCAAATTCTGTGAGGACACATTAAAGATAGGTTTACGTTTTCCCACGTCAATAGACAATAATATATATATATATATATATATATTTTACTTAGCTGACTCTTCAGTGTCACTTTATTATTTCTATATAAAACCAGGAGCAGGTCACGTGAGACATGAAACTCGCGCGCCCTTACCCTTACAGAGAATCAATAGATAACACTCTGACTCGAGGCGTCTTCTTCAACAATATTAAGCCCGTGTTACATAAGGCTGGCAAAGAAACACAACTGACTGACTCATAAGTGTGGTATTATACATATACAACAGCTCATCACGCGCCTGAAGAGGTTAGTAACACTTGTTTCATCCATTATGTATTTTGTTAGCAATGGAGCCCATTCAAGGTAAACTTACCTCCTACACAATTACCTGCACTCTTGGATAATTATTTCTCTATATCAGCTTAACAGCGTTACGTATAATCCTCTGGCAGCATTGCGGTCTGGTGTAGTTTTTAATTTTACTCTTAACGTTACCCGTGTTACTTACATTGTCAAAGAGTGACCCGACATTTGCGGTGACGAGCAGCACATCAGTGTGTGTTTCCATGTTAACGATCCGCCTTCACAAACAGCTCGAGGAAAGTCCGCAGCGTCGCCAAAGGAGTAACAGCTACTCTCCAGGAGCTTATAAAGGCTTACTGTGTGAGCCCAAATCGCGACTGTCACCGCTCAAAACACACCCGCATCTCACTGATGATACTGTGGCGCTTCTGGTCCAACTTGTTTGCTGATGGCGGGCTGTCGTGTCAGATCGTCGCCATATGACGGAGCGGCGCTCACATCCATCGTCTAGCCGAGGAGCAGTAAGTTAGTTTAATAGCAGACATGCGCGGATTTCTGCCTCCTCTTGGTTAATTGGACTAGTGGCTTCTTAGAGGACTTAAACCAGCCTGGACGGAGCATCTGCTTCTGCAGTGACAAACGCTCAGATAACCGCACCAAGCAGTCAGTATGGGGCAACTAACTCTGGTGCTCCGCCTATTTGCTGCTGCAAGCAGTCAATTATAGTCTTCCTGATAAGTTTATCTACGCTGAGCCAACGTCATGGTCGTTGCTTCAAAGTGTAACCTCTTCTGAAGTATATGTGTATGGCCTCTATTGCAAATGATCGACTTAGCCAAACCATTTTGTATTACCACATCATAAACCCCTAACCTGTATTAAATAATATTCTGTAGAATAAGAACTTTTAAGATTACTTCAAATATACCATAATGTATAACTTCACTATCTGGGTACATAAACAATATCAGGCTAAGAGTATTTTAAAGGCCTGCTCCATGCACTATTGTTTAATTCTGTTTCACCATTTTATATAGTTTTGTAAATATTGTCTGCTTTGTAGCAAAAGGGAACTACTAATTGCATTTCATTTTACAACCCTGCTGCAATATGACAATTACATTTACCTTGTATATCTGAAAGGCCCAACATACCACAGGCTCATTCTGTGTAGTCTCAACAGGAAGTTAGTCATTTTCTTCCTGTGAAACTCTTTCAATGAAAAATCCTTTCATATTGCTTTCGCTGTGATTGTTCTCCCTTCACCCTTACCTTCATACAGCCCATGTACTGCTTTTGTGTAAAGTCATGTATCAGCAGAAGCTCATAAATCAGCGGGACTAGTTTTGTTTTTGTGTGTGTGACCTAGAGTTTAGTAATTTTCTCTAGAATAACCTGCCTCCTACAACTTCCAGTCATCACAACTGCAGCGTAACCACAATATGTTACAACACAGCTACAGTAGTGTTCACTTTACCCAGTGGACCATAGAGCTGTAAAATGTTTTTTTTGGAGTAGAGGGTAAAGAAAAGACTGCTGGGGGCCCGAGGTTGGCTCTCCATAGTGCCGTTAGTGAGTTGTTCAACCATGGCATGGTTTACACCAGCCAACCTTTTGAGCTCCCTGCTTCCTCTTACTCCTCCTCTGAGCAGTGTGTTTTATTCAGCAACGCCAACAGATCAATTTAAAACTACTGCAACAGAGATGCAAAAGAATGCTGCCATGTCCATCACCGGTCTGGAAACAAAGAAAGTCAAAGGGGGGAAACCTCTCTGAAAGGAAACTGAGGCAATCTATTGCAGCCAGGAGAAGAGGCCTGGCTTTCTGATGGAGCACCTGCAAAAGAATCATTATACATGCATGGAAATGCATTATTTTAGACTAGATCCTGAGTAGATGAGTAGCTGGGAAATAAATAAAAAATGTTTAATGCCCAAAATAAGGCACTCAATCTTCATGCCAGACTGTTATCGTAGCTTGGTGCCCACTGGACAATAAATCAGACAGGAAATGTTACCAGAGTCCTGGCTTGACTGCCAAGAATAGCATACAAAAGCAACAGCTAATTAAGGCAGTACTGTTTGGAGCAAAAACATTCAACTGAAACACACACACACTAAGCACAAATAACCTAAACTCTTAAATGAGCTACTGGGGCTGAAATACAAGTGGTAAAACTCTGAACATGGAAAATATTTAGCAGTGGGACATGTTGCAATTCGAGTCAGTTTAGCTCACGCTAAACTTTTGTAGGTCAGTTGTAGTTCCTTATGGCAGCTTATACTTATATGCTTATATGGCAGTCATATACTGTGAAGTTACTCTAGTGTGTAACTAAAATATTGTACTTTAATCTCCACATTCACCTGCAGTTATTTTTTGGACTTAGTTTCATAAGAACAAGTTTGTAAACCCCTTGGTGCCTGCATCAGAGGAAAGCAAATCAGAGAATGTGAAAAGCACAAAAAAAAGTCACATTCTTGAACATTTATTTTGATGAACAGATTTGACACAGTCTAAATGACTATCCCTGATAACAGCAAACTAGAGACATGAGAGCCTTGGGGAGAAACCCCTCAGACCGTCCACTGTGTTCCTCAACTCCAGCCTTAACGGGGTGTCCAGACTACATCTGCACTCTCTCTCCTTGAAACCTCCTGGAATCGGGCAAGTAGGAGAAAGATAAATAGCTTTCAGAGTTCACTTAAGATAAATTAGGCAAGATGGTCACTGCACAAGCAGGAAGCCAATGACAAATGTGTATTAGTATAAATATGTATCAGCTAATTGTCATAACTATGTTTTAGTCAGGAGACAAATTGTGATGTTCATTATCTTTCGTTACTACATGTGTGCCACGGGGGCCTTAAAACGGATCCCAAATATATTCTTAATGAATGGACTATAAACCCTTTTATTCCAGTTAAGCTGCATTATTAGCTGAAACAGAAATATCTGCCTCAATCCATAAACCTCATTCAGAGTAACTGTGGGTGCACAATATCCATTTCATAATGTGAGGATTTTACACATTCCATGGAAAAAACACAGGAACAGACAACATATCAAGAGGTCTGCAACGTGGGTCCTATAGTGACCACATGTGTTCATACAAGTCTTAATGTAAAACACAAAGCGTAAAAGTTTTTTTCTCTTGAAAAAAGCCCATAAAAATATCTGAAATGTAACAAAATCTGTCTGTATGTCCTAAGTCATGGGCACAAGCCAGTCATGCAAAACCCAAACTCAGTTACAGGTTTTAGCTTTAGAACAAACTACTTCTCATCTAAAATAAGTCTCGTCTATGTCCCATGTATAATCGAGTCTGTAACTTTAACACAGTGTGATACAAACATGACAGTAAAGTGAAAATTAAAAAGTTGAAACTATCAAAGACAAGAACTCAACAATAGATAATATAAAAGTTTTCTCTCAAAAGACTGCCACCTAGGAAGACAATGCTCCTTTTCTGTGCGCACCTTACTTTCATTCTAATGCAAGAAAGGTTCCAGTCAAGCTATTCCGACAAAGGGCAGCAGACTCAGAATGACCCGTAACAGCGATGCAAACTGAACATGCCAGGCTGAGGCAGTGACCGAGGAAGCCAAATGGAGTACTGTTGACATCAGAGAGGGAATTTTCCAGTCCAGGAGCTCCAACAGAGAGGGAGCTCGGCTGACTACATATTTAGTCAAGAGGTTCCCAAGTGGGTCTCTGAGCCAGTCCACCTCCACACAGGTCCTTCAGGAGCGACTGCGGTCCTCTTGGGTGCCCACCAGCATTTTACTGTACAGCTTCTGCTGCTCTTCTTTAAAGGTATCTTTTACCTTTCCTCGCTTCAGTCCTCCATCCCTACAAAAGAGTTTGAAATGAGTGACAACTATTGATGATGTTGAAAACTGTGCAGTTTATCAATGTTCTATTGCTGATTAGGTTCTACCAAAGCAATGAAATGCAAACCAAATACGCTGCATTACTGTCTTGCCATTTATGACGCTGCTACAGACTTCATATATGCTGAGAAAAATGTTTATCAACCCAAGACAGCAGTCTGTTGAATGGCCACCCATATGTTGAAGCATCCACTATCCCTTGTCAGTCATAAGGTTTGGATCAAGCAACAACCCCTGGGGCTGAGAAATTAAGCCAACAAGGAAGTGCCAAAAATTGCAGTTCCTTGAATGGCCATTTGAGGGTGGCTCCTAAAGCGAGTCACTCTCCATAGACCCCCATGTTAAAATGCCCAACGTTACAGCAGAAATAAACATGTTGACAAACTGACAAAGGTTTGGGTCTCTATAGCTAATTTACCTTTAATTTATGGAAACTGTACAGCAGGTGATTTTTTTATATAACTCACACATTTCAATTATATTAAGTGATTAAAGTTATGCATAATTAAGGATCTGAGTGACAGGTGGATGCTGTCACAGGGGTCAGCAGCTTGGTGGTTTAGCAACCATGCTTCATTTGGCCTGCCTCAGCATTACCTCTTTGCCCATTTTTGGATTAGCCAGAGAGTCAGGCACTGCCAAGATGGCGACGGCCAGAACCGTCCACATTGAGCTTCATAACGCTCTTCAGAAACCTATGGGTGACGTCACAGAGACTGTGTCCATGTTTAATACAGTCTGATTTGTATGATAAAGTTGTAGAAACCATTGAAGCTGAATGGGTGTTGTCTTACCACAGGAGGTCGACCAGTCCGCCTTGCCTGGCTATGGCTGCCTTTACACGATTGGCAAACTGTACAGCATCCTCACCCTCCTGTTGGAGAAGACATAAGTCTTACACAGGTAAAGAAGTGGTCGTAACAAATAAAGAACAGCATAGCTCTTATCAATTAAAATGCTTTGTTCATTGTGTCATTTGCTGCTGAATAAAGAAACATTCACACTAGAGGTGGGCGAATGGCTCTAAAATAATGCCACCATATTTCAGGGTATTTCTGCAATAATGATATTCTTGACTATATGACAAAATACTGAATTGCTGCTCTCCTTGTGGGATTTGCTCTACTCTACTGGGTGCTTCTGCCACAGATTATAAGTTTGTTGTTGTTGTTGTTGTTGTTACAGGCTTCTTGCCTTTTAACGTGTTTTGTTGTACATCGGATCTTTTGTAACCAAACCACTTCCATACCACTGAAGTCGCTCCCCTTTTGGGAACTTACTCCTCCACGGTGGAGCCGGTAGCAATGTTATTTTTTGCTTTCCATGCTTGTTGTCGCGGTGTGTGCATGTCATAATGTCAACAAATTGAAATATTGCAATTTTCACAATAATTAAAAATTACACAGATATATCGTGAACAATATGATATGGCACAGCGCTAATTCACACCCACCCAAAACTTCATTGTAATTCTCAGTGCTATGACTTGACTATGAATGTACATAGAGGCTCTGCAATAAGATAAGAAATTGGAGTTCCTTGTATGTTTTTAATTCATTGTTTCTGGGCTATCACACATGCTGAGCTTGTAGTCACTGTGAACCATATTATTGTCTGTCTGGGAGCTCATATATTGCAAAAATCACTTTGTGGTCACTTTGCTATGTAGGTGAATGTAGCTTACTCAACAGCAGGAAGTTTAACCTTGGTGTGCGAGTGTGCACCAATGGACTGGTTGAAAAAAAAAAACAGTTTGGCAACCAGTTGATAAAGATATACTTCCATCCATCCATCCATCCATCCTCAACCACTTATCCTGCATACAGGGTCGCGGGGGGGCTGGAGCCAATCCCAGCTGACATCGGGCGCAAGGCGGGTACACCCTGGACAGGTCGCCAGTATAAAGATATACTTGATATTTCAATTTAGTCTGAGCTTCACTTTGCTTATTACCACATTGTTTTTGTACTCAAGGGTTCATCTGAACAAATTCTCATCGAAGTCAAAGTGTTGAATGCAAAAAAAAAAACAATAGATCTGCCATGATTGTTTATTAATCAAAGAAACAAAATCAGTTGGGAAGCACGAGTTAACCGGTGAGTCTCACCTCTCTAGACATGGGAGGGAGGTACCACACACTGCAGACGATGGCCCAGCTGCTCATCATACGTAACAGGTAGTTGACCATTCCAAACTTGCTGCTATTCCAGAAAGCGTCTCCAAATCTGGGATCATACTGTGAGGATCAAACACACCAGAATAAATGATCAATGCATTTTATTTAATGCATAAATGTCAATGGTTAAAACAATATGTAGCATCAATCTCACCTTAATGGCCACAGGGTAGACTGTGGCACCAATCTCAAAGCTGCCCTTCTTAAACATCATTACTGATGTGTTGTTAATGCAGGTACCTGGGGATTTAAAGTATTTATGAAAAAAATAATAATAATTAAAACTTATAAGGCTTTTTCAAAAAAACTAAAATGACTAGTGCAACAATAAAGGCTTCGTAAGTGTACCAGATTATTGAACAAGCTCACCTTCTGGGAAAATGAGAATGGGCAGTTTAGATTTATCTTCTACATGATCACTCAATCTGCGATAAAAGAAGTATGAATGTTATTACTGAAAAGCAATTTTTTTGATTTACACCTTAGCCTCTTTAAGTACAAAATATAACTTTGTTTAAAAAATTCCAACTGACTGAAACTCAAATTCAGTATAAAAACTTTACTTGTCAAACTAAGAGAAAAAAACAAATAAAAACAAAAGGATGTTATGCTACCTTTTGGCCACTAGATGTCTGTCTTTCACTTCTGAGCGTTCAAACCAAACGTGCGGGCAGGCCTTGACCATGGATCTCTGAATGACCCCCATCAAGCCACCGTGAATTTGGCCGACCTGACACAAAGTAACACAAACACACGTAAATAGTAACACGTCTATTTCTGGAAGAAATTCAATTTCACGCAGCTGCCATGGAAAAAGTGACCAGTGTCAATGTTTTTGTAGGCTCCTCCAATATAGTTACCATAGCATAGCAGCCGTCACTGGCCAAGATGATGACATCAATGGGCGATGTGTGGTTGGCGACACAGATTCCTCCATTCTTGGGTTTATTCTCACTGGAAAAGGTAGACAGGAAGACTGTTAATCTATGTATTATGAAGGCTCTTCATGGATGAAATAAGTGACACAATGCTGAGTGTAGTATTGAGTATCAAAATGCACTTTTAGTGCACAATATGACAATGAAGAAAGCAATGCCATCACAAGTCAAAAGGAATTGTTCATGGATATTTAGGTACGCTTTGGTCCACTGCCTTGCCCAGTCTTTCAAGAAGAAACAAATCAACCCATTTGTGGATATGTTAAGGTTTGAGCCCTGGGGCATGCAGGACCAGAACATACTCCGTCCACGTTCCAAGGATAGAGTTGCAATCTTAAACAGAGAGAGAGAGCAAGACGTCCTATGTCACTTGGGTATTTTTAGCCTCAGAGTAGAGAGGAATACATGTTACAACAGGCTACAGCTTAATGGTAGAAATTCAGAAAGCCATAAGAAATCATACAAATCTTTGTTTCACCTCTGAGTACATCATCTGTATCAATCAATATCTCCCCACCCAATTAATTAAAAGTATCAATTTTCTAATGAGAAATTAATGTGTCCATTACTGAAATCTTACTACTTGGCTGGCACCTCAAGATATGAGCAAATAAATGATCAAACTTCCATTCTAATAATTGGAGCAATCACACAATGTTGCCATGATCTCCAACTCACATGGCATTTTAATTTCAAAATCAGTCAAGCCTGCACTGCAGTTAACCAAAATGACAGCAGCTGTAATATAGTTGTTGGGTAAATACCAAAAGCATCAACTTCCTCCTTCACATCCGGTTGTGTTTGCCGCCCTCTCTGTAAAAGCTCTGTCCATTGTTTCATGTTCCTCTTAGATTCTTACTCTGCTATATTTAAATAAAATGTACTACAGCTACGTGAACTCAGAAGCTCCAAGCTTCAGGTTTGAGGTTATATTGAGAGTACCACAGCTGTGTCTGAGAAAGCATTACTGACTAGGGTTTTGTGCTTCACCCGGGCTCATATGCCTGCTGCAATGAATACGAATGTAGACAGTTTGAGTTCTACCCTCTCTCTCTCATCCTCGCACTCAGGGTGCTCACATTGCAACTGCGAACACACCCTGGTTTCTGTTCTCCACAGATAACTCATCATGTAATCTCACGCAGACCACTCTCCTTTCATGGCATGACGTCTGCTGCGGCTCATGTTTGAGAAAGAAGACGAATGGGGCCGTGTGAACAAATGAGCAACATTCAAGTAGCTTGTTTTGGTTTTTTTTTTTATTGTATCTAGAGCTGCAACATTTAATCTATTAGTTAAATTAATTGCCAACTATTGATTGACAATCGATTAATTCTTTAATTAAAAAGGAAAAAATGCTTCCTGCATCTTAAATGTGAATATTTTCTGGATTCTTTACTGGTAAACTGAATATCTTTGGGTTGTGGACGATCTGCAGTAACGACATGCTTTCCTTGAAAATATACTGGGTTTTAAATTATGTTTTCAAAATGGGCTGGTAGATATCACCACTGTGGTGTCAGAAATACTACACTTGCTGCTATGAACAGCACTGTGTCTAATGAAAGTCAATGTGTATGTGTCCCAACTGCCAGTGTGTGGTTTATGGAAACCCCTCTGGCTGCTCTGGGTCTTATATGGATAACTACTTCCATTATTTCTGTTGACATCATTAACATGCGTCATATGCATCTTACCTATTTAGATTATTACCTATTTTAGATTGAGTGTCTCATGTGTTTGCATACAGCCGATCAAGGGCTGTACTAACTCTCTCACATTTGCACCATCTTCCCCTTTACACATCCTGTCATTCTTAAGACTGTAAACACCAGGGCAGTCTACTACTGCAGTGTTAAAAGTAGGATTGGGCCAAAAGACGATTTCATCGCCATCGGCGATGGCTGTCAGACATCACGTTGTTGAGCAGGCATCGTGATTGTAAAACCCCGCCCCCCCTGGCAAAAAAAGAAATCAAGATGTGAAAACAGGTTTTAATCACGAACATTATTAGAATAAATTTTAAATATGCTTCGTATTTTGCTACGTTTTGTTGACACAAAACTCGCCCCTGGTCAGTGCCACAAATATCCACCGTGACTTGTAACGTCATAGGCTACAGTGAGTGAAGTCTGTGCGAGTGAACACATACACATAAGACGACAGCTACCCCCCGCGCGCCCTTGCCGTCATCATCCATCCCGATGTTTCAATGTAGACATCGTCTGATGGAAATTTTGTAGACATCGCCCAACCCTAGTCAAAAGTCTACTATTGTACTACTTGGAATGGCTTCATGTCCAGTGAAAGTTACTAGTCACATAACTCGCAAAGCTATGTCACAACAGCATTGGTCTTTTACCTGTCATGGTAAGTTATAATGGCAGTCAGAGCTCTGACACATATTCTGTAGCACATCAGATGGACTTTCTGGCTCAGGAAGTTTTTAATCCTGCAAGAAGGAACAGACAGCATCATGATTTACTTTGTGTGTCAAGACGGCAAATCTGAGCTGCTACTTTTGATCAATTAAAAACTAGCCATTGACCATTAAGGACCAGCTTGTCGTCAGTTTTACCTTCCGTTCGGCAACAGCCCAACAACAGTGGTAAGGAACACAAGGAGGCCCACACCAGTGACAGCAAGAGTTACCCTGGTGGAGAGATACAGGCTGGTTACATGTAATCCTTCAGCTGTAAATCTTACAACAATGCACTTATGTAAAACACAGAAAGGAGGTTTTCCATGTTTTGGTTTGACACATTTAAAACTAGTGGCAGTTAAATTATTGGCTAAGAACATGATCCTTAGCCATAAAAGTTTCCATCTGTACCACAAACTTTAACTGGGAAGAGTAGCTACTCTGTAAACAAGGTCATGAGTAATGTTATCCAGGGGAGTGGGGTTGTTATCAATTATAAATATCACACTGTCCTCTACTCACAACTTATAATAGACGGAGTATAGAGTCAGGAACCTGCAGAGCATATAAGGCAATAGTTAAAATGGCCAACAGGTCTACTTAATCTGAATGAACCAATCATCCAGGTTGGTGCTGATTAAATTGGATGAGGATTAGACAAACATTAAAGAGGCTAAGGTTTCATACAAGTGAGGGAGCCAGGGCAATATTCAATTGGACAAGTACTGAATGAGAGAATCTATTAGCTGGATGGGAAACTAGAATGATGTCTGTCTGTGCAGTGGTGCCCTGATTCGTCTCCCCACTGGCAATTGGAAATAAGCCAGCCAGGCTTAGTACTGAGTCACTGTCCCTGTGCCTGTCTAAGCCGACCCTGAAAGAGGATCTTCCTCTTTTACTCACTGCATGTGCCATCATTTAATGTTACTTCTGTGTTGTGAGCAGTGTTAAACCCCGTGCAGAGCGCACAAATCTTTGGATTTTTACAAAGCTTTAATAAGGCTGTATGCTGTCTCTATATGAAAGGTTATTTTTGTATAATGTCAGCACTTTCCCATGTTGATTCACCACAACTTTTATCTTAACGTGGGTTTGTTTTGGGTCAATAAAAACATTGCAGAAGGCAGTGACAGCTGTCCGGAAATTTTTCTGCCTAGTCCTCAGATAACTAACTCTGTATTACACGTTGTTGTATGCTGCTGCTGTAGGAGTCCTGTATCTGCAGACTATTTGTCCAAACGATAATACGTTATGCAGTTTAGTCAACCAACAAACTTATTTAGTTCATCTAAAAGCCGCTCATCGTTGAATTAGTTGTAAAAGTTTTTAGTTGTAAAACGGTAGAAACGTTTTAATTCAATTGAATTTTATTTATATAGCGCCAAATCACAACAACAGTTATCTCACAGCGCTTTTCATAAAAGAGCAGGTCTAGACCATACTCTATGATGTTATTTACAGAAGCCCAACAATTCCCACCAAGAGCAAGCACTAGGTGACAGAGGCAAGGAAAAACTTCCTTTTAAGAGGCAGAAACCTCGAGCAGAACCATGGCTCAGGGTGGGCGGCCATCTGCCTCGACCGGTTGGGGGGGAAGGAGAGAGAGTCCATCGTAAAGTTTTAGACTCCTTTGCAACACCAATTTGTATTATAGTGTGTAAAATTTTCAATTTACAACTTCGTTAAATTGTTTCAGTGTATCAGTACTTCGTGAAACTTTTCAGCACATTTCAGCAATACCTCAATAATACTGATAACTCTGATAATTATTTTGGTCACCATAATTGTTATATGAAATTTTAATACCGCTTCAAATCTACTACCCACCATGCACAGCTGGCACATTTTTCTACTTCAGTTGTGACAACTTACTGGGTTGATTTGTATTTGATGGAGATACTTGCCAGCATAATTTTGTCACAAAAAACTCAAAAGGTTTTATCACTGAGGTTTGAACAAGAACAGATAATAGTCAAATCCAAAAGTAAATTTTGGCCAGACACAAAAGATCACTCAAACTAATGTGGGGGACACATATTTCCTGCAGCTGCAGTAGAGACATTACTGAAAACAGCTTTAAATTACTGACATTGTAATACTTGTACTAGTGGTTACATTTCCATTCCAGGCCCTGTCTCAACCTGTTCAGTTTTTCCTTAAAAGCTTGTGTGGAAAGGGTTACTCTTCTATGTTGAAAGCACGGCTAATACCTGAGAGGCAGCAGGAAGCCGTAGCGGATCAGCAGGCCCAACCCCCACAGGACGGTCAGCCTCAGGCTGATGTACTGGAAGTTGTTATTGCTGCGGGTCAGCAGATTCCAGGACTCCAACTCCTCAGCAGTGAACCGCTTGGTCACCTCATCGTCCATGATGCTTGCCACTCCTCGGCGAGCAAAATAGAAGATGTCAGACATCTCAAACTCAGAGGCCGAGTCCAAGTCTCTGTTACTGCCGCTCCGTCGGATCTCCTTGATCTCCTCCTCCAAAGAGGTGGGCTCCTTGGCAATGATAGCTGGAGCAGTCCAGAAAAACAGGATGTCAGCAAAACTCTTCTCTAAAACAAATACACCTTCTGAACATACACGTCACATACAGGAAAACACTCTGATTGCACATCTTACCATTTGAGTAGGGTTTGTACAGGTGGTGATTCTTTTCTTTGGCTCCTCTCTCTATCCTAAGTGTGGCCCACTACAAAGAAAGAACAAAACAGGAGTGTAACAATACAAGTAACCAAAAATACATGTAATGAAGCTTGTTCTTGTAGTTTCATTTAAAAAGGTGGGATATGTTATTCTGGAGAGATTCAATACCATGACAAATATCATGATACGGAGCAATCAATAACACAGCAAGTTAACAACCGTCAGCCAAGTTGTGGGTTAGCAAACCGCTTCTACAGTTGTTGCTGCAAAGCTAACATGCAGAGAGGACGAGACAATTTCCCAGAGCCAGCACAGCAGCTCCAGCCACTGCTAGCGGACCATCAGGAGATATTCGCTGATTTTGACAAAAAGATGTGTATTGGATTAACAAATTAAACAATAACATAGATGTTGATGATAACAGTTGTTTATTGTAAGTCTTAGTCACAAGGTCATTTAGAAAAGAGAGCCCGGGCAACATGCAAAAGGTTTCTGTGGAAATCAGCTGCAGCTATTATGAAACTGTTTAAATGTCTGACTTTCTAAATTTGAACATTCAAGAAACTCATTAAAACACAGCACGTTCTTCATTATCAGGGAAAGGAGGACTGGAAGGTGTTGGCAGCGTGATGTTGCCTACACCTATACGGGGTCTACACAGCATTCCTTTAGCATACTTTTCCAGCAACCTTTAAATCTTGTCATAACAAGTTGCATTACTGAGTCACTGTTTAGTACACATGGAGTTAACAGTTATTATTCTTTGGGTGGGGAGGAGGAGCACAGAGAGCTCCAGAGCTGCATGTGAAAAAGGTTTTTACTTATTTATCCCCTATGTAGTTTTACAGGTGTTGTTTTACAACAACAAATACCTTTTAACTTAAGTAAGCAGGAAATAGTGAATGACTGTTGTTACACTGCTGTTATAACACAAACTCTCTTTGGACAACTAGGCTAGTCACAAAAACAAAATGCCACTGTAGGCCTTGTGTTGAATTAATGAATTCAGAAGAGATCTTATCATCAAGATAAACATTACATTTTTCAACAAGCCTGAAATGGAGAGTAGTGAGACATGTGCAAATAGTAAAAAACCATAAAACATTGCTTCAGCTTCGCACAGTCTGCACTGCATCTGTCCTTTGACATTTTCTCTAAATCTAATGGTTGCTACTGGAATCTCCCACTGGTCCATTTATTTCTGGCACAAGATCTACTCTCAGAGGCACATGCTGGAAAGTGATGACAGCTTTACTGGTGAAGATGCACCGGAGATAGCACCCGAAGAGAAACAGGATAACTGTGTCTGTAGTCAAATTGGTAAGGAGACCATTAAATGGTAAATACTGACACCATTGCACGATGAGGCTGATGTACTAATGCCATCTCTGGTGATTCAAATTCATTTCTAGAAAGTGAAAACTACAAATAAGTACAAAATATTCCAGGTTGTTGGAGCCATGTCACAGATTACTGACAAGGTTTTTGCTACCGTTTTCACTGGTTACATAACACTGAAAATGACTGTGATGTTAATGTTTCAGTTGGATGCTAAAGACATGCATAAAGCCTGAACCACTGCCCTAAGGTGTGCATGTAAAGCCAGATCATTTCTAGAAACTCACTTCACCAGTACTGCAGCTTTAAATGTATTATATTTTATACAAGTAAATGCTTTCCAGAAGCAAAAATGACCTGTGTTGATTGAAACCTGAGCAAATATGGGCTGTCCTTGAAGAACACAACCAACAACTTTTATAAACTATAGTTATTTGAATATCAGAGTGTGTGGAAGGAGCAGATTGTAATTTATTTTAACTGGGAACTGTGCAAGAATAGCAACACACCTTTGGATATATTGTTATGTTGTGCGTATACAGCGTTTCCACTCCATCCTCAGCTTCATCCCAAAAGTAACCATTTATGATCCCCCTCAAACTGCAGTTAACATTCTATATTTCCTCAATACTTCAAAGCAGTGGGGCATTATGCAGCGTTTTCTTACCTCAAAAATCTTTAACAAGGTTTTCATGTAAAAACGTCGGATGCCGAAGGACACCCCAAAGATGGCAGGCACGATAATGAAGACCAGCAGCAGGGTGAACCACACGGTGAGCGAGATGCCCAGCAGGATGCACACCAAGTTGTCAAAGGGGTTGAAGAAGAATGCCATCTTGAAGTCCAGTGAGCAATGAAATCTATTAAATAGTTGAAATCAGAAGGCAGAGCAGTCCTTCACCTCCTGGCCCCGAGTGGCCCTTATCTTTTGTCAGAAAAAGGCCTTCATCAAGATAACTATGGGATGGAGCTTCTCCTCACACTGAATAGAGAATCAGTACAAGTGACCATTTTGGCATTGCCATCTTGGGCAAAACTAATTAATTTCAACATTTTCGCAATCAAATCTGGTCCCAAAACTCTGCTAATTCAATTCCAGAAAAAGGATAGTCAAGTCTTTCAAGCAGCTGCGATGGAATAATGGCCGGTCCTTGCTGCAGATGTCCTTTGCTATTTGAGCAGAGCCTCCCGCTGGTGAAAGAAATGTAAACAATAAAACAACTGGGCACAGCAGGCGCTTCTCTTGTCTGGGGGAAGATCCAAGGGCTCTGCACAGACCTGCAAAGATGTACAAACAAACGGTCAGGATGATCCATGTCACAATAATATGTCCTCTACGAGTAACGTTACACGTCGTGCAGTTCAATAAAGCAAGAAGGATAGTGACACAGAGACTTTCTAACACCGGTGTGCAACGTTAATGCTAGCCTCTGGCTATTCTGAGAATAAACTGATGCCTCTGACGTTAGGTTGATTAACGGTCATGTATCCATTTTCAGTACAGAAACAGATATGTTTGCACGCCAACGCTACTGTTCAGTAAAGGTGCAGAGATGCAGGCCCTCCATCCTCATCCCATCTGATGATGCAGCAGCACGGCTAACGAGCGGCTCCATCCCGAATACAACCACATACAGTTAGCTAACGTTAGGCTCATCACTGCCAACACTTCTAGGATAATTTAGCAGCCTCCAAACCCCACAAAGGGCAATTAACGTTAACGCTAGGTAACGTTACTTACATGGACCCAAGCTAGCGGTGGGTCGTGAGACTCAACACTCCTGTGACCCACACGGACAATAAAAGTTAGCTCGTGGCCTCCGAGCTAACGGTTATACTGAATGTTGTCTCCTGGCGTGCTCGAGCGCGTTCAGCTAGCTTGCGCTCAGCCATCCAGAGTAACGTTAAGGCTAATACAGTCCGGGTATAACATGAAATGCTGAGCCAACCTTTTTGAGCAACGTTATCTCACAGGTTACTATCCTAACCGACAGTTAACATACATGTGGTTTAACAGACTTAATAACGTTAGTTCACCCACCTTCAGTCACGTTGTGTCCAGCGCCGGTACAGTAGAGTTTCACTGGTCAATCACATCATCGGTCTTTGTCTTGCGGACTGTAGCCAAACTCCACCCGGCGCACAACATGAGCAGAAGACGAGCGGATCCTTCCTGATCAGCCTCAGACCAGACCACGGCAACAACACTCAGTTCTTCCCTGACACCTGGTGGCCGAAATAAGATACAAATCCCATTTTAAAATTGCAATGCAGTAACAAAAGAACCCTCTGCAGCGAGCCAGACTCATGGCCATTAAATGCAATTATTATTTTATTATATATAATTATGTAACTATTACTACTACTAGTATTTACTATACTGACTAATTTAATTATTTATATTTAACGGCTCTGATGAGACTACAAAATTACGCCCCTCCTTCACAGTCCGCAGACTACCCCTCTCGTTTGTAAAAGATTTGAACCACTAGCTGCGCTGTAGAGCAATGTTTTGATGAACGGTTAAAAGCTAGGCTTAGTGCAATTCAGAAATCATAATTAACCATGTTTTAAGAGCGAGAAGACGAGGGAGAAGAGCTGCATTGCGGGAAAGAGGCTTTATAACCTTGCTGAATGTTATTCTTCCAACACTTCTGCACAAGCAAACGGCCATTCCCCTCTACTGTATTTGGGTAGCAGCAGAAATATTTTAAACCAAAGCAAATAAAACAAAAAATTTATCTGCATGGTCATGCATGTTTATTTTTTCTAATTTGGTTGAACCAAAAATATAAAAGCATCGGACACCAACACACTGGAATAACAAAAGCTTTTTTTATTCACACATTTACATCCATGTACAGTCTTGTCAAGTAATTTCAGATGTAGAGAACTGAAAACAGTATTGAATTTTGGCACACCATTCAACCCTGAATTAATATGCTTATTCCACAAAAAGAAAAGAAAACCTCATTTATATAGTGTTTTTTAATTTATTATTATAGCCACTCTGAAAACACAAAAGCGCAATCAATGGCCATCATACTTGTATTGGATGTCAGGTTCCACTGGGACAGTCCAAAGTAAATGTGAACTTCTTGTCAAGTGCACAAGTGCATTCACCTATTAGGCTTGAGGAGGCTCAGCCCTCCACTCCTCTGATGAGCATCAAGAACTGCTCTCCAGTAGAGCCTCAAAGTCTGGGGAGCAAACCATTTTGTGTTTGATATTCCCTAATACAGTCAAGTCGCCTGTTCTTCCCTCAGTACCAACAGAGACCAGCTCCTGAGAAAACAGAGAGGGGAAGAAGAGAAAAGCATGTCAGAAATGTTAAAGGGTACCTATTAGGCCCATTTCCATCTCTATATTTTTATTCTGGGATTCCACTAGAGTAGCTTTATATGATTCAGTTTTCAAAAAAGCCTTATCTTATACTCCTTTATCTTAAACTGGCCCTTTATGCAGCCCCTCAGTTCATCCTGTCTGCAACAAGCCGTTTTAGCTTCTGTCTCTTTAAGGCCCCCCCTCCCTAAAAGCTCACTAAAAGGTCACATGAAGCAAAGTCTGTTTCTGATGAAGGCAGCAGCTGATCACAGCTGGATTTATTGATATTCTGATTGTGAATTCATCATTGAATAACCCAGAATATAATTATGGTGTCTTGAATATTCAAAATTATTTATTAGGCTAAATGTTTCAGGGGAAATTTAAATGATTTAATTCATCAAAAGCCGACGCTCAGGAATGATCAACTCACGTGTGACTGAATGCAAATGATGATTAAGAGCTGCAAAGTTTACCCCGGAACTAGGAACCTTTGGAGGAACTCGCTGCATTTCGACAGCAGGGACCAGGGTCTAAATTAAGTTCCAGGGACTTGACTTTACCCCAGAAAGGTCCCAACTTTTAATGTGGGGGCTAATGATGTAAAAAGTATTTCTTGCTGACAGACTCTCCGACTCTCTCTTACTTTAATTGTATCGATAATAAAAGCTAACAAAAAAGTAGAAAGAATCTTTCTAATAAAGGAAGGAAGGTGTTTATGGTCTTTTTGTGGGTCAGACCTACTATTAACACAGATTTTGAACTAGATGGTAAATCAGAAACAAATCTAATACAGAACTTGGGAACAATACACGTGAGTTTAATCTGTTATCAGTCTGATCAATCTGATCAGCTGCAGTGCTGTGCCTGGAGCAGATGACCATATAATGACAGGAAAGTGAAATAAAATCCATGAAAACCTAGTATTCAGAGCAGTCTGAAGCCTGAGCTTTTTGCTGACAGGGATTGTTTTCACATAGATTTACCTCATTATTTGTATATATAGATGACATAAAATAAGAGAATGCGTAATAGGTTCCCTTTAAAAATGCTGATAGTAAATATTTATTCTATGATTTATTCTGTAAGAGTAGCATGTAGAGAGATGCTGGAAGACGAATAGAATAGAATCCATAGAAACAGATAAGAGTATGGAGACAAACACAGACAGAGAAACCTGTCAATGACTAGACTGCTGTCATACCTGAAGGAAAGCGCATGATGTTCCTAGAGACACATCAAGTGTCACTTGCCCCAGTATGAGTTGTACCCGGCCAGACTTCCGCACAAGCATCTTTCCTACAACACCCTCCCGCAGGTCTTTCAGATTGCAGCTGTTTTCTTCATGTTCCTCCTCCTGTTTAAAATTAAAATACCGTTTACACACTTAACCTCAATATTATCATGTATTTAACATGTAGGCAACAACTTAGTGTACCTGAGACTCTGTTTTCAGAAGCACAGACTGTCCGTCCTCCGACTGCACCTCAGTTTTCACAGGCCTGTGCTCTATGGTGGGGGGCTGGCCGGGCAGCGTGTCCGGCAGCTGCATGAAGAACAGCTCCTCCCCTTTACTCAGACTCCATCTATGCAGCAGGTCAGGAAGAACCTCAGGCTCAGGGAGAGGAGGCGGCCTGCAAGCTCCATCTGACTTCTTTGTGTCAGTTTCCTCTTTCACTGAAGAGAGAATAATGTGTATTTTGAGAGAGCAGCATGCTCAACATTTATTTCCTGCTTTTGCAAACTTTCCTAAAAATACTGGAAACACAAGCTGCTGACCTGGAAACTGCAACCTAGATACTGGACCCTTTTAGTTTTTCCTTGTTGCGAAATATTAACACTGTGAAAACAACACTTCCCAAGAAAAGGAAACAAGTTTTGTCATAATTACAAAAGTTACCTTCAACTGCAGGTTCCATGGGTTCACCATCGTCCTCCATCTTCTCAATTTTAACGGCAGGAGTAAACTCCTCCTTGAATCCCCATCCCGATACAGCAAGGGGAAGCTGCACAGGGCAGCTCCTCTGCTCACTCCTCAGGTAGGGATCGTCTATAAACTGAAAGAATGCAATTGGAAAGGTGAGTTAAACTCGTGGCAAATGCTAAATAAAGCTACTTAATAAAGATGACTGACAATCAAGCAACTTACATTATCTCGCTCCAGCTTGCGCAGAATCTCTTTGGTCTCTTCCTCAGTCTCTCTCTTCTCCTTTTTAATATTGATGATGGGTGATGGTCCAACGCTCGGTGCATCTCTCTCATTTTCATAGCCCCCTGTGTGTGATACAGGGATTGGCTTAAACCAAGGTAAGACACAATTATGCATGTGTAGGGAAACGCTGTGTAATTGCATCGTTAAAAAAACAACAACAAAAACAAACAACATCAGCCAAAAGCAGCAGAACAGAGTGAGTGGTTATTCAGCTGAACTCCTACCTCTCTTTTTCATCATCATCTCCGCGGGCCCCTGTTCAAAAATAGAGTGGGACTGGATGACCTCTGGGCGACCTCGGCCCCTGCCTCTATCTCTTGGACCTCGACCTCGATCTCCATCCCTCCTCTCTCTCCTCTGCCCGCCTTCAACTTTTGTTCTGTTATGACAGACAAAGTTATTAGTCAACTGTCAGAAGAATTGTTAAATCTATTTTCTCTGACATATTTTTACTTTCTACGTCAATTAGAAACTTACTCCTCTTTCGCTTTTCGGCCAATAATGTTGGGTGTAAACGTTTTCTAAAAAAGAAAATTAAAAAACACAAAAACAGTACTTAAGTATTGGAACAATTATTATTAGATTACAATTATTTTCAGATCACATTAGTGTTGTGGCTGAGGGACTGGTTGCGCATTTAAACATTTCCTGGACGAACCTTCTTCACTCCTCCCAGGGTGAGGTCTCTAGAACGCATTGAGGGGAGACGGCCAGTGGAGATGGCGGTGGGTGGTCGACGGCCCATCAGCTGTCCCATACTGCTCCCTCCAGGAGTTGGCACACGCTGACCACTGGGGTCGCCCGAACCTGAATCTGCCATCCTAAACTGGAGACGTGTGGCAAAAGTAATAAAAACCTTATTATGTGTGTGATTGATTATGAATACTCACATTCATATTCTCATAATCATTGTTATTTTAATCAGTGTTGTTTTGGACAAGATCAGTAGCATAGCAGTAAACTTAAAGACCTTTCTGAACTTGTTTGGATATTATCTTTACATTATATAATAAGGATTACTTCTCAAAATTGTTATCAAAAGTCCTAATATTCAGTTAAAATATTGTGATTTTGTAAATATAGTAAATTCAAGAAAAACTGTATGGTATCTATCTGTAATAAGCATATCATAAGCAAGTACTATTGATTGTGGTCCCAGGTCTTATTTTAACCTATTCTGTCATCTTACTAACGAGACTATCAAGTGTGGATAGGAGCAGCCAGCCACTCATTGTTGCAACTCAGGCGACCACTTTATATAATAAATATACTGACTTCTTTGGCATAGAAATGTACATAGTTCTTTTGCAGATAATGAAATGACAAAGATGGTGTGGTTGTTTTTGTCTTTCTGAGCAGGTAGTAGTATACAGGCCCTGGTTGTTATTATAACACGTAAGCCTGGATGAGTAGTGCTATACTCGAGTAACCTACACCTCCCTGGAAAAGAATCCTTTAAGGAAACCCTAAACATTGTATAAATTAATTGAACAACATATACCTGGTATGTATACCTGACACATCTACAGTATCAACATCCTAAAAAAATACTTACTTTTGTCTCTGTTTTTAATTACAACAGCACATGTTGTTGTAACATAATGTAACATTAATCACATGGAAATTAAAAATACAAGTACTTATCATCCACAACTACGTATTTTCATTAGGTCGTTCTTCTGAACGGAGATCAATTTTATTTTAAAAGAAAGGGCGTCTGGTCAGCAACGCTTGTAACTTAGTGACATCAACTGGCAGCCAATTTAAGTGTACGGGCCAAATTAACACTTTAAATTATTTTATATCGCATAGCTCGTAATATTTATTGATTTTTCGTCATCAAAACAGCAAAATTTAGCAACACGTGGCCAAATCAAAACACGAATACTGGGATACAATACACGTATGTTGAACTTTAATGCCGTCGAGAACAACATTTGACTCGCTATGCTTCCCCAGATACTTACGTTATGATTATTCGGATGTCCTAATTAGATGTTCATTCAAAACTTGCAAGAGAAGAGTCTTTACAAGTAGTTTGCTGCTAGTGCTGTTTCTGACACTGCATGATGCACGGCGCCATGACACTTCCGCAGTGTCATCACCCTCTGAGTTTACGCGGATCAAACCTGCGCAGAAAGTCTCGCATAGCCTTCAATTTGCGCATGCCGCCTTCCAGACCGGTCGGAACTGGGAAATTTCCAAGTTGAAAAAATATCCGACTTCCGACCTTAAAGCGTTTCAGGTCCCTGGTGGGAACGAGGCTTTGTGAAACACTGAAACGTTTGAAGCAATTGTGCTGGAATTGTGTCCAGGTTTCGAAACACTTCGACACCGGTCTCCACGGAGACACCTACTGGTCACTTTTGATATCGACACATCTTGGTAATGGATTAATTGAAACAATGACTGACCTGCGTTTACAATTCTACACGTCTTATCAGTACATGACCAACAGGATTTCCGAGAAATCACCATACAACAAACACACAAACGCTTTCAGATTGTCAGAGACAGCAGATGGGGATTGCAATAAAAGTGTGTTTAAATAAAACACATCTGTGTGTTTCATAAGTAGTCACTCATTTAGCTGATGCTTTTCTCAAAAGCAAATCCCAATTGCTATGGGCGCACTTTGGGAGCAACTAGGGGTAACGTGTTTTGCTCAGGGACACATGTATCACAGTGGGAATCTAACCCAGGTCACACACCAAAGGCATATGTCTTAACCACTTCCCCATAGAGACTATTATTTATGTTCAGAATCGGAATATTACTTTATTGACCCCCGACGGTGAAGTCTTTGTTGCAGATACTGGCAAGACAGAAAAGGAATAGGAATAATAGGTAGTTGAAGTTAGTGAGTAGAGAATATAATAAAGTATACAAATCTAAGAACATAGCCTAATAATAAATGTGGATATCTACAGTATTATAGGCTCCAGTAACATATTAACAAGGGTGTAATTAGCAGGAAAGCTATAGGCCCTAGTGTAATAATTAATAATAATGAGTGCTGGCAGTTATGAGGTGTAATGGATTAAAAATCTGTAACTGAGAAAAGTTTAAGTTGATTCAAGAATGATAAATGAAAGTGGATCAATGTCTCACATTTGTTATATGTCAAGAATTGTATTCAGAAATATTCAGCTGTTTTGGGGCTGAGCACCGAAGCCTCGCTTCACTATGGTCACGCATTGTCGTTTTGAACCACGCTTTGGAGCAGTGTTTCGAAACGTCTGTGCTTCGGGATCTTGACACAGCGTCTACACGTCAGTATCGATCCCTACCTGGTGGTGCATGGCGCTAAATGTAAACAGTAAACATGGCACCCCCAGCAGTGCACTTGGTGTTAATTCAAAGGATTTTATTAAAATATAATATAGGTTACTAATTAACTGTGTATCCTTCTAGCTACATTAGTTGGTAATCCTCAAAAGTCAGCAAAAGTTGTAAGCTATATTTTGAAATCTTTTCACATTTCTGGGCATTTTTAACATTTTCCTGAATAACTTTTGGGTAGAGAAGATGACTTTCAGAGATTGATTACTGTAACCAGCTATCTAATAACATTGAAAAAATATTTCTATATCAATTTACATGCAGAACAAGTTTTACTATTTGATACTAGGCGTATGTATTATTTTAATTTAATACTTTGCCTTTTAGTTTAAGGTTTACCATTTACAATGTGTGTATCCATGGGACCTGCCATTGTTGTGTCCAAGCCTCCTTTCCTTCCCCCTTTACTGATGCTCATTCTTGAGAGTACTTTTGGCAGTGAAAAATGACATGCTCTACAGATTACTCTATTTAACAGTGTTTGCGTAGTCAAATAATGTTTGTTTATTAAGTGCAGTGTTTTATTTAGTATAGTACATCCTCAGCCTTGTCAATATGTTGTCCTCTTTGGTGCTTCTTTTCGCTGCGCTCACTGTGCCCACCTCTCGCTGTACTGCATGATGGTGTCGTCCTGCGTTTCCCGTATTCCAACTGTGCTGCCACTTTTTAATGATGTGTGATGTGATTGTTTTTTTGGATTATTCCTTTTGCTTTAGATTGTGTGACATGTCCATGATATCCTCATATTTCAGAGCCTGTTTTGCTAAGGCATCCACAATTTCATTGCCCCTAATCCCCCTGTGAGCTGGTATCGACATACATGTTATTAAAAAAAAAAATCACATTTTTAAATCAGTACAGAGTTTCATATTTCTTATTAACTATATCCCGCATACAGTGAGATGTAAATGACTGCAATGACATTAATGCAGAACATGAATCTTACAAACAATAAGGACGACATTATCCTTCTGATAAAAGGAAAATGGCCATTCTTCCAATCTACACAACTGCTAACATAAGTGACACTCTTCTTTCAACTAGTTTTCCATGCATGTGTTTCAAAAATACTTCTTTTTGGGTGGGGGCAAATCTATTAGGGAGTATTGATGTTTTCAAAAATACATAGACTACACAAAATAAACATTTTGGTCATGAAATTATGACGAGCGAACAGGTTCTCAAGTTCTACAGGAAGTCTAATAAAATCAGAAAATTGCATTACTTAACAGCAACATGTAAGATAGCGCTGAAGCTACATCATTAGGGCAACATAGCCTATAATTAACTGTAGATACATTCCCCAGCTTTTTTCTTTGAATATGTGATACTTTTGCAAATGTACACCAAAGTGTGTCAGTAGATAGCCTACTCATGATTGAAAATGGGGTCAAGAGACACTCATCCATGTACCCAAAGAAGATTTTGCTCATGTTATGTCCATAAACATCAAGTCAGCATTAAGCTATTTGTGAAATGTGTAGATAAATTTGGTGCACACAGATTCATAAGAAATGCAAATATGATACTAAAACATCTATAAAGCGCAAGTCTTTTGGGACCATCGCACATGTCAGGCCTGAGGAAGAAGAAGGAGAAATAAATCCTGCTTCAGACTATTCTGGTTCCCCAGGCCATGATCCACCACAACCTGGTGGTGTCTGGTCCTGCTGATAAGGCATGGACCTTGGGGTAGGTCTCCTGATAGGCAGAGGGTGGGTTTTGATGAATAAATACACAAAACATTTTGGAAAATGTTCTGATGTGCTAATATTTAGGCTTCAATGAAATACAAGGGATATTGTCCTTAGGACATCACAAATGGCTTCCAAATTTTCTTCTCAACAGACAAAGATAGCCTTCCTCCAGCCAACTGGCTATTCCCACCTCTGCAACTGAGAGGGTTTTTTGGACAGAGGCAGACTGTCATGGCATGACTAATGATGGCTGATTGCAGTTTAATTACACTCTGAGGGTATCACTTATCTGCGGCAGGGCAGAAATAAATGAAGCTTTTCAATATTGCACACAGTCTGTCGAATTATGGCAATATATCGCTGTCATTTTTCAAATACAAATACTATGTGATTGTGAAAGGACTGCAAGCTCACCATCTGTTTATCCCTTTGTTATCTGTCTTTATTCTATGCCCATATCCAATGTTTTAGCAGTAGATTATAGCCATTAATCTGGGAAGGGTCTCTTTAATCTTTAATAAAATCCTAAATTAAGTTGCCCCGTGAGGTTGAACAAGCACAAAAACATCCCTCTGAAAATGAATGCCAGTGGAAATCTGCTTACTCTGGACTTACATAGTGGCATCCCTCGCCTCCGGACGGGTTGGGGGGAGATAGCCTGTGGAGTTAGTCCATATGGCATAACAGTTGGCACATGTATATCTTTTGAGGTTTTGATGGTGCTCTATGTAATTTACTGGGGCATCACTCAGGATAATCTCTTTTTAATATTCAGTGGCCAGTGGAGCGTGTGCTTCATTTTATTCATCACAGCCCTCATGTCCATAGTCTCCATATCTGAGAGGTGACATGTGTGCAAGCAGCTAAGTGTTCAGTCTATATTAGTGTGTGTGGATTTTGTGCCACAGGGCAGCCTCACTGGCAAGCGATGTGTTTAGTATGATTGCCTGGCGATAACACAGTGAGGTTCACTGAGTGTCTCACTGTGGTCACACTCCAGTTGGAAAATTCTCACTTTTTGCTCCTTTTAGGTTTTAATTCATCCTGTGCGGCTGCATGTATGAGTCAAGTAAACATCATCCTCAGAGCCCAGAGCGAAAACGAGACTGGGAGTGGGGAGGGCGGGAGGTGGGTGTATGGGTGTGTGTGTGTGTGTATATGTGTGTGAGTGTGTGTGTGTGTTAGAGTGTTTGTGTGACACAGAGAGTGAGCGAGAAACAGACGGAGAGAAGGAGAGACAGAAAGAGAGAAAGAGGAGCCTGTGCGTTCGTTTCACCTCCTAATCAGTTTTCCTGGGGGATCCATCATCGACTGCAGCAGAGGAGGCAAGTCAGAAAGCGGAAGAAGAAGACAGTAAAATTCACCCCGGCTATAATCTTCTCTCATCGCAAATTTGAGCCTCATACAAGTAAGGAATTCTTCTAAATCAGCCGACTTACAGATGCTTGTAGTGCTCAGAAAATAAATCTATTGTAATTGTACTCCTGGCGTGTGAAGTTGTGGAGATCAAATAATCTGATGCTGTGATGGTGCGTTTCATTTGTGCATTTCTCAAGTAGTATAAGACGTGTCAGATGAATACAGCAGTCGGGGTGTTCATGCATGAGTTTTTATTTGCATGTTGTCCTGCTGATGTACACATGCATGTGTGATGACTTTTATTACATCCCGCCACTGCCATTTCACATGAGACTGAGAGGAGATTTCATACAACAGCATTGACTGGATATTGTAATACGATAGATGCTCATTTTCCAACATTTTAATGCTTGGTTTAATTGTGCATGGGGGTGCAGTGCGTCAAACTGTGTTAGTCACACACTATCTCCATTTAACAGCTTATTTATTGAACTTCACACAATGTTTTTTAGTGTTTCATTGTGTGTAATGGTCACCCCCTTTAGTTTGAATAATGAGGGAATTGCACCTCTTCTTCCTCCCCCGTGCAGCCATCTAAAAGTGTTTTAAAGTATTCTCCCTGGAAGAAGAAATAAAAATGACTTTAAACAACAGAGTTGCTGTGCCCTGCTTCATATGCATGAATGTAGCAGCTTCTTTCATGATGCTGTCTCACAGAGATAACATCTCTGTAGTGTAAGAATTGTAACTGAGCACTAACAGCGCAATGTACACATTTCTATAATTCATGATGTGAGTCCTTGTTATAATTATTAGTTAGACCCAGTTGCCTGATTTGAAGTAACTGGCTATCAAAGCTAGTTTTGCGGCAGAGATAATTGGCTCACATTTCTTTTTACAGGCTGATTTATAAATGAGGGCAATGGGATTGTGTGAATGATATGGAAACCTGCGTTTGAACTGTGTCCACATGTATAAGATCCAAAAGTGGAGCACACACACAGACACAGGGTTTTGATGACTTGTCCTGTGAGAATCTCCCCTTGCCCCAGATTCTATCTCTGAAAAGGCACCACGGTAAGAAACGAGAACAGCAGCTGGAAAACAGACGCGTGGAAACACACGTGCGTGAGGCAACGGCTCTCTCCCCTGGCCCTCGTGTGAACGAGCTACCGCACAAATTTCACACTTCACAGGCTTTAATGAGCTGCTGCAGACTGTCCATCATACTGACTGGAGAGCACCTTACCGGACCTCACAGTCAAACAATGACACTACAGCAGGCATCTGTAGGATCCCACAGACACAGTTACGACTGTCTTGTGCTAAACTGCTAGGTTATTTTGAGGCAGATCTGTGATTTAGCATATGCTCAGTGTGATAGCGACTTTAATGAGGAAAACATGCCATGTGCTCCGCTGCTGTTGAGATGTGGGAATTCCAGAGAAATAAAGAAAATGCTTTTTAAAAGACCAGCAAGCAATACTGGAGGGGACGATTGCAATAACAAATTTAAGATGGATGAAAATTACAAGTAAACTATAGAGGAATAGACATAGTCTAAGGGTAAAAGAAGGTGACCATTGTGCACACACTGCAGAGACATCATTTTATGAGAGAGAAGGTGACAGCTAATCAAACACAAAGGGGGGAGGAATACAGTGAATAAAAAACCCTGATATAAATCCTTAAATGAAAGGTTAATTGGATTCAGTTTGAGGTGTTCCACTTTGAAGCTCTTAGAGATACAATTTAATCTCCTTTACCAGATGTTGCCATTCTCCTGCCTGGTATTACTGTCCCAGATTACATTCTAGCTAACTATCCTCTTTTTATCTCTTGGTTTAATGGCAGATGACAGAAATGGACGCCCCTCTCTCCACCCCCTGCAATATACAGATTTGTGAGGTGACCTGTGACTCCTTCCGCATCATTTGGGATATGACCCCTGAGGACACTGCCAGAGCAACACACTTCTTCATTGACCTGAGCCGCAAAGAGAGCAGAGACCCCAACCGCTTTAAACACAGGGTCTGACAATCTGAAAATACTGCATCACCTTCTGTCCCTTCCTCTAGCCTTTGCCTGTATCTGTCTATCCAGTCAATGTGTCTCCTGCTTTGCTGTCTTTGTTCATATTCCAGATTCACACGAATCAGTTTTCACCATAGGATTGGTGAAGACGCAGTGTACTCTGTGCCCTTTCTTTAATAGAGGACGGACCAAATGAGAGAGGGAAATGTGCATTTTGTTTAGTTGGGTTAACAGATGGGTCTAACTGCTTTGTGATATTCTGCATTAGTGTGGACACAGAAAACAGCGGTTGCGCCCTTTCAGTCACTTCCAATACAGGCGAAAAAAGAAAATGAGTGCAGTCAACAGCTTCAGGCCAGTGACTCACTTCCTCTTAAAGTGGACAAAAACTGACACATTCATCTGCAACACAGAATCGTTCTCATGTTAACAAATTAAGCTAATTTCATACACCACAGACATAAGGCAGCGATGTTTATCTTTTTTATTTTAACAAATGTCAATTAATATCAAGCATGACAAATTCGGTCTGTGTATCTAATTAGAACTAATACAATTTCCATCAGCCTCAACTGTACTTTGTATTCATTGCAAATGTTAGCATGCTAACACGTTAACCTAAGGCGGTTAGTTTTGTAGGCAATTTACCTGCTTTACTTCATCATGTTAGCATGCTGATTTGAGCATTTAGCTCATTGTGGTGCCTAAGTACACGCTGCCAACATGGCTATAGATTCTTAGTCTTGTTTAAATGTTGCTAAAGGAAACATTTTAGCTTTTTTATATTAGTTGAATGCCCACAAATTATTATTAGCGTGATCAATTTGGTGTCTAAATTTAGCTCCAGTAACTGAAGCCTAAATATGTATGATCTCCCTTCATTTCAGATATTTAATTATGGCCTATTATTGCAACTGGCATTCAATAGCTAAAAAAGTGCTGTTGGTAGGATGCAGATGAGTTGTTCCTGAATGGAGATGTTTTTTCTCTCTGATACAGAAAGTGGCAAAAACAAACTTGCATCAGAGATGTTGCCATGGATATATCGGCCTCTGAGCCCTTAGTAATTAGCTGTGCTTCGTAGTGGCCATGGCCAAAACAAAGCCGCTGATTTGATTAGATGTATCCTAGATACAGCAGCTTGGCCTTGAAGTGGGATATCATGCTAATAAGGCAATGTTTATGGAGGGAAATGGTCAAGCATTTCTTTGTTTCAAATTTAAAGTAAACTTACAGCAGCCTGTTCAAGCCTTGCATCCTGTCCCTGATGTCAACTCCTACCTGCTTTGTCCTCCAGGATGTGCCGACCAAGCTGGTGGCCAAGGCTGTGCCTCTTCCTATGGCAGTAAGGGGCCACTGGTTCCTCAGCCCGCGGACAGAGTACTGTGTTGCTGTCCAAACTGCTGTCCGACAGCCAGATGGTGACTACCTGGTGTCAGAGTGGAGCCAGGTGGTGGAGTTCTGCACCGGAGGTACAACATGCATGTCTCACAGCTAAAATAACATTGATAATGTATAGAGTATGACAGCTTTGACCAAAGTAAAACAAGATAAGGACAGAAAACTGGCAAAGAAGAAAAAAACAAAACAATTGTGTCTCATCACCTGGTGATCATTAGCATTTCAAAGTCGTGCAGAGTTTTTCACATGATTACTTTGCAGACTATGCCATGGAACACCTACAGCAGCTTCTCGACAAGGCCAAGGGCTCTGCTGGGAGGCTGCTGAAATTCTCTGTGTTTTATCGCAACCAGCACCCAGACTACTTTGACAACGTCAGGTCAGTGCTGCAAATTTATCTCTTTGTTGTATACATGAAGCAATTCCAGTAGCAATTCCATTATTATTATTATTATTGTCAAAACAGACTATGGCAAGCAGTTAACAGGCAAACAGCTAGCCTGGCTCTGTCTACAATCAACCTACCAGCACCTCTATAGCTCCCTTAATTAATCTTTTGTTTTGTGAAAAAAAGTTTGGTTTCATGTTGACAGAAAAAAACCCATACATACATATACAGATATAAACACTAACTCCCTCATTCACTCCCCTCAACCTACCAGCACCTTTATAACTCCCTTAATTAACATGTTAAATCTTTGTTGTTTAATTCCTACATAAATGAAGTAACAGCATGTTGTGCATTTTATGGGGGGTTACCTACTGGTCTCCAGTGGTTGACTGACACGGTGAAGAGACTTCAGGAAGTTACTGCTGCTGGCTAAGCACATCTGTGAAACCACAATTGTTTTACACATTATTTTTTGTACTAATTGAACAAACTTTAGAGGTGCTGGTAGGCACATTTTGTTACCTTTTAGACAAAGCCAGGCTAGCTGAACGTCTTCTGTCTTTGTGCTAAGTTAAGCTAACCGGCTGCTTGCTGTAGCTTCATATTTAGCGTGCAGACATGTGGTAGTGGAGGGGTATCCATTTTCTCATTAAACCCACATCTAAAAAGTCCAAATCCCACGATGCACACCTGCCATTGCTGCCAACACTCCTGTTTGTTTTCTCGGGTTTCTCCTGTATTTCAAGGCCATCACCTGGCGCCTTCCCATTTAGTTGTTTCTCCCGGGAAACTCCCGCAATTTGCATGGCCCTCAAGCTATATTAGGAATAATCGCCATACGCTGATCCAAGTTTTGAATGTCTATGAAACACAATCTACACACACACATTACATACAATTTCAACCCATCTGTCACTGCAACCTGGGGGTGCAGCTGGTCTCTGCACAGGCACACCTGCAAATTTAAGTTTGTTGGACTGAACCGTTTCAAATAAACTCCCATATTTTCAAACCTAAATGTTGGCAGGTATGCAAAAAGTCAAATTATTCCTTTAGTATGATACTAATACTATATAATATTTGTTTTTAATATCTTGGACTAGAAGGGAATGTGGAGCCCTGATGCGTCCAGCCCTAAAAGACAGCAGTGGGAGTCATGGTTCTCCTATCAACGGCAAACTGCAAGGAGTCTTCTTCAGCTGCAACACAGAGTTTGATACAGGCCTCCCTCCCAAAGACTCCCCATATGGCCCCTTGCGTTTCCAGATCCCTGCTGGACACCTGCTGAACCCCAACATCAGCCTGTACTTTGCAGACTTCTACTGTATGTACACAGCCTATCACTACGTGGTGCTGGTGCTGGCCCCTGTTGGCTCAGAGGGAGACACCTTCTGTCGCACCCGTCTCCCTATGCTGGACTTGGCCTCCAACCCCTTCCTCACATACACTGTCCCCCAGAGGCCGGGGGAGGAGCCTCTGTACTGCCATGCCAGTGACGTCATCCTTGAGGTGCTTTTCACCGAGCCGGTTCATTTGGATCAGGGCAGTGTGGAGCAGATCAGCGGCCACCACCAGCTTAAGAGTCAAACCACAGCCAACGCCAAAAAAGACCCAAGCTGCAAAGTGTGCAACATCAGTGTGGGACGCTGAGGGAAGATGCTGATGTAGGACAGACCTGGGGGTGTGTGAGCCTACAATACTGAAAGACAGAGTGCTGCACAAGATAAAACAGTGGACCCCATCATGTCAAGGTCAGAACACAGTGGAAACAGCCCACCTCTCGGGGTGTGTGCATGCTGCTGTCCCTCCTCCCTCCTGCCTGACTAGAGTAGTGAGTTTTAAATAGAAGACTTTTACAGAGTGCTTCGCAGAACTTCATCATGATCACAGCTGGATATAACCAGAGACGTTATATAACACAGTAAACATCTATCCACGACATGATAAGCTTTAGAAGAGTGAAGAAAATCTGTGCTCCTTTATTTGCTGATACCTGTCACCTGTGCTCTCTGGTTACTTTGTGGCATTTTCTGGATAACGTTTTCAAAACTTAAATGTTTTTCTAAAGAGTTTTTGTTACGCTGTACTAGTTTGATGTGCTTTCTTTCAGAAATTTGTGTTTGATACAACCTGAAAGTGCAAACGCCATAAGCATGCCCCTTTTATAAGTTGATGGTTTTATCATAAATATTTCTACTGCTTCTGATGCTCTCTCTACAAAGTCACTGCCAATGTTCAGTCTTTAAAAAAAAGACATTATCACCAAATGTTTAATAATAAGAATTTGCCAAATACTTTAATGCTTGATAAATAATTGTAGAGTTATGATTAGGAAATTCATTGTAATGATTAATGACAGTGTCTAAATGTTGCACGACAGACCTTTACTGCAGAAAAATATGGTGCAATGTAACAATGAAAGCAAGGCCGCTGAGTGTGTTTGGATTTTAGGAGGAAGGTAATGGGGAAGATGGTATCACAAAGTTCCCTGCAATCGGTATCTGACAGCAAGCCCTGGCTCCATAAACAGGGCTGAGCTAAGATTAGCTTCCCTCTGGCTATGGGGCTTCTGTTTGTCCCCACCCAATAATCTCTGACCTATATGGGAATCCCAGAAATGCCCAAATGGAAAGGAGACCCCTCCCTTGTGCAGGACAGTAATGCATTGCTAGTGAGTGGCCAAAATGTAGGACATGACAAGAGTGTGGACTGAAAAAAAAAGGCCACCCATTTAATGCCGAATGTGAAAGAAAGCTGGACAAGAAAACTGAATGCAACAAAACTGAAATGTTTTAAAGATGTTTTTCATACAAAGCAGTAACTTTGATGTCAAAACATTGATTAAAATAAAAGCACCAATACATAGTGAAAACAATGCAAATGTAATAAAAAAATATACACCTCATCTTATCCAGAAGCAATGTGTTATGTATGACAAAAATCCTTCTTCCCGCAACAGATATGTGAGCTCACACACACAGTAATGCTGTAATTCTTTCCGTTGTTATTGTCCCAAAAAGGCTCGCTCTGCCCTCCTGGTAAATAACTTAAACAGAATTCTATCTTCCTTTTTGCATCTAACACTTTAGGAATGGTTATGTCAAATTCAAAGATGTCTGTCTGAGGCCCACCGAAGCGTTTCTGCAGGTATAGACAGGGCACATCTCTGTAGCTCTGCCACGAGTCAAAGGTGATGCGTACACGCACTTCCTTCTGGAAACTGATGTTCTTGACTCGGACGGTACCTTGGAGGGCCTGTTCAGTGACACTGCAGTTCTCTAGGATAACCATGCTCTGTGACAGCTTGGCACGAAAGGCCTGGAAATCTGCAGAGGGCTGCGGGAAGCCCAGTTTTAACCGCGTTCCTGGGCAGCAGGTGCTGACAGTGCAGCTGTAGCCATCCTCTGTCATGCTTCCCAAACCCTGCAGCGACGGCAGTAGGTCGAGGTCAGACTGCTCCTCTTCATCGGAAAACACTCGCACTGCTGTTAGAGACAACCCCTGCGAGTCAGCGAAAACCACGTGTTTGTTCTTGACTGGGAGAGAAACCTCATCATCCAAGTCATCCAAGAAAGATGGGAGAGGGTGGGTCAGAAAGGCTTGGCTCAAAATGTCAGCGGATAGCTGATCTGAAACTGGAGGACGGATGCAAGGGCGCTGGGGCTTCAGGATGGGAACCCAAACATGAGGACACAGTTGTTTACTTTGGTTCAAGCACAGCCTAACAGCAATCTCCGCGAGTCCTGCTGACTGGGCCGTTGACCTGAGGCCAACCAGTGGCAGGACACTTGCAAGAGATAAACAGTGATTTCAGTAAAGACTCCTGCCCTAGAAATGTGGTTAAATCTTTGTATATACTGTAACGGTGATGTTAAGAAATGCACCACAAAATTAAGCTGACATGATAACAAAAATGTGGTAGTAACTCCAATTGCCCCTCAATTATTGATAACAATTGAAGACGTGATGCTAGATAATGCACCCCACAGCTGCAGAATCACCACTTAAGTTTGCATCAAGTGCTTACGTTGTACTGGCCATCTCCATACTGGTAGTCTGCCTTTGAGTGTTGAGGAATAGTGCCCTCAATGTTTGGTTGGAGTTCTAGAAAACAGGAGAAAATGTTGGTTACAACAGGTAGTAGAAGTACAGAAGTATTTTGATAGACTGAAAAATCATTGTTTTGCATCGTCATTGCAATTCTGCAATTATGATCTCACAAAAAATCCATTAGCCTCAAATATCTTTTTAATATCTTACTTACAAACTTCCACAAGCAGCAAGTCGTTGTCTTTACTCTCAGTCATCCCTTTGCCCGCAGGAGGATGTGGCACAGGATCCTATTTATACTACCTCAGTTAAGATGTCATGTTGTATACTCCACCCTCTCTGCTCTCCTGACCAATCAGCCTTGTGGATATGCCAATAAAACTTATTTCACATAATTGTACAGTAACAGTCTTTACATTTAAACTTAGGTGCTACTTCTGCTCAACTCAAATACATATTTGACTGTCAAGACAAAATAAGTGTTATTACACCAGCATGTCAGCTGTGAAGATTTATGTAAAATCACATCTCTGTGCTGTCAACTTAGATCTGCGTCCAGTGTCATGGCATTGAAGTACATACAGGTACACCGCATGTAACTGTACTCTGCATTGTGGAAACTATTCCAGTCATCCCAAGCTCTATTCTCAGACCTGTCAATTGACACAGATCCCACTGAGCCCTGGGCCCGGATCCAAGACCTCTGCAAGCTGGCCCTTTTCCTGAAGGGATCGCAGTCCCGCAGTCCATCCGTATGTTTGACGCTGAGGAGGGACAGATTACAAACATCTCCCAGCATGCTAGTCATCTGACAGAGGAAGCTATTCAAGAATGAATCCAAGTATGTGTGAATATTGAGTTACAAGAAACGTAAGACACATCAAAGTCCCAGAGTTACTGAGATTTATGTGGACACTAAACTTAGGGACCTTCTTCCAGTCTCAGTGTTATACTGGTCAGGATTTGCCTATTTCAGACACTGCATGATGAATACAGTCCAGAAGGTTGGCTGAGGTAAACATGTGTTTGGGTGCTGCGTTTAATAAAACTAAAATAAAATGCTTTCAAAACCATTCAATCATTACAAAAGTTTTTATTTTCCTCAAATGCAAATTTTCAAGGTGTAAGAGAACCCTGCATTAATTATCTAACATTTTCATATGAACAAAAGCTTTCATGCACTCTAAATGCTTCTCTGTACGCTCTCAGGTGTCAAACACAACTTGATTTTCTCCTGGTTATATGAAAACAGTGTATTATTCCTCTTCTCCCAATAACACTGTGTTACAGAATTCCATATTAGCTATATCAGTGGTGCAGTTCAAAAATTCTGTTGCCAAGCCCACTCTCTCAGTCCCTTATTAATTCCAATTACTGGGCAATTTGTATGAGGGCAAACAATAAGTATTGACTGCTCCCCCTGAAACTCTTACATAACAATGCTATTACAACAATTATGTCTCAGAGAAGACAATGTTCCACACATCCTTTTAGGGTAAAACTAAAATGCTGTTGTGTTGTGACATGATTAAAAAGATCCAAAAATAACACCACAGCACTGCGAAAGCTGGTTTGGCAAACAGGATTCATTCGTCAGCAAGCACTTAACTCAATACCAGTAGTAACTTGAATACTGGAAGATGTGGTGCCACAAATGTCTGTGTTTGCGTTCCACGAACTGGTCCTTAATCCTGACGGTGAGAAAAAATGGATGCATTTCTAGATGTCATCTCTGCAGGTTAATCTGCATGCCATTGCTTATTTTCTGACCTCCTGGAGCCAAAAACATCCACACCAAGAGACAGACCTGTAACATAAAAAGGACTATGTTAAACGTATGGATGAAACGATAAACCATGGTAAAATTCCTGACTGTTAATATTACCGTACACATTTTAATTACCATGATAACCGGATTCATAAATTCATGGCAAAAACTGTCCAGCATCAACCAAAGGTATCCACAGTCTCTCAGAAGCAGGAACGCATGCGCAGTATGCAACGTGAGTTTGTTTAACACGGCTGAAGACAGCGCTGCTGAGATTTTTCAGTCACTCTGAAGTCTGGTCATATTTTAGTTTCAATGAGAGTGCTGAGGGGAACTTCAGTGTAGAAAATGAGAATGTTTTGTAATGCACATTTTGAAGTATTTCATTAGAAAAGGTTGATGTAAACGGCTTGTAAAAAGTTTTTACGCTCGCTTGAGGTGGTTTTTTCCTTTGTTGAAAGAGTAAATGCGCTAAATGGGAGCTGGAAATATTTTTCCAAATAAGTTCTGACGTAGCGAACTTGTAACTCACGTCTGATCAGCTGTTTCTGCTGCTGGAGACATGGCTGGTAGCAGTTTGCCCGCTTGAAACACATTTCTGAGGACCTCTCTCCATTTTTCTAAGATGACCTGCCATCAGGTTCAAGCAACTGGTTTTGTTTCCGGTTGGGAACCCATACGTCTCGTTTATTACAGCCATGTGTAATGTCAGCTACTGACGTAACGACGCTTGCTGTAGCCTTGATTATTCGCTCCAAACAAGCTGATGGAAACACACATATTTCGCAATTTCTTTTTTTTCCCCTTTTACGAGACATTTCAAAAGTACGCTTAAAATTCGCATGACAATTGGATGGAAACATGTCTAGTGTTAGCTGCTCTTGCAAAAACACTACAGGTTGTTGCTGTGTGCATTGTGTGTCTGCAGACTATTCGTCCACTGCACATAACACGTTATGCATTTTAGTCAACCAACCAGCATATCTTGTTCACTTTAAATCCAGCAGCTATCAAATTAGTTGTAAAAGTGTCAGAACAGGAGAAACGCTACAGACTGCTCTGTATTTATGTCTGTTGTTGGGCTCATTGCAGTTACTATCACGGTCTTCTAAAGATTGCATGGGGTCATATTTATGCAAACAAAATAGCAATTTTATTTGTAGTTTTCAATATAAAACTTGTTTAGATGGTTTAAGTGTATGTATCAGTACACGTTAATCCTTTTTTACAAAAAACCTTGATAATGCTGATAACCGTGATAATTTTGGTCACTATAATATAGTGATATGATATTTTCATACCGTTTCATCTGTAGTTAAGTGACTGTGCTAAGTGTATTTAATTATTAACTGCAGTTCAGTGAAATGACAAGTCTGCCTTACTGTAAACATATTGTGGTTCTTAAATAGATACACTTTTTCCTCATAATCTGTTGCCAAGAGACAATGAACACTGGAAAAAGTGAGAGCTAAAAATAAATCCAGATGTCATTGCAAAGCAGTTGCTTATGTAAGACGTGCAGTAATGAATTAGCAGATGTCTGTGCAAGAGGGTGTGAGGGCAGTACTGACTTAATGAGAAAGATGACAGTCAAACTCATTGTTACTTACCCCACACATTCACATTAACTGCACAGCTCCACTTGAAACAAGTGGTGCGATAGTACGATACCGCATTAGATGCTGAGAGCCCTCTTCAAGATCCACAACATACTCCCTGATAGAGGGGACAAGAGTAGAGATAATATCAGATGTTTCAGTATCTATGCAGAAAAATAGAACAAGACTGAATGTGAAAAGGTAACACTGCCACCTAGAGGGGGTTGAAAGCAGTGACAACAATTTCAAGGGAGGTTTTTGATGAAATGTACCTCTGATCATCTGTTTCAGGCTCCACCAAGATGTTCTCCTGTCTCTCCTTCACCCGCAGAAACACAAATGAGTCCAAGCTGGGCTCAGGCACTGCGATTGCATTAGAATATGTGGGATTTAGTGTGAGGGTCAGCGAAAATGTCAGAGCAAATGCCACCACCTACGAGAGCATGCTAATAGGGATGTTCAGGCATGGGTCATCCAAGACCGATCAAATGTAAAGAGAGCCTGTGAGAATACAGAGAATACAAAAAGAAAGATCACCTGCTTTAAGCATGTCCACTGTCTGCAGGTTGGAGGGCATGCGCTTCAGTGCTACAGCCTTCAGGTAGGTTTCTGTGTTGGCATAGTACCTGTATGCCAGATCAACATGTGCGTTTTTATCCCGAGTGTCACAAAAACAGCAACATTTTAAAACACACAGCTCTGACCTTACTCGACTATACTCACTCTTTGGCAAAAGCAAACTCCTCGGGGGAAAGCAGTGACGGGTCTCCCTCACCTCGAGACTTTTCTCTCTCCAGGACATGTGGGAAAAACTTTTCTATCTGGACATGCGTGGCACAAAGATCAGCAGTTTTGTCAACAGGCACAGAGTGAGATGAGAGCTTTATTTTGCACGCAGTATATTGTCGACCTGACTGACCTTCTGCAGACGAGAGCGCAGGTAGCTGCTGAGCACAAAGCGAATCCTGTCTATCTCCATGCGATGGATGCTGGCCTTCGTGTCACCTTTCTTCACCCGCTGTAGGTTGGCTTCCTGGTGGAGGAAAGGTCAGGACACTGTCAGAAAGGACTAGAAAAGAATAGATCCACCTCCGTCTCCACAGCTGGATTTGGGCTCTATATTCCAACAGCAGTGATGTCCCACTGATACATACCAGCTTCAAATATTTGTTTGTCACTCAGCATGTTAAAGCCAACCACCTAGTACACAAGTATTTCCATACCGATAATAGATTTTAAGATTTTATCTTTGTAGCGCTTCTTACTGATTCATTTATACATATAATTTAATTGCTAAATCATTTAGGCATTAAAAAAGAAAAAAATATTTGAATGTAAAGCAAGCTGGTATCCTACTAACCATTGTTCCACCACATCCCAAAGGTGCTCTATTGGATTGAGATCTGGTGACTGTGAAGGTCAATGGAGTACAGTGAACTCATTGTCATGTTCAAGAAACCAGTTTGAGACGATTTGAGCTTTGTGACATGGTGCATTTCCTGCTGTAAGCAGCCATCAGAAGATGGGTACACTGTGGTCATGAAGGGATGGACATCGTCAGCAACAATACTCAGGTAGGCTGTCGTGTTTAAACGGTCCTCAGTGGGGCCCAAAGTGTGCCAAGAAAATTTCCCCCACACCATTACACCACCACCACCAGCAGCCTGAATTGTTGATACAAGGCAGGATGGATCCATGCTTTCATGTTGTTTACGCCAAATTCTGACCCTACTGTCTGAATGTTGTAGCTAAAATAACGACTCATCAGACCAGGTAACGTTTTTCCAGTCTTCTATTGTCCAGTTTTGGTGAGCCTGTGTGAATTGTAGCCTCAGTTTTCTGTTCTTAGCTGACAGCAGTGGCACCTGGTGTGGTCTTCTGCTTCTGTAGCCCATCTGCTTGAAGGTTCAACGTGTTGTGTGTTCAGAGATGGTATTCTGCACACCTTGGATGTAAGAGTGGTTATTTGAGTGTCTGTCATCTCAAACCTGTCTGCCCATTCTCTTCTGACCTCTGATATCAACAAGGCATTTTCGTCCACACAACTGCCGCTCACTGGATATTTTCTCGTCTTTGGATCATTCTCTGTAAACCCTAGAGATGGTTTTGCGTGAAAATCCAATAGATCGGCAGTTTGTGAAATACTCAGACCAGCCCGCATGACACTAACATCCATGCCACGTTCAAAGTCACTTAAATCCTCTTTCTTCCCCATTCTGATGCTCGGTTTGAACTTCAGCAAGTCGTCTTGTCTACTTGGCTGATTACCTATTTGTATCAACAAGCAATTGAACAGGTCTACCTAATAAAGTGGCCATGAGTGTGAGCATTCGTTCCTGTTTTATATTATTGTAAAGTAAATACTTTTCAGGATTTGGACTGTTGCTTGAACAAAATAAGCTTTTTGAATGTGTCACCTTGAGCTCTGGGGAATTGTGAGGAGGAATGTTTTATAACATTTATAGACTTAATAATTGACAGTAAAACAGAGGTTGGGTGTACCTAAGTACATTTACTCCAGTGGTGTACATTAATTGGAGTATTTCAATTTCATTCTACTTTAAACTTTCACTCCACTATACCACACTCACAAGAGCTATTTAAGTATATCTTCTTCTATTTTCCAGCACGGACTGCTTTTACTTTTGATATTTTAAGCACACTTTGCCATTAACACTTTAGACTCTATACCTGAGTTACATTTTCAATGCCGGACTTACTTGCAACTGCATTTTCACAGTGTTTCAGAAAGTTACCACTTTTCTTGGAGGAAAATACCTGAATCCCCACTGCAGTTTAATGAATCGTGAAAACAGTCGTTGGTTGCGGCCCTGCACCACACACAACAATGTGCGGTGTTTAGTGACATTTAGAAATGTAGGTAGACTTCTGAACATGCAGTAAACACATGTTAATTTACCATGTGAGTCAGCTGCTCCATCACGCACTCCACCACCTCTGATTTGTTCTCCAGGAGCTCCGGTGAGAACTTCTCATTCAGCCAAGCCTGAAGGTGACAGACAGAGGACACAATCTACTGAGGAGGGTTGCATGCTGTCAAGAGACTATGGGAGGTCTACGGAACTTCATGTCACCGTCTAATGGGATCATTTTGTAAACATCAGCTCACTTCTTGCAGTTTAGCGATCAGCTCCGCCGGGGTCATAACATCCTCCTGACTGTCATCTTGGTTGATGTCGCTGCCGTCATCAGACGCGTTCGACATAGTTCACGAAGTAAACAAACAAAATACCGAGCTTAACCGAGACGAACACTATATGATTAACGTTTAAACTAAAATGTATAGCGATTCAAATAGTATGACATGGAAAAGTTTAATGAAGAGGCAACAGGTCGCTACACAGCGCCGCGTATTTACTCGAAAAACTCCTTGTTTATTCGCGCCACTGGAGTTCTTCTCGCGAGATATACTTAAGGATTTGTTACCCTACGTTAGGCCTGTCAGGCAAGGTTCCTCACGGGCTATAAAATGTATACAACAGATGAACTAGCCATACAATCATAGACTTTCGTTTATATTTATTTAATTAGGTTTCTATCGTGCTTCATGCAGAGCCATTATGTAAACGTCTGCCTGTCCTACTGTAGGAGGCAGGATAATAACGCTGCCTAGACGCGGTGCTTCCTGTGAGTCTCTTCACAGGGAACACAAATCGAGCACTAGCGTCAAACTGAAGGCTTACTAGATAGTGAGTAGAAACTCAAGAATATGTACTAAATACCAAACTTTGTGACTATAATGATGGCAGAGTAAGCAAGTTACATTTTTTTTTAAATTTGAATTTTAGTTGAAAACTATCTATCTATGATTACATGAAAATATGATAACAGATATTATTAACAGGGCAGAACTCTAAGCTGCAGGTGATGAAAGTAGGCTATGGGATTAAAATGTTTTTGATTATTTACACATAAAGATCAGATACCTCCACAATCAAAACATTGAAGCCAATTTCGCACAGAGATTCTCAAAGTCAACATGCCATGTCTCCTCTGCCCAATTTTGTCTTTCTTTTACCCACATGTATCTTTTATCAGAGAGCGCGAATTTAACAGAAATGCCATCATCTGCTTCATTTGTTCCAGCTGTCTTTTCACAGACCACATTGTGGCCTGCAGCAGGATCTCATTTATCTGATTTCCTCTTTCTCTTTCCTTCTCACTGCTCTTGCCTCAGAATTCATTGTTATTTTCACCAGTAATGCGTTGGCATCCATTGCAACATTGTGGCCACTGCAGTGAAGTTCAGTTTTGCACTCAGTCTGGCCTTGCAGCACTACATTAGACCTGCACACCACAACCTTGAAAGCTGCAGAAACTTAGCAAAAGCAGATCAACAGACAGACTAATAACACAGCTCAGAGGAAACGTTTGTGCTCAAAAACAACAAGAAGAGAAATCTGAAGTCAGAGCGATTGCTTTGAAAGAGGGAGTATAGTGCCACAATTCTTTTAGGCAGGCTCGAATGTCTGGGGTGATTAATAACTTAATTCAGAAAAGGTCTGTGGTGCCAATCATTTATAAATCAGGTGACAAATTAAAAATCTGCTAATAAATACATTTTCAAATTATGGACAAACCAATTTTTAAAATCAATCAGAAAATATTGCTTATCAAAATTAACGCTGTTATAGTGAACTATTTCATGATATGGAGAAATCAGCTACATTTCTATAATAAACACAAGGACAAAAGGTTTTAATATTTTTTTATGTTTATTTTTGTTATTTCTTTGTGATCATTTGCTCTGCTTAAATACATTTGAATGACAATGCAATCTGCATATAATAACTTTGAAAATATTTAACACTGACATATGGTACATTTACACAGTACATTGTGTTCATCGGACTTACAATACAGTACAGTAAGATTGTTCTTTCACCACAAAGCATTGCAATTGTGCAAGTGAGAACAAATTGTGCAAGAATTTGATTTTATCTGTAACTTCACTTATTTCAACTGTCTATCAACATTTTTATATTTATTTTCCCAGTACATGTAAATGTACAAGAATTTTATTATTTTTTATCTTGGGTAAATAATACACATTGTATCACTTTACAAATGGACATGTTACAGGTTATCAGTAGGCACCAGTGTAGATCTCATGGCTTAACATTTTAACTACAGCTATAAAACGTAATACATTTCAAGAGTACATTTTGCACAGTTCTGCTGTGAGTTATAAAAATAACGTACCGATTTGTTGTACTTTTTCAAGCTGTTTCACTGTGATCCTATAAATATCTCTCCATCACTGCTGTGACTTCATTTCCCTTCAGTGTAGTTTTGTTTTGTTTACAGAAGGTCAACACAGGCAGTCAGCAAATTATACAGTTGCACGTTTCCCAGACAGAACCTAAATATTTTGTGTCATGTGCATACACATGCTATGTTTAAAACACAAGTGAGGCATCGCCACTTTAACTACATACTTTTTTTTTTGTCTTATCGAAGTCTGGAATTGAAATACAAAGAATCACAGTTTGTGAGGATAAATGGGATTCATGGCAGGTAGAGTATATCCAGTTTGGGGATTGAACAGGGGAATGGAGTAGGGATATGGGTAAACAGCAGACCCGATGAGAGCAGAATGAGCTGGAACCACTGGGACATGACGGTATATTAGCTGAGATTGAGGTAGTCTCATTCTGCTGGGTAGAAATGCAGGGTGTAATGGAGTTTGGTGCCGAGAGTCTCTCCCTGACTTGTCATAGCACGACACCGGCAGGCTGGCAGTGGAATGGGACAGACTCTGCTGAGTGGGAGGAACTTTTTGTAGCATTGTCCTGGATTTCTCCCTCTTCTCTGTCTGATTAAGCCACGGAGATATGTTGTTCAGCTTCTTCGCACAAGTCAGAGAGTTGTCCTGCTGCATCAACCTACCCTGGTGGATTTTATAACCTGGCCGAATAGGAGCGGGCCGCAGAAGCTGCACTGGTTTTGGAATAACTTTGGTGAAACTAGAGGTAGATGTTGGAGCCCAGTCAGATTTCACAGTGAATGAGGAGGATGAGTGGAAAGGTTGGGGGAAATATTTGCCACTCTCTCTGTGGTTTGGCTTGCAGGCAGTGTCTTTAATCTGGACCTTGATCAAGTCTGCTGATTGGGAGCTGGCATGAGAAATGTCTTTATTCTGTCCTGCGTGGTCTTTGGATATCTGATTACAGCTCACAGACTTTCTTTCCTCACTACAGCCAGATGTATTTTTCACAGAGCTGGAACAGTTTTGGGATGGTTCAGAACCTAATGCAGGTTTATCTTCATTCCCTGCTGGACCGTCCTCTGATGAAACAGAGCAAGGGGAAGGGCTGCGGGAGCAGGAAGAGGAAGAGGATAAAGGGAGTGGGGAGCCATCAGAGGAGTTGCAGTTCTGGCTGGAAGAAGCCCGGGCCGGAGACTGGGAGCACTGAATGACGGAGGGCCTTTCTTTATCTTCGCTATGAGGACTCAGGGGCAAGTTAAGGCTGGCCTGAGCCATTCGCTTTTTTTTCTCCAGAGGAGATATGACCTCTCCAGCAGCGGGTGGGATATGAGCACTCCAGGGGCTGGATGTGGGGACCTGGACAAGGCGGGCATAGACAGAGGTGCAAAGATTGGTGGTGGTTCTGTTTGGCTGAGAGTGCCTATCAGAGGTAGCAGCCCAGAGTGCAGGGTGAGGATGCATCACTGCTTCACTTTGGCAAGCAGCCTCTGGACTTCTCTGCACAAGTATCTGTAAAATAATACAGGGGATATTGTAAGACACATTATGTACTAACACAGACCTTTTCTCTCTTTCTCTCTCTTTTTGAGACATTTGAACACATTTAGTATGTTACCTCAGAATCCATCTCTCTATCTGACGGAGTCCTTTTCCTCTTCTTCTCAGTCTTTGTGACCTTGCTGTCCAGATTTCTCTTATATGGCTTCCGTGGTTTGCTTGGAGGCAGAGGTTTGTCCTCCTCTCCTTTTATGTGTCTTTCAAAGGGCAGCACAAGCCTAAAAAAGTACATTTCTGATTACGAATCGGTTGATGTAGCAGTTGAATCGACAGTTTAGTCAGAAACAGAATCATCCTCACTTCTCATAGTGTCTGCGAGTGCAAGTAGCAGCGCTGGTGCTACCTGGACTTCCTCCCAGCTCATCATACACTTTCTTCCAAAGACGTCGCGCCGTCACCTGTTGGATAACACAGTGGGAAAAATGCACATATGTAACAACACACGTCTGTAATAGTTAAGGTACGTTTTTGGAGAATCAGTGGCTCATCACACCAGTTGCACATAAAACTAAAATGCTCTGTCTCCTCCCCTATCACAAACTAAGGGGCTGCTTAGTTTGTGACTGCCACCGGGTGGCCCCATTATGAACAAATCATTATTTTTGATACATATTATATATTTTTTGTGTTGTTGTATATATTAGTACTGTAGTGATCAGATATTGTTTCAAGGTTAAATTAGGCTTATTTAATTGATGTCATGCATAGGGGCAGCTGTGGTTCAGGATGTCGAGCGTGTCGTCCACTAATCACTTGGGTAAGACAGTGAACCCCAAATTGTTCCCAATGGTCAGACCAGCACCTTGCATGGTACCTTGCTACTGTGTGTGAATGAGAGCACTATGTATAAATGCAGTCATTTACACAGAGCTTGTGTGCCTTCCGTTCTCTGAGTCAGGTGCTTGGACCCAGGCATACCTGCTTTTAAGTCTCAAGTTTCTAGTTTTGGGGAAGGGAGGTGGCTGGTTACCCTTTAAATGCCAAGTCTGCTGGTTTTCAAAACTGAAAGAACATTTCTGTGTTTTAACTTTATGCATATGTAGGCGGCTTACATTGTTGTGTTCACACCCTGGGACACAGTAGCAGTGGTGGTAGCAGTGGTGGTAGTGGTGGCCAAGATCAGCTCTATTTTGGAGCCCCCTGCCCCGCTCTAGTGCTAATTTCAAAATGAGTTTCACTCTCAGAGCGTGCCCAGCAGTGTCAACATCAAAGACAACAGAACATAGATGGTGATACATCGAAAGCTCAGCAGCCTAAATGTCCTCCGGTGTGGTAGAAACCACCATGTTAGAGCACTTGACCTATAGTGTATTTTCCATTTAGAAGCCAGTAAACAGTGACACCTTCTGCTTCAGTCAAAAGACTAATAGTTGAATGATGAACTCGTACTTACTGAATCATAACCCCCAAGTTTCTCAACAGCTTTGTGGATCCTCCAAAGATTAACTGGGAGTGGAAAACACACACACATGAAAACCTAATTGTTTCCATTCACACTATGTGCATGTGAATATTGTGTTCACTAAACAGCAAGCATGGTGCTAACGAACGTCAACTCACTCTGCTTGAAGCCCAGGTGTGGGATCCTTTCTATGGGT